GGGGAAAGTTTTTATTTTTCCCTTTCAATTTGGTTTATATAAAAAATACCCACATTTTTCCTTTTCATTTTTAAAGGAGGTTTTACTTTGGGGTGTAATAGGTACTTGGGATTCCTTTTTTTTCCCCAAAGAAAAATTTTTTGGAAACCTTCTTCCTCGATAAGTTTTAGGTTGGTATCAAAGGCTAATGAACCAATAACTTTCTGGTCATTGTCCTTTTTCAAAATTAGGGGTTTACAGGAGAGTATCAACACTACTAAAGTCATCTCATCCTATGATATCTCTAATCGATACTCATCAAGAAGAAAAACGTCATCGTTATTTGCTAATTATACAGCTAATCAATCCATTCTACGACTACTCTTGAATCGAGGAAAACATCGATAAATAGTCAAAGCCTAAATCATACAGGGTTCAGAAATGTTACGACAACTACGCTTTTTAAAAGTTCAGAGGCTGCTGCATTAACAAAGAACACAACCTCCAATGAGATTGAAACAATTATACCTTCTTTCCGTATCATTTCTGTACCGCTAATTACGAAATCATCGGTTAAAATAACCACAGATGCTAGCCAACCGACTATTTCTTCATTTACTACTACTTACGCTGGTGCATCGATAAACTATGCCACAACTTTTGTTGAAGTGACTGAGTTTGTGACAGCAATCGATACCTCTGAAATGTTGACTTCTGATGAAATACCTTCAACGGATGAAGAATTAACGACACCTGAATACTTGGTTTCATCAAGATCAGGCGAGTTGTATTATATATTTACCCAAACGTACGAGTTTGTGAATAGTGAAACTGATTTTACAGAAGGATTTGTTACAACAAAATCAATAAATCGTAAAGAAGCGGCAACGTATAAATTTAGCGCAACTACGATAACTACTGATGCATCTTATTACAAACATCTAACAAATGAAAAGAATTATCATCATAAAAGCAATTCGGACCCTGGAACTATTGCAGGCAGTGTTGTTGGTTCAATTGCTGGTTTTATGATATGTATTTTCCTTGTGTGGTTTCTTGTTCTAAGAAAAAGAAATAAGAAAAGTGATTCATCAGTGAAGGGACAATTTACACATGCAGTTGGAAGAAAAATCACCAATTTCGATTCTTTTAATTCCAATAGTGAATATGATATTAATGACAACCCAATTTCGGAAGGGACAATATTCCAACCACATGATAACTGGACAATTCTAAACAGACAAAGATCTGATTATTTTAATGATAATGGTAATAGAAAAAATAGCAAGGATGTTAACAACAAAAGTGCAGGTAAAGAAGCACCTAAATTACCGCCACCTCGTAAAAATCTCGCGGTCAGAAATGAGGAAGCTGGAAATACCAAGGGATCTCATAATTCGTTAAATTCATCTTCCACTATGAGTTCATCAAATTTTGAACTAGGATTCGATTTCTCAACTATTTCAAGTACTTCTCTGCGGTACGAATATCCAATAGATAATATATTTGAAGATGAAGAAGATTCCAATGTACCTGGTTTCTTTAGAGAAGTTTTTTAATAATTGGCTTCTTCACTAAAAAAATCGAAGTTGTTGGGAACTCAGTTCCATGACATAGAGATATATTATAACGTTGATTATTGCACCCTAATATAATAATAAAAAAACATAAATTCGGAATAAATACATATACCTACCTACATACTTTAACTAAAAAATATCTTTAAGAATGAAGTAGATATCGAAATTCATTCGTCACGATTACGTCGATGTTAGAGTTCTTACGAAGTTCACTATCCTTTTTTCTTTTTTCTCACTCTTTTTAGTTCTTTTGTAAAAAAAAAGCTCTATTGCTGTTGTTAATTCTGCTTTTGATCTCTACTGATATTGGCTGGGCTTTTTAGGTAATTTCTCCGTTGTTTACAATGTTTTATGGGAGATCTGGACCGAGGCTGATCTTACATACCAAATCATCAAAGTTTAATTTCTTAGCTGCCGGTCTTCTCTTAAAAAATATATAGCAAAGAATTGTTAAAAAGAAAAGAAGAATTATGGATTATAAGACCCGAATATATTTCCTTTTTTCCCTATATTTCAACGTATACAATGATTTATACAGGCTATCCAAATATTTCCTCTATTTGGAAATTTCAGGTCTTTGATATAGTAAGTCGTATCATATACCTAAGTAGGTAATACTGTGTTGAGTGTGTTTTAACAGTTTTTCCGAATAAATCGGAGGAAAAAAATTATGTGACCGAACAGATCGGGGAAGAACTGCCTGACAGGCAGATCAGAACAAGAAATTGTTTATTACTGTAATGAATCGGAAAACAAAATTTGATATCTTTTCATCTTTGCCAGTCAATAAGAAAATGATGAGTTCGAGTACAAGTGTAAATGGTCATTTACTCTTTACTTTTTATTTGCGATTAAATGAAAAAGTAAAGATCTCTCATATTATATTTAACTTTTAAATTGGAAAAGATAGAAAGGAGATGCAAGAAAGTTTGGAAGTTGTTGTGCTCTATTGTCTCCTAAAATAATCGGAGGTACATCCGGACGACAAAACAGAGAAGTAACAAAAGCGTTTCCTTGGATAATTGCCACAAGCCTTAGTACATGTGAGATTGGGACATTCACATTAACTATCTTCGAGTTTTGTATTCGCGACCAGTGTAGTGTTCGAGATAAAAACATATCGTTATTAAACTTTCCTAATTCTACAAAGAACGGTTTGTTTGATGTTTTTTATTGAGTTTAATCCTACATTCGACTCATTTCCCACCCAATTGACGTCTTGCTTTTTTGTTATCTTCATATTAATTTCCCAATTTTTAAGTGACCCTAATCAAGTACAATTGATATTTACCTACTTCTCTAATTATCGACTATTATAACGGTTTTGATAGCGTGTCATAACCAATTGATGCGAATACGGATTTTTAAAAAACTTCGAATAGCTTGTTACTAAACATAGCTGTATCTTCCAGAACCTACATTTCATCTTTGAAAACTTACTGCAATCATAACCGTTGAATAAGCCTTTTCATCTGTTGGATCTCTTTGGGATAAAAAAGATCATGTATGTTAGTACAATACCCCTCCACCCCACTATGATAAAAATGCAAAAATGTCCCAGCGTTGGGACCAATAAAAAGAACAGAGTCCACCCATACTCTGTAATTTTTTTTTATTTACCAACATTTTTCATTTTTCATTTGGAGAAACGTTTTGAGGCGTTCGGATTTGTTCTTCCATGAACAATGCACAACAAAAATGTTTAGTGGTTACTCTTGTTCTGCACTGCGAATACAAATTCCTTTGTCTGAGAATTGCAATTTATTTATTTACCAGTAAAAAAAATTTGTCTAGTATTTTTTTTTCGTTTCTTTTCATTGTTCACTTGATACCTAATTTGGCTTCATATATGGTGGAACAAGTCTGTAAATATTCATAACTATCTGGAGGTAAGTTGTATCAATAACAATGTAGCGAATTTTTGAAATTTCATTTTGGCACTGGAAATCAAGGAAACAAACAAGCAGGAAAGTAATAGTCTAAACCTTGTTCCTATGGTGTTTATAATTATCTTGTTGAAATACCTCAAATTGTATCTTAGCTTCCAACGGAAAGTCGAACTGGCAAAGCCGCCTTCATTTCCGGAATAGATCTTAGGATAATGCTGGGTCTAGAGCATTTTAAGAAACTTCCATCAACAGTCGACCTTAAAAAAAAGTTCACTTTCATTTAATTAGGAATACAGGCAAAGAAAACAAGATAAATTTTGTTAGGGGTATACAATATTAGAGGGAAAATACAGGAAAAGGACCTATTATTTCCCAGTTTTAGAAGTGTTAACCTTTTTACATTAGAAACTGAGTTTTATGAATTCGTTTTCGTTTTTGATAAGAGATATCCCTCTCTTCACATAATAATTTGCAGTTAGATGCACATATTTTCAAAGAGAGGGGTTTAGTCAGCCGTTATTTAATCTAGATTAAATAAACACAATATTTCTTTATCGGAAACGTTCGAAGCAGGAGTTGGTATCTAAAAGAAACAATTTTTAAACCACACAACGAGAAAAATAAGACTATCTTCATAAAGAAGTTTCGATGTAATGATACCAGTTCATTTTAATCGGCAAGCATTTACTATTCTTTTATTTTTTTCTTTTTTTCTTTTTTTTCTTTTTGCAATTTATAGTCTGATATATCTAATTTTTTAAACTATATGTTCGATAGCATATAATCGAATCGTTTTAAAATATTTAAAAGTTTGTTTGGATGGTAATAGTGGAAGCATGATCGATAATCATGGTATACTTTGCTCTCAAGTTATTACGTAAAGAGACATTTGGTCTCAGGTGCATATTAATATTCCATTAATTAAAAAATTTTCTTGTTCCCTTAGTTCCTTCTTTCTGTAAATGATGGTACAAAGACACCTTTTAAAAGATTATAAGAACTTGTAAATTAATAAATTAATCAATAGATAAATAAATAAATAAATCATCAGCTTTAGAAAGCTGCTAAGAATTCCGAGTAGGAGATGGGGGATATACGCTTAAACTACGAAAGTTTCCACAGTTTTGGATAGTTACACAGTCGTCATCTACTGCATATAATAATAGAATGTATAGATCCATTAAGTAAAAGCATATTATGTGATCTATTAGTAAGAGAATAAAATCCAACAACTGACCAAAATGCAACAAGATGAACTAGTGACGAAGAAGCTATCGCTAGTAATGGGAAAAGCCATATAGCAAGTATCAACAAGAAAAGCAATAACAAACAAACAAACAAACAAACAAGACATTTCAGCCCAATTGAAGTAAAATAAATCAATTTAGATTATAATTTTTATTTTTTAAAGCACAAAAACCACAAACTAGTAATCGTACTAGGCGTTAATTTCATAGTCAACCCAGCAAACCATTGGATAGACAAAAAAAAAAGTTCCTATTCAAGCAGAATACTTTTTATCTTTCTTTCTTAAATGGTCTCCTAGTTATCCCCCCCAATTAATCGGCGTAAATTGAAATTGAGCATTTAGATTAACCGGTTTGAAATATATACGTAAATGAAATCATTTATTGTTATAATCTTGGTGAACAAATAAATATATTTACATAGTTTTTTTTTTCTTCATCAGAGACGTCTGCATAAGAGGGTCTCGTTACGGTGGCAATAGAAACTAAAATTAGTCAATACAACTAACATCTAATAAATTATATTGTATTTCCATATGCTTTATTGCCATTGAATTAGACAGAGACAGCAGGTAATGAAGGGAATTTCCTTTTTAAATCTGGCGAAGATAACCGTCCTAGTAATTCCTGTAATATAGATTTCAGAAGAGATAAAGACTAGAACCAAAATTACAGCTAAAATTCAAACACAAGAGAGAGAAAACGACGCAGGAAATACAAGATTATATCGTGTCCACTCATATTTTTTCAATTTCTTTCAATTTTGATTTTAACCATCCGGTGGAATAGACCACGCAAGGACTGAGCAGACTTGACACAGCAACGGAATACCAAGTTAAGAAGTCTTTCTTGCAGTTTGGACAGAAAGGACGATTAGTACAAGAGGAAGTATGTCTATACTGATTGCTTATTTATTTTAGATTACTGGAGAAACCGTACTTTGACGGGCCGAATATTGTTCCCATTTACCGAGAGAAAAGTTTTTCAGTTTTCAATGTTCAGCTTTTTCTTTTTGGAGCTGCGAGGAAATCAGAGCGATGGCACAACTACATTTTGTTTTGGTGGACGGACGGTAAATAGACAATAACAAGAGAATGATTAAAGTTTCCTCCAGAGGGGGACCTGTAGAGGTATTTTTTGTTGCAACTCAAGTAGATCGACACTGCACTCACGGAGAAGTGGCAGGGGAAGGGTAAAAAAAGAAATACAGTTGCCAATAATGTTTGCTAACTACGGAAGACAGTCAGAGATTGAGGAGCAGTGAAGAGAAGGCCATGTGCAACTAATAGAAGGATAAGTTCTTTTCGTTTTCAATTTCAGATATTTTTTTTTGTTTTTTGTTTTTGATTTTTGTTTTTGTTTTAGTTTGTGCAGTGTGCGGTCTGCAGAGTCTCTGTTTTTTTGAATTTGTGTTTGAATTTGTGTTTGTGTTTGTGTTTGTGTTTGTGTGAGTATATCTCTGTCTTCTGTATTGGTTGTACTGCAAGTATTCTCGTGGCGAGATGAGTACCCAAATAGGAATAATGAACAAACCATAAAACATAATGAAAAGCAAACAGAGCTGTCAGAGAGAGACGTGCAGATAGTGCGGTTGGCTGACAGATAAATGGGACCAGTTTCTTTTTTAGTGGTGGAACCTTGTGAGGTATGTCCTCACCTACTTACTCTGGGAAAAACAGGATAAAATAAAATTACAATGAAAAATTTAAATTTAATCTTGTTTTGGTCACACCGTATGCACGGATTTAATACTAGAACTGTGTATGTATGTATGTATGTATGTTCTAGATAAAAGAAAAAAAGGTATTCCATGTATTGGAGTACGATACTTGGTATTGTCTAAGCTTTTACCTATTCCAAAAGATTATACTCCTACAACTACACTTGACAAAAATATATGTAATGAAAAACTAAAATATAAAATATAAAATATAAAATATAATACTAAAAATTAAAAAAAAAAACAGGGGACAAGTTCATTCATGGGCTCATACTCTACCGCACACATTGGGATTTCGAATTTTTTTTTTTTAAATTTCTAAACAAAAATCGAAAACCAAAAAAGTTATCGTAGATTATAATTACCAAATTTGGTTGGGATTGATTGGTGCGATTGATCAATACTTTTCCATGCATTTTCTCTTGCATATTAGCATTGAACTAGTACTATTGTATAATCTTTGAGATATTCACACAGAATATACATGCGTAAAAAGAACAAACCTTGCAGAAATAGAAAGATTATTTGTCATTGTATCATGATTGTTCTTGCTAACGCTAACGCTATCGCTATCGCTTGATTTATAGTATCAAAATGTTGTAGTATGATATATTTTTTTCTTTCTTCCTGACTTTTATTTTTGCCCTTTTAAATTTTCCTGGTACCCGTCGTGCCCCTCTTCCTCCACTTATTTTTTAACGTGCAAGCACTCTGAGCTGTATGTCGAACCAAAAAATATTTAGTTGCGTTTCGTTGTGGTCGGTTGGTACGGGTATTTGTCAGAAATCAGCAAGAACACTTTCGGAGAGAGATTAAGACTACCAAGAGGACCTTGCCTAGCTAACCAGAAAATTATTCAACATCAGGAAAAAAAAACAACATATCTTAACAAATATAATACAATATATTAATTGGTTGCTGGATCAGTACCGATGCCATTATTCCGAGAGAAATGGCGTGGAAAAATTGCAGTTAACAGCTTTTACTTCACTGTTACGTAAACTATTTAAAAGTTAGTTCTATTACCACTTTTAATCTATTATGGCTACAATTGTACATACTAGCTAAACTTTCTTCTACTATGGCAAAGTAGCTAATTGAATTTTTTTTTACTTTTTAGAGTACAACCATAATGTTGGAATTGTGTAGTTCGTATGTAAGTTTGTGTTCGAAAGTGGAATAGAATCACTTTTAGGTGTAGAGCTTTTAATTTGTTTTTTTTTTTTACTTTTTTGGATTGGTGATAATTGGAAGTACAAAAATTGTCGGAGAAATAAAATTCTACTAAAAACTATCAGACATATATATAAATTTTTTTTATCAGGTCATCTACCCATCTATGGTTCTTGGGAGGTTCGTCTCTTACTTTTCTCTTTCCTTCCCATAAGTCAGGATAATGTCGGTACTGTATTTCCCATACCTATTTAATCCTTTAGTCTCGCAATGGTTTTTTTTTTTAACATTTAAATTTATTCTGGACGCTTGAGGTTTATACTAATCAAGAAAATGTTGTATTAACCTCAGAGGTGCTGCCAGGCGACTATCTCAAATTCCTGTTTAAAAGACCAATCGATTAAATAAAAAAGAAAAATACAAAAAAAAAAAAAATCATACACATAAAATTTAACCTGAACGTCAAGTTTACAAGAATACTGAACAAACAAGGGTAGTTGATTAGATTGAAATTTTAAAATTAGATTTTTTTCTAAGCTATTAAAAAAAAAATTAAAAAAATAGTTGTTGATTAATTGCTATCGCTAAAAAAGTATATAATATTATGCCAATTATTATTTACAATTCAATCAGGATTCTCTAACTCCAAATCGTTTCAATCGCAACTGTAATTCTAATTGTAAATGTTTACTCTTTGTCTTGTACGGTTTATAAGTCACTCTTAAAGACTAAGATACATTATCTCTTTTCTTTAACTGCTTCATTGCAAGCAATAACTAAATAAAAAAGATTGACTAAATAGTTGATTCAAAATTAACAGGGTACGTTTACTTGCGTATTTTCATTATCATCATCGTTATTATTTTTGTCATTATCACCAATTTGTTACATTTGATTTCAAAAAAAGGACGACTTACTCTTGTATAAATTAGGTGTGTTTGTCTGTGACTGTAAGTGTAAGTGTAAGTGTGTGCGTGCGTGCGTGTGTGTTTAACTCTCAATCTCTAATTAGAATTGAAAAGTTTGATTGATTTTAAATATTAATATTACTGTCCATCTCTTTTAAATTTTTTTCCTGGGAAATAATAATATAATAAAATACACCCGTGTCTCCTCTATCAACAAGGTATTAAAATCATCGTTTTGTCTATATCTTCACTACAAATATCCGTAACTTGTATTTCTCACTAAGGAAATCCAAGCTCACTAATTATTTTCAGCATATATATATATTACTATATTTTTTTTCATCTGTCGGTTTAAGGTAGAAGATAAGCGTTACAGTCATATATATAAGTATTCATACTATTCGAAACGAAAGACGAGAAATTATTAAGGAAGTGCTATAAAAATAGAATAGACTTATTAGCTATTAAGTTATTATTTATTGAAAATAAATCCAAAATTTAAGCAGAAAGAGGATAATTTTTTTGTTTCATTTCTTTGTCATTTGCCATTAATCAGTTATACAACAACATTTTCCCCTTATCCGTCCTTTTAATATTTAATATTAATTATTAAATATAAAAAATAATTGCATCCCTATTTTTTATCAAGTTTGAGTTTTAAATTTAAACAGTATTAATAGTACTTTTATTTTGATTTCACATTATATTTTAAGTTAGTACCATAATGAGATCAGTTAAGTGTGTGGTAATCGGTGATGGTGGTGTCGGTAAGAGTTCCTTACTGATATCGTATACAACCAATACATTCCCACAAGATTACGTACCAACAGTTTTCGACAATTATTCTACTACCATAGCGTTAAAGGGCAAGACTCCAGAACAAGAACCAAGATTATTTAAGTTAAATTTATGGGATACAGCAGGTCAAGAGGAATATGACACTTTAAGACCGTTGTCATATCCACAAACTGATATATTTTTAATTTGTTTCTCAGTATCGGAGCCTTCAAGTTTTGTTAATGTCAAAGAAAAATGGTTGGCTGAAGTCAAACGAATAGCCGGAATTACCAATTCTGATTTGTACAGGGCTGAAGGTAAATATCCAATTTTACTAGTAGGTACTAAAGCAGATTTAAGAGAAAATGAAGAACAAAAGGATAAATTACATGCAATGAACTCTGATTTTATATCTCAATCAGAAATCAATAAATTAGTAGATGAATGTAAGTTCGCTGGTTACGTCGAATGTTCAGCTGCTACTCAAATAGGTGTCACTGAAGTTTTTGAAACTGCAGTTGAATATGCCGTTTATGAAGAAAAATTGAATAAACCAAAGAAAGAAGTTCGCAAGAATTCCTCAAAGAAATACGAGCAAAAGAAACAGGCAAAACCTGAATCGATCACAGCTTCTAGTAACATAAATTCAGATAACATTGCACAATCATCTCATAGAGCATCATCTCCTAATGTTAATGGAAGTGCAACAGCGGCACCAAAGATTTTAGCAAAACCAGTTACGTCAAATCAGAAAAAGAAGTCTTCTCCAAGGAAAAAGGTTGTAAAGCCAAAAAATTGCATAATAATGTAAGTTGATGTTTAATACATTCCATTTACATATTCTTAATCATTTTAATAAAAAAAATCAATAATTATAATATTAAATTTTTTCCTAGGGAAAAAATTTCATAATGCAATACATCATATCATAGTCATTTTAATATCAAATACTATTAACAAAGATTAATCTATTCGGAATTATTCATTAATTTAAATTTTACTTAATATTCCATTACTTATTTATTTTAATTCCGAAATTTAATAATCATAATGTTTTTAATCAATCCTAACATCTAACGTTTAATTTTAATATTAAATATATTCTGATGTCTCAAATAGCACAAATATATATATATAACCATGTATATGTATCCTATATACTATTGTAATATAGTCTTAGAACACTTATTTATTTAAATTTATCATGTGACATATTTCTTTAAATACACAACTTTTTTAAATTTTTTCCTTTTTCATTAAAATTTGATACTCTAATACTTTGCACGGATAAATTTCTGACTGTAAAAATAAAAATTTTAAATTCAAAGCTCATCTCAAAATATTTGAATCGAGAATAAGATGAGATGAGCTCTAATTATTGATAAAAGTTTGGTTATATATGGGATTGATGGTTTTAATATATATCTGAAGTACAATTATAGCAACTGAGAAATAATATAGTTAAGATTATTCGAAATGGCAGAAACTGAAGTAAAAAAATTAACTAAGAAACAACAGAAAGCTCTGCAATTTAGAAAGAAGAAAGATGAGCCTAGCACTGATATAGGTTCCAAAAGAACATCAAGTGAAAGTTCCACTAATGATAATGATGAAGAACCTGTTAAGAAAAAGAGAAAGACAAGAAGAGGTCGTGGTGGTAAAGGTCGTGGTGATAAGAAAGGTAACAGATTTATAGTCTTTGTCGGTAGTTTACCAAAAGACATTACAGCTACTGAATTACAATCCCATTTTAAATCAAGTTCACCGGATCATATTAGAATTAGACAAGATAAAGGTATTGCATTTTTGGAATTTGATGCTGATAAGGATCCAACAAATATTCAAAGACGTATGGATGTTGCTTTATTACAACATAGAACTCAATTGAAGGGTAAACCAATTAATGTCGAATTAACTGTAGGTGGTGGTGGTAATAGTCAAGAAAGACTAGAAAAATTAAGAGTAAAAAATGAAAAATTAGAAGAAGAGAGACGAGAAAGAGTCCGTAATATGGTCAAAGAAAGTAGTAAAAAAAGTAAACCAGCTGATCCAAAGGATGGTAATACAGGTGCTAGCGGTGGTGTGCATCCAGATAGAGCAAAGCTAATACAAAGACAATGAATGTAGAAATAGAATAGAACATAGTAGGTATATAATTTTTTCAAATTAACTTTGTACATTATTTTAAACTATTTTTTTAGGTATATTGGCGTAAATTGAAGATAGAATACGCCAATAGCAAAAAAATATAAATCATACCAAATAGCACTTAATAGAAATAGAAAGAATTCCAAATAATCAGGGATATTATATATATATATATATATATATGTACAATATGGTATAGAGTGGTTTTGGAAAAATCTACAATATTTTCGAAAGATGAGAAAATAGTGACACTAGTATGAACATTTCCCCTTTATGTTCAACAATTATATCTGCAAATATTTAAAAAAGAAATCAAGAAAGTAAAAAAAACAGATGATAGAAACACCTTTTTGTTTACCAGATGAGCCAATAGGTAATGAAAATAGAGTAAATCATGATATAAAACCAATTGCGACAAGATTCATCTTATCCAATGTTAAGAGCAAGACAAAAAGTATGGGATTAACACTGTTGAAAAACTTGGTTAAAAATAATACGAACCAAAGATATGAATATTTTAAGTCGAAGAGTGAGCTATACGATGAATTAAAAGAAACATTGGGTAAAGGTTCAGGAGGAAGTGTTAAAATAGTTCGGCGCAAGACAGATGATAGAATATTTGCGGCTAAAATATTTCGTCATAAAAGTTCTGATGAAAACCATAAAGAATATTTTAAAAAGATAACCAATGAATATTGCATTAGCAGCACATTAAATCATCAAAACGTCATCAATACACTCCATATCGTATATGATCGATCACATAATCAAATGATCCAAATCCAAGAATATTGTGAATATGATTTATTTTCTATAGTGGTATCGCAAATGATGACATACAAAGAGATTAAATGCTGTTTTAAACAGATATTACACGGAGTCCAATACTTGCATGGAATTGGTATAGCCCATCGAGATTTGAAACTCGACAATTGTGTCATTACCAAAAATGGCACGGTCAAAATAATAGATTTTGGAGTCGCAATGATATACAGAGACCCTCCACCACAAACTACAAAATCTATCATAATGAGTACTGGAATAGTTGGAAGTGATCCGTATATACCTCCTGAGGTGTATATGTTTAACAAGTATGATCCAAGAGCTGTTGATATTTGGTCATTATCGATATTATTTGTATGTATGTATACGAGGAGGTTTCCATGGAAGGGACCTCATTTAAATGATGAATCATTTCAATTATTTTGCCAAGGCCGCGGTAGTAGATCATTGAAGCAACTATTAACATGTCGCAAACAATCCTGTTCCCACAAACGATCCAAACCAAGGAAACATACTAACGGCAGTGGCAAGACAGAAGAAGGTTCAAATATTGTGGGGCCTGAATTCTTACTACAGCAAATACCCGCCGAAGCAAGAGGTACTATAGATCGAATGTGTCGGTTGGCTCCAAGTGAACGAATTGGCATCAATGAGCTTTTGGAAGAGGATGAATGGTTGCAAGAGATTGAAATGTGTAGTTCTAGAGGAATTGACGATAGTCCTATTATGTATCCTCATCACCACCATACGCAGGTGTCATCAGATAAATCACATATGGCGAAATGGAGAAAAAACAAAACATGATGACTGCTATTAAGACTACGATGAGGATGAAGAGAGTGATATTTTGCAATTTGAAAATGATATGACATGACTGTATTTGGATAAACCTTTTCGATCTTTCCAAATCTTGATTTTAGATTAATGGATTAATGAAAATTAATTAATTCGGAAAGGTCCGTTTATAGTACTAAATAGAGGTAAGATAGCAATAAAGTTAAATTTATGTTGACGAAACGAGTTAAGAGAGGTTTGAAAGACAGCCAACGAATTTTTATCTATCCATTTATTAGTGTATGATATGACATAGTTTGGTGGAATATGTCCAAGCGGAAAACAAAGAGCGATACAATGGAATGGAATGATTAATTAAAAAATGATGATGATTGTTGATTTCTTGCTGCTCGTTTTTCTTGGAACGGGATGAGGAGAAAGTAGGGGGGGGGGGGACAGGACAGGACAGGACGGGAGGTGAGAAGGCAGAGCGTCATTACTGTTAACGCGTGATTCGTTACCGAATAGGAAATAGAACCAATGAAACTTAAAAGGTACTTTCTGTGCGAGAAAGTTCGAGGGGTGAAAGGGAAATGGGACGGTGTGTAATAAGAGCAAGTGGGAAGAGGGAAGAGGGAAGAGGGAAGAGATCCCCGGGATGGAATAAGTACTTTCTTTTTGATATCCCTTTTTATCTTTTTGTTCGGCCTTTTCCCTTTTCATTGTCGTTGTCATTTGAATGGAATTTTTAGAACAGAATAAAATGAAATTTAAAGTATTGGGTAACGAATGACTATTGGTGTTGTTTTACCAGTGGGTGGTCGATCTATAATATCTCTGTCAGTAGTTTTCAATGATTCAACTTTGATGTGAATGGTGATTCAACCGTAGTTTAGAGATAATATTTTCGAAAGTTTACCCAGTTTAGCGAAAACGAAGGGGAAAATAAAAGCCGTATGTATGGTTTACCTTCTTTTTCTTGGTTTTATTATAGGACAGCCAGCCGAAGTGGGTAACTGGACAGAAGTCCGGTCACTTGATAACAATGACAACAGCAAGTTGGAGTAACTGGCAACTGGCAACACCAGAACCGAAATTGTTGAACTTCTTATTCTAATTCTTATTCTAATTCGAAATCACAAAGCAACAAAGAGGAGAAAATCGGGGGAAAGACAATAACAATACAGACACAGCACACCCTATAACCAAATCAGTCAATGTATAGCTGGCTTATGTGATAAACCACATTTCCAATAGCCACTCAGCCATAACGTAAAATTGTAAAACTTGGAACTGCAAAACAACTGACACAAAAACTGTATCTGTATCTATTTTCTACATTTACTATTACAATTACAATTACAATTACAGTTACAATTGCATCTATGTTGATATTAGTAAAGGACCACCGAATCTGTTACTGCCAAACTGAAAATGAGGAGATCTCTCTGTCTGTTTTGTTTACTGTTTCGAAACATATATAAACGTCAACCAAAAAGCCCCATCATCAGTTTCGAATCGGATTTCTCTCATATTGGACCTTTTTGGATCACAATTAAAAAAAAAAGAAAAAGAACATAATAAATAAATAAGTCATACAATATTGTACAAGAGCAAGAACACGAACAAGTACACATTTACAATTGTCTGTTCAGTCACTACTTTCTTTCAAGTCACTTTGTTTTCTTTTTTATTTTTTAATTTTTGTAGTTCAGCTAGTATACAGCACTTCTTCAACTATTGATAAGTAATCTGCGTGCTGGCTTAAGACACTCATCTCATACGTACACAAATACATACCGACAGCCTAAATTGTTCAACTAGAACATATCAGCAACTGCAACTGCAACAAGAGCAATTACAAACACCGGAGGAATATTGCCGTTTCTTCTTCTTTCATCTGATATTTTGTGTTTGTTTGCCCTTTGTTTTTCACTTATATACTTTTTAAGGGATACCATACCATACCATTCTATACCGTACGTTGCTGTCTGGATATACGAGACGGAATTGATTTATCCTCGTGGCGCATCCAAACACCCCGCATAGTCACGACTCTCTAGCTATAGTTCCGATCGCCCCCTCCCCGGAAAAAGGGTCATCACATTTACAACTACAAATTACGTATATACTTGATAGTTTGGTTTTTTGCCCACTTAGAGCTGTTTCCTCCTCCTGCTGCCTACTAACGACTGCCATTTGGTTAGCACTCACATTTTTGATCATTCAAAAATTTAAAAAAGGAAGAAGAATTTAGTAATATATATATACACAAGCACATATTCCAGCATATTGTACTACACCTTTGCTGGGTTTAACTGTTGTTGTTTTTTTCTACTTCGTTCTATTTATTTCGTTTGGCTTTGTTGTCATTTTTGGTATCTTATCAACTTTCGAAAAGTTATATATCCATATATGCATTATTGTTAATTACAAACTAATAAGAAATAAAAATTAAAAAGTAAAATTAAATTAATATTTAAACACCCACAATATTATTCTTTTTTTTTTATTGATAAGTGAGCTTCCCATTTTATTCAGTATTTTTTCCCCCCTCATTTTCATTTTCAGACGCTCCCCTATACAATACTCAGATTCATTTATAATAAAAATATTTCAAACAAAAAAGAATTTTCTATTGTTAACACTTATCCTAATACTGTTTTCCTTCAAAAGATAAAAATAATAATAATAATAATAATAATAACAATAATAATACATATTTACTTATATTTGCATCATACTATAAACAAATCCAAAAGTTCAACCATATTATTCAAAAGAATTTATTAAACAATTACCAAAATAAAATATCCATAATATCCATAATAATAATAATACTAGAAAAAAAAATATGTTGTTAGTCAATAATAAGCCTTTAAAACAAGGCTCTACTCCAAATACAGCTTCCATTTCGACTCCAAGCAATGCACCTCCTGATATTTCCGCATTATCAATTTCTTCAATGTCAGATTATCACGTGTTTGATTTTCCAGGCAAAGATCTACAACGTGAACAGATAATTGACTTGTTAGATCAACAAGGCTTCATTCCAGATGATTTAATCGAACAAGAAGTTGATTGGTTTTACAATTCATTGGGTATCGATGATTTATTCTTCTCAAAAGAATCGCCTGATGTCTTGGCAAACATCATTAATTCCTTATACGCTTCAAAATTAGACGCTTTTGCAAAATCAAAGTTTTCTCAATTACAACTTAATACCGGTTTCAATAACGTTAATAACAATGCCAACGCAAGCAATCAAATCGATTCAACTTTAATTAATGATGAAATCGTCCAAGAAGCAGAACCTCCTCATGGTAATGTGAAATTACCTCATTCACATCCTCAAAGTTTCAATATTAGAAATAAAATTATCACAAATAATCATGCAATTTTGATCGAAACTAATAATATTTGCCCAACTAGATTATCATCATCTTCCAGTGCTTCATTAGCTGCAGATTTTGAAAGAGATAGCATCAACAATGAACACTTTTTAGATTGCAGTTCTCCTTATCAATTGGATTCTGTAATCGACGATCTATTCCTAGATAACAAATCAAGAAAAAGTTCAAGATGTGTTTCCTATTGGACTCAAGAGAGTGGTTTGAAATTATCCTTTATTTACGAATCTGTATTCGATGATAATATCTCAAAGCAAATCCCTCCTGCTAAACTGTTGAATGGTGAAATAGATGGTATTAGTGATAAAATCATGTTGCAAGTTACCTCTCCCGAAAACAAGAGGCTATATGGTCTTCTAATTAAATTAGTTCAAGAAAGAGAAGGTCCAATAATCAAGACTGTCCATTCTATTGAAAATAATGATGAAATTAGATTGTTGGTAGCATTCAAAAGATTTACGACAAAAAAATATTATTCTGCCTTAACTTCTCTTTTCCATTATTACAAATTGAACCCTTCGAAATTTTATTTGGAATCCTTTAAACAATCTGATAGTATTAATGATGATATCATTATATTTTCGATATATTTAAATAAAACTTTGCAATCTGATGACATTTTACCAAATGATTTAGAATTGTCAATTAGACAGATTGAAAAAGAAGCTTCCCTATTGTATGCAATCCCAGACAATTCTTTCAGAAGAGTTTATGAAGATCGTCAATTCTCCCCTCAAGAAGCTGTATATGCTCATGTTGGTTCTATCTTTATTAACCACTTCATTAACAGACTAGGTGCGAATTATCAAGCTTTGATTTCTCAACTAAATCTAAATGAATCAAATACTCTATTATTAGAGATTGTTGACAACCTAAAGAAAAAATTGAGATCTGAAACGTTTACAAAACAGATGATCATAGCAAATTTAGAAAAATATCATAAAATTGTCTCAAAATTATACAAGAATTTTGCAGAATTACATCATTATCAAGACAATGCCAAAAAATTAGAAAATACTTTATCTTATCAAAGATTCTCAAAATTAGAACCATTTGCAAATGATCAAGAATTTGAATCATATTTGAACAAATTCATTCCAAATGATTCTCCTGCTTTATTGATATTGAAAACATTAAACCTATTCAATAAATCTATATTAAAGACAAACTTCTTTGTGACAAGAAAAGTTGCTATTTCTTTTAGATTAAACCCAGAATTAATCATGCCAAAGTCTGAATATCCGGAAACTCCATTTGGTATCTTTTATGTCATTGGTAACACATTTACTGCCTTCCATATAAGATTTAGAGAAATTGCTCGTGGCGGTATCAGAATTGTTGTTTCAAGAACATTAGATGCATATGAAGTTAACTCGAGAAGTATTATTGATGAAAATTATCAATTAGCATCAACTCAACAACGTAAAAATAAGGATATCCCCGAAGGTGGTTCAAAAGGTGTCATCTTATTGAATCATGGTTTGACTACTCAAGACCATACTTTTATTGCTTTTAGTCAATATGTCGATGCAATGATTGATATCTTAATTAAAGATCCATTGAAAGAAAAGTACATTGATTTGTTAGGTCATGAGGAAATCTTATTCTTTGGTCCTGATGAAGGTTCCGCAGGCTTCGTCAATTGGGCCACTGAGCACGCAAGAAAGAGAGGTTGTCCATGGTGGAAGTCTTTCTTGACCGGTAAATCACCAAAGTTAGGTGGTATTCCTCATGATGAATATGGTATGACTTCATTAGGTGTTCGTGCTTATGTTAACGAAATTTATAAAACTTTGGAATTAACTGACAAAAAGATATTTAAATTTCAAACTGGTGGTCCAGATGGTGATTTGGGTTCGAATGAAATTTTGTTATCCACACCTAACGAAGTTTATGTAGGTCTTCTAGACGGATCTGGGGTTTTGTGTGATCCAAATGGTTTAGATAAGTTGGAATTAGTGAAATTAGCTCATGAGAGAAAAATGGTTTCCAACTATGATAAAGCTAAACTAAGTGAATTAGGTTTCTTGGTAACAATTGATGATATGGACGTAATGTTGCCAAATGGTACAATTGTTGCAAATGGTACTACTTTTAGAAATACTTTCCATACTGAAGTATTCAAATTTGTTAATCGCGTTGACTTGTTTGTCCCATGTGGTGGTAGACCAAGTTCTATCAATTTGAATAATCTATCATCATTTATTGATGAAAGAACTAATAAATCCAAGATTCCTTATATTGTTGAAGGTGCTAATTTGTTTATAGCCAAATCGGCAAGTGTCGCATTAGAGAAACATGGTTGTATTTTGTTCAAGGATATGTCTGTTAATAAGGGTGGTGTTACGTCTTCATCTTTAGAAGTTTTGGCTTCCTTATCATTGAATGATAACGATTTTGTCAATAAATTTATTGGTCATAGTACTGACAGAACTCAATTATATAAGGATTATGTTGTTGAAGTTCAAAAGAGAATTATGGAAAATGCTGAGTTGGAATTCCACCAATTATGGAACTTGAGAAATTCCACGAACTCTCCAACTACAAAATTATCAATTACTTTATCCCAAACAATCAATAAGTTGAATGATGACTTAATTGATTCTAACGAATTATGGAATAATGATTTAGTTTTACGTGATTACTTATTGTTGAATAAGATTATTCCAAAGCTTTTGATCGATATTGCCGGTCCAGAAAATATTTTAGAGAATATTCCAGTACCATACTTGAAAGCTTTGATTTCAAGTTATTTGTCAAGTTCTTTTGTTTACAAATTTGGTATTGACGTCGATATTGGTAAATTCTTAGAATATATTGGTGACCTTAAGAGAGAGGCGTATGCTTCCTCATAATGATTATGATACCTTATGAAGCATTTTATTTTAATATAACTTTGTTTTTGTTGTGATTTTTATTTTTTTTATTAACATAATATCCATGACCTCTTTCATATTTGCCATTGACTGGACTGTATGATTTTTGTTACTTTTGATTCTCATGATTTCATCCTAAAAGTAAATAGTTAATAAACTCTATTTTATGTAAATTTTTAACGACTGTAATGTAAATATCATGTTATACCGAATTCATAAGAATATTTTATTATCCTTCTTCTATGACTGAATTGGCTTAGATCAGAAAATGATTTAGGGTCCCTTAGTAAATAGCTTTTAGTAGCTAAAGGCCGAGATGCTTAAAAGAAGCAGTCAGAAACATTCATACTAAGTCTACTTTTAAATGTTAAAAAGAATAAAGGAAAAGTAAAATAGTTGACAAACTAAATAAAGAGGCTGCAAATCATCTATACTTTCTTATAAGAGCAATATATGTTTCAGTTGGTAACAAGGTAGTTCGTAAAATAAGAGTCAAAACAAACTATGAAACTTCAATATGAATCAGTATCCTCGTTGAAATCATATATTGAAGAAAATGAAAAACAGAATGAATTAAAGAGTGGTAAAAGAGCTGTCAGTGGCAGTCAAAATATTACAGAAAATGGGGTTGATAAACTTTCATTTAATTCCATTATTAATGAAAGTATCAATTCAAGAATAAATTCCACAAATGTCGAAGGCAATAAATATCCTTCCAAATACTTCAAAGAAGTGTTACTTTCAAGACTAGCAGCTATTAAAATATTCGATCATGCTTGTCATGGTGGCAGCATAGAGATAATGGGGATGCTGGTAGGAACTATTCTTTACAACCAAATTGTAATTTATGATACTTACGAGCTACCAGTAGAAGGGACAGAAACTAGAGTAAATGCACAAATGGAATCATACGAATATATGGTACAGTATATGAATGAAACATTTGATGAAACTGCAGTAAAAAATGATATACAGCATATTGTGGGTTGGTATCATTCACATCCAGGTTATGATTGTTGGCTAAGCAATATAGATATTCAAACTCAGAAACTTAATCAAGATTTCCAAGACCCTTATGTGGCTATTGTAATAGATCATTGTAAAAGTATTCAAGATAAACAGCTTGCGATTGGAGCTTTTAGAACTATAACTGCAGAAAATAACCAGGAACAAACTACAGAATATTATCAATTGCCTATCTCGATTTTTCAGTCAGACCTCGATGCCAACATACATTCCAAGAAGTTATATTTGGAGCATCCTAAAATAGATGAAAATACAGACGCCATTCTGTTATCGAGGTTAATGGATACTCTTAAACAAAGTTCCACATTTAACGAAATGACTCAAAAGAATAATAACAAACGTATAGAATTAAAAGATATCAATAGATCAGATGTAGTGGAGAAAAAACCGAGATATGAAGTACAGCTTGGTAGTTTATTCAACCCTCAAAGCACAAGTTCTGTTGGAAGCATCGCATCTACAAAGAATGACAGTGACATCGACATGACCAATCAAGTTTTAGATGATGATGATAGCATAACAAGTAGTTTACAGCCAATTAATGACTTATTACCTGCTCACAACAGTATGTATTCATCTTCAAATATTAATGTAGCCGATAACAGTTCTTCATTAATGACTTCCTTAAGAGATATTTTGTCTAGACATGAAGAAAATCAGGAGTCACGACAAACACCTCCAGTTATTGATGAACCTGAATTACTTCAGAATAATGCTATTGAAAAATTTTATGAATATAATAAGAACAGGGTATTGAATTACAAATTAATAAAATATAAGAATTTAAGATTTTATAAGGATACATTCAGTCTATAGAGGCTCTAAGCAGAGATATTCCTGATTTGACAGCGGAAGTTTTATCTGAATCAGAAAACTTATCTGGAGAATAAGATATGGCAAAATATTCATTTCCTTGAGGGCATTGTTGGACAATATTAATTCTAGAACCTGTAAAAGAAGTTAGACATTCACTTACTGATTGTTGATAGTCTTTAACAATCGAACCATCAGACGCAAGACCTCCAAACTCGATCATATCACTTTGCCAATTTATAACTGATCCATAATCAGTACCTAGCATTAATCCGTTGGTCTCTGATAAGGTCCCCTTCATTTTCTGGGTTCCAATTTTATAGGGAATCCTTAATTGGTTTATAACTTTGTTGTCTTTTCGAACATCCACTATATCTATAGTATTTGAAGAACGATGCAAAATATATAGGAAATGACCATTGAATGACGGTAATATTTGATAAACCCCATTCCCATGTTGAAAGTTTAATAACCTTCTTTGACTAGCCATACGCTTATCAACGACACCCATTTCTCTTCCGTAAGTTCCAAAATAGACAATGTTAGGATATCTATTATTACAATCTATATTAGCACGATCAATAAAACAGGATATAATTGACTTTCTTTTTGATGAGGATTGCTCTCTTTTGAACCTATCGAAAGATACTACTGGCTCCTTCCTTCGAACATCATAAAGTGAAATTTTGTTATTCACAGATCCTGTTATAAATTGAGAACTATTTATAAATATCATTGAAAATATAATATCATACCTCTCAATTTTGTCATTCAATGTATTGTAAGTCATAGATGGCTTAGAGCATGATGTAGAATCTGTGTCTAGTTGGTAACTTTGTAACGGTACATCTCTACCAGAAATCAATAACATATTACCTGATCGATTTTCATTAAACAATGAATATGTAGGAGATAATGCACTTGCTATTATTGATCTTGGAGAGAATGTTCTAGTAAAAGGGACTAACATGGATTCATTATCACAATTCTCAGATTCTGGGATTAAATATTGTCTTATTCCGTAATCATCATTGATGGCAACCAATGAGGTACCATCTGCAGACCAATAAAGGTCCTGACATATATCTAACTTATTTAAATTCCCCAGTTCATTGCAATATTTTGAATCATTCAGTTTTGGATATGGATAAGATGATGTGGAGGCCAATTTTGACCAATATGTATTCTCCTTATCCCAAACTATATTCAAATTGGCACCATTAAACGTATTAGCAGTAGAAGAAAGTGTATACCATCTCTGTTTATCATTCATCAATTCACGATCATCTATAGACCCATACTAAGTTATCATGTAGAAAGCATATATGTATCTATATAGTTGATTATTTTCAAAATCATCTCGGTTTAACTTTATATATATTTAATCTTAACAAATTATAGAAGGTACATAATAAGATGGAAATAAATAAAGTTGCTAATATTATCTAAAAGTCTAAAATTATAAAGATAAATTAATGTTATTTGAATTACACAAAATAATAAGCAAATAATGATTTTTAAAAATGAGTTAAATTCTGTACAAACTTAATATATTTATATGCAGTAACAAAATTTAAACAAAACAGAACTTAGGATAAAATTTCTGTGATTGTGATGTCGGTATTAATAAATGAAAAATTAACTCCAAAGCTGTTGTAATATTACTTTAAATATCCTTTAAAGAGTACTTGAAAAATTGATTAGTTGAAATTGAAATTTTGATTGACATTTGACCCAAAGGCGAAAGTGTTATCTGCAGTCTTTGGAGCCATATCTTTATCCAGATTATCTTCTTCTTCTTCACCAAAGTATGTTTCAATAAGAGCATAGGCTTTTTCATAAATCTTATCGTTTTCGTTTCTTTGACAGTTGAAAATCTTTTCCATACCACCAGCTTTTTCGATGTAATCAGCGTTTTCATTTATAGCCAAACCACGCATTTCTTTATCATTTTCACCCATCTTTAAGATATTTTCTATAGCATCTAATGTAACCTCAATTATCTTGTTATCAGCGATATCTAATAAATCACATAAAGGTTTTATACAGCCTTGATTTACTAAATATCTTATAATTTCTGGTCTGTTCAAACCACCAGAAGAAGCATTGGAAATTGCCCAACATGCTTCTTTTTTTGTTTTATAATCGGCACCGGCCAATAATTTAATTAATTGTGGGATGATATCGGAATCAACAACTGCTTGAATTTGTTCAGTGTTACCAGCAGTAATATTTGAAATAGTCCAACATGCTTCTTTCTTGATTGATTCTTTTGGAGAACTTAGTAGACTTCTTAATGCAGACAAAACACCAGCGTTGATAACAACTTGAGTTTGTAAATCATTACCGGTAACAATGTTACCTACTGCTCTTAATGCAGGGGTTTGAACTAATGTAGATTGATGATTTAACAATTCGACTAATCTTTTTGGAATTCTAACGTCGATGACAGCTTGAATGGCTTCTTGTGGGCCGTCTGACAGGTATGAAATAGCCCAACATGCATCGATTAAAGTTTCAGTATCCAATGAATAAATTAATTTGGCTAAAGTTGGTAAGGCCTTTGAGACGATATCCCAATCTGGTTGTGGTTTCTTACCCCTACATAAGTTTGATAAAGTCCAAGTGGCAGTTCTGATCAAAGAAGTTTTATTTGTGTTAAATAAACCTAAAATTGGTTCCATAGCTCCACTTTGCAAGACATGGTCTCTATAATCGGTAGAATCACCTGCAACATTACCCAAAGCCCAGATGGCTTGTTCTTGAACTTCAACTGAACCAGTGTATAATAATTGGATGAACAATGGAACTGCACCAGCTTCGACAACAACTCTAGTTTGAGAAGAAGAACCTGAAGCGATATTGGTTAAAGCCCAAGCAGCTTCCAGTTGTAACATTTCAGGTTGGTTTTCATTCATGAAGTTAACTAAAGTTGGGACGACGCCAGATTTAATAACTAATTCGATCGGAGGATGGTGTTCTCTGGATAAGATTTGTCTGAACTTGACAGTTGCAGCCAATTGTTCTTGCATATCATTTGAATGGATTTGCTGTATCATAGCAGGTAATTCTAATTGCAATTGTTCATAAAACTGTTTATCAGCGACAGAACCTTCGTCGTCTTCATCGTCGGAATCAGCCATTGGGCCATTTACAGGGGCCGCAAAGTTTCTTCTTTTTGCCAAGGCTTCATCTCTTTTAGCCTTTCTCAACTCGACCTGTTGAGTATCTCTACGACGACGTAATTCATCAGCAGAGAATCTACCTTTATTCTTGAAATTAGTACGTCTGTACTCAGGAACAAACTTATTAGTAGAACTAGAATCGTCACCGTTCATTTTTGTTGTTGTTGTTGCTTGCTAGTTTTATCCTTTTTAATAGTAATAGTAGTTTCCTATCGATACGAAATCAATCAATTTACCACTAATATAGTATAATATTTTTTTTGCTAATATATATATGTATATATATGTTTCTTCTGTTGTTAATCAAAGAAAAATTCTATTTTCAGAGGAGAGAAGACAAACCAAAAAAAAAAATTATTGTTAACAGAAAAGCCAAAAATAAAAAAAGATGTAGAAGAGGCTATAATAACACGACCTAACTGGGAAAAAAACCACACAAACACAGATACGTAGAGCTGCTCTTCAATCAATAGTCTAGTTTCAAACCAAAAGCCAGTCTATGAATCTATAAATTAAAGAATAAAGTGTATTTAAATTTGATATATAGATGCTTTTAATATTTAAAATTTGGTTTGGTTTGGTTTGGTATTGTCAAATTTTAAATTTTTTTTGATGTTAAAAAAATATTCGATTTTGGTGTAGCGCGTCTTCGGGTGATTGCTAACTGAGATCAAAAAGGTGTTTCGGTGAGAGATGTGAAGAAGAAAGGTATGTCGTTGTTAGTGATGTGTGGTTTTTGTAGTACAGTAGGCATATATATATATATATGTTTGTAATATTATTTGGCTATTAAGATGGGGGGTAGGTGGGGCAAATCTTCTCTTTCTATCTGTTTTTGTTTCACTTAATTAACATGAGAATTGATCGAGTTCTCATGTTATATCATAATATACATATATTGATTTTTTGTAGTGAAATGCCGGGTAATTACATCACGTGATATTCGATACATATATATGTATTTGTATATTTGTAATAGTAGTAGTAACAGCGTCATCACAGGAATACTAATCAATAAGGAACAGAACATGTATTCTGATATTAGTTGAATGAATCATATCAATTCATTATCTACAACTAATTATGGTCTGTTCTGTTGTTAGTTTTTTTTGGTTTAGCAAGTTCATCCAGTACTTTTATTCTAAGTACTACGTTTTTCTTTATCTCTACACGACGTCATCCTAGAGAGTGTGATCGTTCAATCGACAAGTAGGTATACATGGTTACTTTGACTATTTATTGATAATTTATTTATTTTTTTAATATATTTGTAGTCATCTAAATAGTGTCATTGTAATTTTCGTTCTGCCTTTGTCACCCAGTGGGTCGGTCAGATGAGTTAAAATAGTAGTGGTTGTACACTTTTTATCAAGTATCAAATATCAAATTTACCCTCCATCACCCCCCCCCCCTACCCCTCACAAGGCTTTGTATAAGTGATTTGTCTTCTTATTATGGGAACCCAGTGCTGGTCTCTCATATTAAATGTCATCATCCATCGCCTTTGTATACTCCCATCAAACAATAATCAAGAAACGATTAAAATAATTCAACTACTCGATAAGAATGCATGTAACTGTAGTAATATTTTTAAATACACTTACACATACACACTCACTCACTCACTCTCGCACTATTTTTTGCTCCAAACTACATTTGAATATAGAAGATAAATTGGATGACAAGATAATTTATGCTGATTATCAACCAAAGCTTTTTGGTTATCTGATTCAAATTGTGTCATTTTGATTAAACCAATAAAAAAACTAAATACATACGATACAACACACATAATCTAATCTAATCTTTCTCGATTTTATTAAGCTAATTTCGAGTTTACCAGTACAATTCAAATTAAATTTCGACTTATCCAATTGCATGATAAATGTAAAAAGATTACTTTCCCAAGTCATCTGATTGTACTTGAAAGCTATAAATTCACCTCAACAAGTCGAAACATCGTTAGAAGATATCTGCAGAAGTTGTAATATTGAGTGGACCAAGTTTATCTTTATATAAATCAAACTGGCCCATCGATTAGTGTTATTTTCTACTACATCATCAGTATGCAACTTTTAGAGGTTCTCGAACAAGATTGTTGCCATCCTATTGGCACACGATCATTTGTCTGTGGCAACATGTCCCTTAACGAAAGACAGAGATGGAAACGTACGCTACTGACGTTGTCGAGACATGGTCAAATTGCATTAAAACTACATTAGTTACTTGGTGAGTTAAATAGTTAAATTTAGAACATGTAAATGTTGGAGTCTTCTGCAACTTAATGATTGTTACCAGGAAAGAAGAAAAGGATATTATTTGGTTTCAAATAAATGTCAAAAAGTAACAACTAGTCATATAACAGGCAGTACTCTTTCCACTGGATACCTCTTGATAAAATTTTTGATCTTGAAATGGTAATATAGGGAAAGATCATTAGCTTATTTTATCAATCACACATTCCCCTGTGGACTGATGGTTCAAGGAAAGTATGTTATCACATAACCTGATGACATGAAATTATTGTTTGTTAGAAACGACAAAAATAATCTTTAAATCAAACTCAATTGGGGAGGGGGGAGGTCATGAAATGTAAAACTTTTGAATCAACTTGTTATTTTGAATTAAATTTATCAATGACAATTGAAGTCAATTATGGTCAATTGAGCTTAAGAAGGCTTCAATTGATGTGTCTTCGAAATTTAGTAACTAAGAAAATTGTAATGAGAAAAAAAATTGATTATAAAATTATTATTGTATATTATTAATTACTATTAGGTTAAATAACAATTAAATAAAACTAAAAATTAAATATATTTAAAATATTAGATATTAAAAATTAAAATTAAAAGATTAAGTGAAAAGGATTGTCATAGAACGATCAAATTGAATTTCTATCTCTTATTAAAAGGTAAATTACCAACTCAGACTTATTAAAAAACCATTCAATTCACCACCAGGATGTTTTGTAACAGTTTGAAGACTTGAGCGGATTGGAAAAGGTAGAGAATATTAAATTCACTTGAACATTTTAGCTGAGTTGAATTGAATATATTACTGCGTTAAATCAATAAAAGGAAAATTAGTTATTAGTTAAAGATTGTTTAAGCAGTAGTGTTACCTTCGGTACCAGCTGGTTTTTCTTGGTAGTTGTTGTTAGAAGAGTCAGCGGTAGAGTAAGCGTTACCTTGTTCAGCATCTTGCATACCGGAACCAGAGTAACCGTAAGAGTCACCGACTGGTTCACTCAAAGTCAAACCAGTGAAACGTTGCAACTTGGTACCCATGGAAGAACCAGTCTTGAACAAACCACTCATACCGTACTTGTTAGTGATTGGTCTCATAACGTTAATACCGACCAAAGTACAGGTAACCATGAATAAAACAGTGTTCAAACCAGCAAAAGCAGTAGCAGCCTTCAAAGAGTTACAAGCACGACCGAAGCTCTTGTCAGTGTACTTGTTGGTGAATTCATTGTATCTACCACCGTATTCGTTGAAGTCGGCCAAAGAACCGTATTTTGGGTTGTAAGTGTCAGTAACTCTGTCTCTACAGTGGTGCTTACCAACTTGGTAGGCAACGGTGATGAAACCAGAGATGTACAAACACATAACGATGGCTTCAGAAATGAATAGTAAACCAGCAAAGACCAAGGATGGGAACAACAAAGTACCGATCATAACACATAGCATATAGAATTCAGAAATGACACCGACAGATAGACCCAAGTTGATTTTTGGGTTACTGTGGTGGTGGAAATCTCTAGTAGCGAAAGCGATTAGAGACATGACCAAAGTTGCAGAAGCAAATTGGAAGAATCTGATGATACTGAAAGGTAGGATACTTTTAGACATAGCCATTTTGATATTAGTGTATTATTATTAGTTGGGTATTAATTAACTGTATTAGTTTGTATGGTATATTTTTATATTGTAAGATAAAATTATAATATAATGGAATTGGAAAGAATTGAATCGAAAGTGATTGATAATTGTGAAGATACCATGCCTATATATACGATAAAATTGGGATGACATTCGACCCCCATCTCATCATGATCGAGGGTCAATGTTATCAATTGATAAAATCACTCAACCTCCCAATTCCTAAATTGAATAGAATAATACCCATAGAACAAGGGAAGAAAAAAAATTTTCTTTCCCTATTACCAATGAATGAATTAATTAATTAATTAATTAATTAATTCGACTATTCCTTGTTTGCCTTTACATTAAATTTCAGTTCACTTGTGATACTTACTGCTTCCCCTACATGCATAATCCATTTTAGCACTGCATATTTTCCTCTTACTCTTCCTAATCCATACATGAAAAATTTTGTATATTTTGTTTTATTGTTATTATTTTGTTATTACTGTTAGTATTATTAGGATATTGGGATATTGGGATATTAGGATATTGGGATATTGTTATTATTATTATTAGTTCAAACAGGTAAGGGCAGGCTGCCCTATAATCGAGGTAGAACGAAGGGACACTTGACAGGGAAAGAAGGAAAGGGAGAAAAATAATACACCTAACCTATTCGGGTAGTATCCTCTAAAACGTCCTAGTCAGACCAGAGGAGAGCCGCACTTGAAAAAACAAAAAACAAAAAACAAAATATGAAAAACAAAATATGAAAACCCATTACACAAAATTCGCAATAACGTAACGTAGCATAACAAACCATAACATAACAGAGAGACACACAGAGAGACACTGCTGGAACATCACCATCACCATATCTCCTTCAATTCTGCCCGAGCCACTTAATTCCGAACCTGTAAACCAAAAGAGAAAACCAAAACAAACCGAAAACAAAATAAAATAAAGTGGTTTCCTTCATCTGTGACACCTACAGTGAGTGCAGTGCAGTGCAGTGCAGTGCTTGCACATTTTGCGTTCCTCTCGCAGTTGAAGTTTCCAATTCAATTCGACATGACATCCCTTAGAGCTGTTCCTGGGAGTAGAGTCATGTATATGCAACAAACAAAAAAATAAAAGCTATCTATCAGCTGTAATGAAAAAATAAAATTATCAAAAAGAACCCAAAATTCTCAGTGAACAGCAGTAGCACACAACAAACAATAACAATAACAATAACAACAACAACAACAACTATGCTATGATATGTTATGCGGTATACTGTTGCTTAACAGGTCCCCTTAGCATATCTTTTATTTTTATTTTTATTTTTATTTTTATTTTTTTGTTCTCTGTCCACATATGAGATGCCCCTTAACTCATCGATTTTGGACTTCTCTTATGAACTTCTCTCCGTCACATTGGGTAGAACATCACATTACATTACACACGTCACTGGAAAAGAACATTTACCATAATATCCCAATTTTCTGAAACTAAACTCCCTTCAAGAAGGGAAGGGAAGGGAAAGAAAAATTTTCTCCTCTCCGATGGGTTCTCCTAGTTTGTCGATTAGTCAGTTAATCAACCATCTCTCAATTGGCTCCCCATCCATCTTAGGGATGTTCTGAGCAACAAAGTTCCAGCCGTTCTTTTTTTCTTCATCCTTCATTTTCTCCCACTGCCTGCCAATTAAGATAATTATTTATTCTCTAGTGCCATCAATCTCTTTTCCCTGCCTAAACTCCCGTCCGTTCCCTTCCCTTCCCTTCTCTTCCCTTTCGGAGTGGGCCTATTGGGAAGGGGCTCTCTCTCTCTGTCTCCCTCCCTTTCGGTGTCGGTGTATCCTAAAACTTCGGTGTCTTTCAAGGAGACCGAAGTTAGCGTAATGAAGACACATCGAAGCAGGCAGACACAGGGGAGAGGGAGAGGGAGAGGGAGAGGGAGAGGGAGCCAAAGCTGAAGCATTAAGAGAGGGAGTTGGAAGAAGATACACAGCAGTGGTAGTCAGAGATGTGTATGGTATGCTATGCTATGCTATGCTCTGGTATGCTGTGGTATATGGCATCGTATCGTATCGTGGTGGTATCCGGTTTCTTAATTTTAATACCTGGTTTGCAGCAGCTTCTGAGAATGAGGGATGAGTTGTTGTTTTGAATTGAAAACTACTGATTGGTTTGGGTTTTAATGGTTATTGCCTAATTTAGAATTTCTAGATTAAATTAAAATTAAATTTAATTTTGATGTGATTTCATCCAATTCAAATTTATTTTTAAGTTCAGGGGCATTACTCTGCAGTACACAGGTTTCCAGAAAACCAATTCCGAATATAGATAGATAAGGCAAATTGGAATATGTTGTTTATTTCTCTAATTCAGACTAGACTAGACTCGACTCTTCTTCTCTGTTACCTTCTCTTTGCCCAGTCTGCGATTATACTTGGCTATTTTTGTTTTTAACCTGTAAGATGAATTAAGAAAAATAATAAAAAGAAAAAAGAAAATATGTAATGTTTCTTTTTCCTGCTCAGTTTGGTTTGGCCTAAACAAAATATAATGAAAATAAAAACTCCCTGTAGAGAAGCTGATGGAGCAGAGAGGGATGAGATAGTCTGTTTTGTAGCTTTTTCAATGAAGTTCACATAATGAATGATGAATGGGTTTGGTTATATTATTGAGTTGTTTGGCACTCGCCCTGCTGCAACTCTTCCTGTTAGGTCTTTAAACCTTGGGTCCGAGAAATATGAATATTCCATGTCCGTTTTAGGAAATAAGGATCGAATTTCCAATTTAGGCAATGGAACAAAAAACATAATTAAATTCATCTTTCCAATGATCACTGACTGAGACACAGACACAGAAAGAAAAGGCTTTAATGGCGATAAAAATATATATATATTACCATGAGCATTAACGCTAGTCCTTGCAATAGTAGAGTAGAAATTATACTTTCCACTTTATTCTTGGTTCCTCTCTACACTGTGTCATTTTTGGCCAACATTCTAGAAGTTTCGTAAGAAATTAAATTATTGGCATAATGTGATGTAACCTAACCCATTGAAAATAAAAAATGAAAAATGAAAAATAAACAAATTAACATATCCAATCCCCTTGCCTTGATACAGGTGATGAATAGGTCTTCTTACTATCATCAACTTTTCACCTACTATACCATATGGGCACTCGCCGAAAAAGGCCTCGAACGACCTTCCCTCTCTAGAGGGGGAACATTTCTTTCCACAGATTTTGCAACTGGTACAGAACCCATCAGACCCTTACTTTCTGCCAATGATGAGTTCCTTAGATATAACGGATCTTGTTGATAATATTCATCAATTATTGGATGTAATAAAATTGTTTGCTTCTTGATCGTTAATACACTATTGGTAGGGACAGCTGTCCAATCACCTCTTTCAAACGTTAAAGGTTCAGAGGCTACCATAATAACATCTTGATTTCTATCCAATCTCTCCATTCTATACTCTCCTGGCGCAGTCTCAACAAAACTTGAACCACAGCTAAAATGAAGCGACGCTGCCTCATCAGTCTTGGATGCAATATAGCGAGATACTACAACAGTAGAACTATCGGTAATTGCAAAATTTAATAAGGATGGCTCAACATGCTCCTCACCCTTATTAGCTTCATTAGTCCAATCCTTGATGTATTCAATGGTCTTTAAAAGAGCCTTCCTTAATTGATTATGTCCAAAATTACCGTCCTGACGTTTAGGATCCTCACCTAACTTCTCCAATGTATCTAAAAATAATGCAAACGCACATTCTGAGTCTGTGCTTCCTTGAATGAAATTCAAATATTCATCATTGATATGATTTAAAAGCTTTCTTTTGATCTTATAAAAATTTGTTATACCGCCATTATGCATGAAACATAAGTTGTGGTAAGTAAATGGATGGCAATTTGTTTCTGAAAGAACACCATAAGTTGAAGCTCTGACATGGGCAAAAATTAAATCAGATTTTGTCTTTTCCGCCAAGGTCGATAAATTTTGGTTGTTCCAAGCTGGTGTAATAGCTTTGAAAATACATGGACCATCTTGATCCAACTCTGAATCTAATGGATAGTAAGCAACACCAAAACCATCACCATTGACTGGACGTCTTCTATCAAGACGTAATCTGCTATCGAAGGATTGGTTGATGATAGAATGCGCAGGTCTAGTCAATAAATGTGATAATCTAATCGGTTCCTTCCCTTTAAAAATCAAAAATCTACACATTTCCAACTGTTTGATTATATTATTACCGTTACAATTTAACTTATCTTTGTGATTAATGAAGTCTATCAATGAATATAGGCTCACTGGTTTTTGATATCGATAAATATAATAGATGGTAATCAGTCTTATATTCCTGATTTTTACTTATTGTTGCAGAACAGTTAGAACCAATCAATATTAAGCCCAAACTTTTTTTTAAAAAACTTGTACTCTTAGGAATCTTCCAACTTTATTCAATATATCAATACAGATGCAATATAAATTCCTATCTTAGCACCTTTGTAGTTCTTTAATCCAAACCCTATTACTCTTAAATATGTCTCGACCGTAGGCTGAATCTTCTTTCTATCTTCTTTTTTTTTTCACTGTCGAAGGCTTTCAAATATACCTCATTTATGACCCAGCCATACTAATTAATATGACAGAAACCACAACAATGGATAAGTAAGACTCATGTGCTAATGACCAATATGAATACCAAGTTACTTATAGATATATATATATATATAATATCTTAAATTAAGTTATTAATAATTGTAATTTTATTTACACAGTATGACAAAAAGTGTCCTTTAAGATATGTGAGGGAAATAAGTTCTGGTAAATTTCTAATTAATATCTATATACCATTGCATTGCCTATTCTTTTGTATCCAAGATAATAGTGACGGGACCTTCATTTGTTAAACTACAGCTCATCATTGCGCCAAATTGACCATCTTGAACTTTATCATTGCCAAGATCGTTTCTTAGTAATTTCAGAAATGTATCATACAGTTCTTTTGCAATTGGACCTTTTTGAGCCATATGGAAATCAGGTTTGGTACCTTTTTTAGTCCTTGCAAGTAAAGTAAATTGCGAAACAGCTAATATTTCACCATTAACGTCCTTAATGTTTCTTTTCCATCCATACTCATTACCATCATCAAACATCCTTAAAGCTAGTACTTTCTTCGATAATTTCTCAACATCTTCCAAAGAATCTTCAGTAGAGATACCAACTAATAACATATATCCATGTTTAATGCTGATTCCAACAAATCCAAATTGCTTATTCGTTAGTAAACAGAGAGATCTATCAATATAACTCCTCAGCAAGTTAAGGTCAGTTCCGGTATTATAGATAATTCTTCATAGTACAATTATTATGTAATAGACACATACCTTGAAATTACTTTGGATTCCACCACAACTGATGCTTGGCTTACTTTCTGCAACACTATTTTCATCTTGAATGAAACCCTTTAAACTCCTGGATACCCCCTTTAAAAAACCTTTGCTATTATACCTTGATCCCTTCTTAGCTATATTATTAAATTGCGTTAAATTTTTTTGCATTTTAAACTAATGTTGTATCGTCAATAAAATTGAATGATCCATTATCATCAGAATAATTACATTTATTTTCATTATCCTCCCTAGATGTTTGTTTTGAAGTGTAAACAACAGTTTTCATTTTTGTTTGATTAAGTTTCTTGGTATTTTTCCTTAATTTTGCAATTAAGAATGGATTCAAGAATCTAACATCGTTATTGAGTTCTAAATCTTCATTAAAATTAGATTTCTCTTCAGAAGGTGAAGGCGAGGAAGATCTGTTTTCAACTCCATGATAACTATTTAATAGACAAATATCATCTTCGTGTAGGAAATTGTAATTCCAACAATTATCTTCAATAATTAAGATATTCTCATTCAATTCATCAATACCACCATGACCGTCTAATAAGTTATTTTTCGATTTATTAGTGGTCTGTAAATATTGTTCAACATTATCAATTACTAAACTGTTTATAGCAGTATCATCATTTAATGTATCCTCAGCTTGTATTGTCTCTTGTTTTATGCTTATCGTAGAGGTTTGGGGATCTAAACTATTCAGCATAACCAACTCTGGGTCATTTTGATAATGACTTCCTATAATCGAGGTTACTTTTGTCGAATTACTTGAGCTTCGATCCTTTACCTTTTTATATACCTTTGAATACTTAGAATTATAAAACTTGGTATCTTCTGCATTCTTGAAATGAATACTCAAATCATGATTTGATTCTGTTAAGTGTATTTTAATTCTTTTATTTAGAGCTTCTAGTATCTCTTTAAACATTGGTGTAACCTTTTCCGATTCATGCTGAATATTAAACTTTAGAAACCAAATATTAACTAATGGTAATGACATTAACTTAAATTGTTCATCTAACAAACTCTGGATATTACGAAATCTAATATCATTGGAGGTCACAATTACATTATTGATAGATATAAATTTGGAGACCAGTTCAGGGTTGGGTTTCACATGTTGATTAAATTTCGGTATCAGTATATCAGCTTTAGTGTAGTGATTAAGTTCAGCATTAAATTGACGAATATGAAATGACACTAATTTATACTTTGACTCAAAGAATAACTTGAAAGCAGTTTCAATTGTAACTTTTGGCCTAAATGTGTTGAGGACGCTTCTTCTAGTGATGTTTTTCCTTGAATCTATGGTCACTTTAGATATCCGGAATTGAATGTCTCTGTAAATTAATGATAGACCATTTACAATTTCTTGAACGTACCTTTCATTATTAATTACTTTCTGTTTAAGTTTCCCATTTTTTTTATTATCAACATTAACCTCAATTGATAAGGTGGTGCCTTGCTTGGGATTGGTTCTTTTCTTCTCAATCTTTAAAATCTTTTCATTTGAGAACTCAATTGCATTAGAAATTGGGTCATGAATATTTTTATAAACAAATTTAACATTATAAGTTCGAGAAGCCTTCGAAATGATCTTCAATCTTTTCTCAGACTTAATAGATTCTAGAATACTTCCATCTACATTATAATCCGTAGCATTTGCATCGTCTCTTATGGAGAGGTATAAATAGCCGCCTGTTTTTGAATCGATTTCAATATGAGCTTGGGTTATCCCTTCCTCAACAATACAGGATATATACTCTTGTAGAATTTGAATAGTGGTCATCATCTTTACTATTTTTATAAGCCTTATGGGCCTCTTTCTAAAATGAATTGAACCGAGTTAACCATTAAAACAAGCCCTTCATATAAGTAAGGCATCTTCGATTTTTCGAAAAGGTTATGTAAAATATTTAAGCCTTCAGATCAAGGATGAATAATACTCTCTCTACAAGTAATAGTGGAACTGGATAGAACATGGAATACTTTCTTCAATTGGTTAAGATTTTATGGATCAAGATAGATTAGAACTATGGTTATTTTTGTTTTGAAATTCATTTTTGTTTTGAATTATAAATATATACATAATAAAATATATATAGATATATATTTACAATTAGAAGGATTAAGAATCAATACCTTAGCGTATCGTTCAAAATAATCGTACATCTTTCATACGAGCTAAGGTCCAATTACTTGCATTTAAAGAGAATCAAACTACTTTTTAATATCATATAACGTTCAGTTTCAGTTTAAAAGTAACAGATTAAATAATAAAAACATACAAAATAAAAAATTTGAATTGATGTGAAGAATATGAAGTATACTAAACAGTCTCTGAAGAGTAGATCGATCTAAGCGTGGTCGACATCACCAGCGAAGATACCCTTTTCTCTTTGTTCGTCCCATTTTTCAATCCAATCTACTGGACATAGAGAGGAATAAGTTTTCCAGAATACTTTACATGGAGCAAAATCTTCACCTTTCAAATTGATACATTTGTGATAGTCAACATATGATTGCCAGCAATGCTTAGTTTGGTTTTGATTTGGAAATCTAGCATCAAATCCAACAGTGTGTAAAGCAGCTTCTTGTGTGTTTTCAGACATAGCTTTATATTTCTCAATTAGTTATTTTTTTTTTCTTTCACTTAGTGATCGAATTGGTTGCATAGAATTGAGACAACAACTATAAAACTAGCACCAACAATAGCTCCCAATCATAACAAGTACTCTTATATATTGCCATGTTTTCAATATTAACTTTGCAGTTTAACAGACTTCGTTACTATCATTACCATTAGATATCAACCTTTAGTTAAATTTTTCAGGGTTAATGAGAAAAATTAATATTCGCTTAGTATGAAAATAATTGGCTTGTGATCACATGAAACAGAATAATTGACAGTGTCATAAAGTAATGAATAATGGTTATTATTTATTAGATATCAAAATTTAATCATTATAACATTTCCATTGCATTTTCAACTAAGTTTGTATTATTTTCTTTATCTAAGTTCCGAAGGAATCTAATTAGTTGGAAGCAAATATCCCATGATTCGGTTGCCTTTTGTCTATCCACGCACTTTGATGCATCTGTCACTAATAGTTTGAGGATTTCATACATCAGTTCTTCATCTTTATAAACATATTCCAAACTATTTTCACTTACTTTTGAGTTTCCAGTTGCAACTGTTTGAGTTTCCCCCTTTAGATCATTAATAAACTCTTCTTGGTTATAATTTAAAAATACGAAAAAAAGTATACCTAGTGTTTTAGTTTCATTAGTCTTGATACATGCGGTCAGTAATTCACGAGGGGTTATATTTAGTTCTTGGAATAGTTTGTTCCAATATTTAGTCTCAATTTTTCTTAGACAATTACTAATTATCCTTAATAATGAACTATTGGCATTGTCATCATTTATTTCATCTTTTAAAGGTATACCGCTAAATTGCTTTATTAAATCAACGATTATATCTAGCTTGGCATTTTCTATTATTTTATATGACAGAATTTTCTCTAATGAAAATTCATAATGATGAAACTGCTGGTACTCTGAGTTAATATCTATAATATTAGCGTCGCCATTTAGTCTAGAATTAATCACAACATCCAAAAACAAACTATGCTTTATCTTGAAGAGCAACCTATCAGAACTTTTGGTGCAATAGATACCATGGGTTACTGCAATTTCTGGGGATACACATAAGGGATAAAAGTCATCATTAATTGGAAATTGAATATCTTCCTTATCGTTATTCCATAGGTTTTCTAATGAATAAGAGACAATTGAATTTTCCTTTATAAAATAAATATTGTCTTTTACTATGTCTAATATGCATTCGATGTTATTGGCAACAACGGTTTTTTGACAATTGTCTTTTTTGTTCCCAACAACTTTGTAGATCTTATTTTCACTAAATAATAAAAGACCATCTCTGAAATTTGTCACCCATTTCATGCATAGAATCATTCTAGTATCTTCAGGGTGAAACACCGCATGTGGATGGAATCTCTTTATAATATTAAAGCCAGATGGATGGACAGTCGATATTATATCAATGACAGAAATATGGTTGGCAAAGGCAAGTATAATTTCACCTGTCTTCATAAGTTGAGTAGTTAAAGCATCCGCTTCACCTGGTTTAACACCTTTTCTTTGAATTGGTTTATACCTGAATGTAGTATTAACGAAGAAATTAATCATTTTGAATTCTTTAGGTATTTCATATTCCCAAATCGAGTATTTTGAAATATCTTCATCATAATCTATATCTAAGGGAAATCTTAGACATATTAAATAATCACTGTGGTCATCTCTCCTAATATGACATATTAGGTAGTTATTTGATAACCATTGCATTTCAATTATAGTATCAACTGAAAATGTATACCATCTATCTGAGAAAAGGTTTTGAATCAATAGAATGTCTTTATTAGCGATATAAACTGCCATCAATTTCATATTATTTGTTACTCTTATTAGTGGACAATAATTATTCAAAGTTTTCGTCGGTAGTTTTGACAAGGGAATGATGTCATTCTTCAGATAACTATCTGAAGCTGCTGAAAATACAATAATATTATTCAATGTATCACCCATAATAACCGGTTTCATGCCCCTAAAATTAATTGATAATTGTGGGTATTCTTCCATAAAGCTCCATACTTGATAAGATCCATTGTCTGTTGTTAGTATCAATTTCATATCCATATAAATATGACCAGTGATCTTCGTCTCACTTAGAGCAAATTCATCTATATTGGTTGAATATATGATGTTACCAAATGTAGAGTATATATATAATTCATAATGGTCGGATATGATTAAAATACAAGTGTCGTTGATTTTCCCGCAATATTGTATTTTATTTCTTGCATTCCATTGAAAAGTTATATTCTCACTTGGAATATCATAGTATATCATATCACTTTGACTCTTTAACACTAGATGCTGATTTAAGGTAAAAGAATTATCAACAGTTTTTGAATCTAATGGTAATGATTTCTTAATTACTTTTTGCTTAACGTCAATTTCATTAAATTTATAATTCTGATTAGCTGTATCTTTTGAGAGTATAAATAATTGTTTTGATAATAATCTAAGTGAAATTGAATTAGGAACCAAAATGAAATCCATTCTAATCAATTTGAATTCATGCATGTAAAGGATATGTGCACCATCTTTTGAAAGCAAAATTAAATTATCATTAATATTGGGCTCACCATCGTAAACGATAGATTTGAAACCAAGTGCTTCATGTATTTCAAATTCGAATTTTAAAATTATTCTTAATCTTAGTTCCACCCTTTTAATCGGAAGTTCTTCTAAAGTATTAGAATTAGAAGTTAGATATTGTAAAAGCCCTTTTTCCTTTTTAGTTGCATAACCATTTTGTATAACTTTGTTAGACTTATTTTTTTCAAAAACAATCAATGTATCATCATCAAAAGCATCATCTAATTGTTGATCAACAAAGTCAGATTCTCCTGACACATTATATACTGGAATCCCATATTCATGGTAGATTGAATTTTCAGTAGCACCTTTTAATATTTGATATGCCATAACAAAATTATTTTCAGTGATAATATATAATACATTTTTACCCCTATTAATTGGTAACAATTCAAGCAAATTGAATTGAGTACCTTTTGAATCATCCATGAATATTTCTGAATTACATAACAATTTATTCATACCAAATTCATTTATAGAATCAACACTTCTCTCATGACAAGCAACTAAAGCCAGTGGTTTAAAATTGTACACCAATAGTCTTGTCGAAGTTAACATAACCACTACATTGGCATGCTTCAACGGTAAAATCTGTAATATAGAATCATCATTAACTCCATCTGGCAATGCATTTTTTCTCTGTGGAATATGAGATAGTTGTGGTATACCTGTAGGCAATATATCCATATTTAATGCTAACAAACGTCAATGTGAATTTTCCTCCTTACACCAAATTAAGTTATTTCCAACACAAATATCTAGTACAATAATCAAACGAATCAATTGATAAATTGTTGTGATGATCATAAAAACTATTCCATCTATTCATCTATTCATCTTAAACCTTTATTTTAAATCAAATTTCGAAATTATTACCTTTAAATATTTTACCTTGATTGTTACAGAATAATCTCGTACAAGGGTGATGAAAAATTACACATAATAATAATAGTTAGCATAATACAATGAAGTGGAAGATATGTGACCTTTGAATGGAAGAGGTAAAGGTAAGATTTGATATGATTAAAAATATATATAATAATGCATTTATAAAGGTACTATACAATATCGAATCTGTGAATGATGAAAAAAGTGTCAAGGGGTTTCCTTTTTTATATATTTTATATTATTTTAGTTGAACAAATATTTTGTAATTTAAACACTGATAGTTTTCCAGATGTTTAGACCATCGGTACCTGTACTGACTAGACAACCAGGGATTTGTTTATGCCATTTAACGTCTTTGACTTCTTTTTGCCAATGGACAAACAATAATTGTGGAGGAATTTGTGCCAATTCTTTAGTTTCAGCAGTTTGTTGCTTAATTTCTTCATCATCTGCTTCGACAGATAAATCCCAAAGTGTTACTGTATTATCTTCAGAGGCAACTGCTACAATAGATTCATCAGTAGGATGGAAACTTATCGATGTAATAGCACCTTTATGGAAGTCATATTGTGCTACTGGTTGAGCATTTTCATTAGATGGTGAGAATTGTCTTAAATCCCAAACACCCCAAGTCCCATTATCATCACCACTTGCTAACAAGTATCCCATCTTTTCATTCCAACTAATAACGTTAACATCTGTATTGGATGCCTTTGTAGAAATAGCAGGCTTGTGCTTTTTAGATCTAGTATCCCAGACCCTAATATAACCGTCACAACCAGCAGTTGCAAAAACGGTAGCTTCAGTACGAGACCATTGGATATCCTCGATGGATTTGTTGTTGGAGACCGTGAATGGTTGTTTGTCAGTAACCCATTTTGAAGTATGTCTTTGGGTGAAATAAACTTGGCCGGAACAATCACCAGTTAATAGAGCACCAGATCTAATCAATGGAGACCAGTCTAGAGCATAACCTTCAACATTACCATGATTCCTTATGGTGTGGATTGGTCTTTTAGCAGTTTTTGGAATTTGGTAACCTGGGGTATCAAAAGCCCTTGATTGAGGAGCAATATCAAAGATATAAACTTCACCATTTTCACTCATGGTAGCGGTTAGAACCTCTTGACCAGATGAAGCAAATGGAGAAACACGCAATCTATTTGTAGTGTCTTTCAATGGAACGTTTTCATCTTCCAAAATTGGGTCGGATTCATTGTCACTATTATCCTCATCTTCTTCCTCTTCTTCATTTTCCTTAACTAAAGTCTTTGATAACTGAGATAATTTTAAAACCATCAATTCGTTATCTTTTTTCTTGGCAGCTTGTGTAGCTGTAGTCATTAAAATAGATTGTGGATAATTTCTACGTTCCGAACCGTAGGTATCAGGAATAATATCCAAAGTCATACAAGGCCAAGGTAAATTAACATTGTGCAACATTTCGTAAACGGTAGGGTCAGCTTCTAAGACCTCATCAGGACCCAACGGGCGTGAAATATTAGGCAAATATAATTGAGGACCGGTACTTTGTTGCTGATCTTGATCGTTTTCTTTATTTAATGCAGCTTCAGCTTGTTTTTGCTTTTTTTCAAAGTATTCTTTGGCATCTAAATTTTCATCATCTTCATCCATTTCATCATCAATTTCTATAATTTCACCATCAGTCTCATAGTCATCACTAAACTGACCATCATCTTCAACATCCATATTAACGTCTCCATTGTTTTTTACGTTAGATGGGCCGTTGCTATCACCCAATCTAGCAGATACAACTCTATCTTCACCAATTTCTTCAACTGTTCTCTTTGACATCTTTTGCTATCCTAAAACTACTCTCTTCGAATATCTTGAAGCTTCAATGTCTCTAACAAAGATAGAACCAATAGTATTCAATATCACAGATATATGAAGTATAAAATCAATATCAAATCTATTAATCAATCTGTTTTATGTTGTCATCATCATAACATTGTCTTAGCTCATCGCTGATTTTTTTTAAAAAAAATTTTTCAGTAGTTAATTTTTGGAAAGTTTGATCGATGTATGGCTTTTGGTACGGAGGTTTGTGAGAAACCTTGAATTTCTTTCTTCAGTAGCAGCTGATGAAAGATGGGAAGGGAAACTGCATGAGATTGAAAAAGTGTACCAATAGCTTGATTTGTAGTAACAGATCGATAGATTGATTAATTAATTTATTGATGGTTCGAATAATTATAAAGGGAAAGGGGACAAGGCCTTATGGCTATTGCCATTTCTCTCTATCACGAACCTTCAATACCATCATCATCCAGGATATCCTTATCTTCTAGATCATTTTTAGGTTTCTTCTTGGAATTCTTTTTGGCAATTTTTCTTTGTTTCTCCTCTTCAATCAATCTTTCTTTGTTCGATTCAATGTATTTTAAGAAATAATCACTATCTTTTGATTTTTTGGCATCATGTAAGATTTTCTCGACGTCATCATGCAGTTCGACTCTTGTCTTTTGCAACCTGTTAAGAACCTTATTGTCTCTTGCATAACATTCCACCCTCTTACAAGCCCTTGTAGATTTGAATGAAACCTCACCAGGCTTCATAAACTTGTTCTTTCTCAAATTGTGCCATGGCGTAGTGATAATAGCACATTGAGGTAACTTGTTACCTTGAATGGATTCCGATTTACACAATTGTAAACAGTCATTGACGACCTCTGTAGGAACATCTTCCAATGTTTTTTCAGAAGGTTGCAGTTTTAAATAAATATGTCCACTTGAATATTTGTCAGCATGAAACCAAAAATGATTCAATTCACGGTACCCATACTTAATTAACATATCGTTCTCAAATTTATCTTTACCTGTGACAATCTGATATGGAACAGAGTATTGGCTTGGTTGTGAACAATAAAAATAGACCATTTTTTCACAACTACCTCTTTTTTCTTTATCGAGTATTATATATATTATCTAAACCAATCTCAACGAATACACCTCACTACACTTCACACAATTCCTTGGTATTTATACCTGCAATCAATTGCATCTGTTATAGCAATATTGAACAAGCATCTTTCCACCTTATTACATGAATGTGCTTCTTATATAACAAACCAAAGCTCATCGAGATTTCGATTTCGAATTGATGATTTTTCCAAATTAAGAAAAGCGCGGGTTTATAAGAAGCTCTGAAAAAGCTCATCCGAAATTTTTGATGTCAAATATTTAACATACCAGAATACATTGGCGGCTAAATAAATTTATCAATTAATAGATTAATAGATTAACAAAGGGATATTATTGTCTATACAAGTGGCCAAATCTGGTATTTTATTGCAAGTGAAGACTAATTAAGCTTTATATTTTAATTTGGGTTTAGTGGGTTATCTTTTTTTTTTATGATGTTTTCTACAAAGATTAAGGTATATTCAAAATATATGGAGACAATATTAGCACCTAATGGTTTCCAGGGGCCTACCAGTGGTTTGGATATCAATAAATGGAAGCATTACCCTGGTAATGATAATGTAGCTTTTAGTTTGTTTGCTAAGGACAACTGCATCGTTGTTAAGCTCGTTTTGCAACATTCTTTTACCCTTGAAGAAATCTCTTTCCCAATCAATGATAGTACAAATACTATCCAATTCACTGAGATGGCTCCTGCACTCTCTGTAAAGTATCTTGGATTCCAAAATGAAAATAGGGTGATGAATAGGTTCCAGGTTGTGTTCAATACTGTTGAAGATTTTGAAAGGGTTTCATCCATTTTAAAATATCTTAAATGTGCAATTAAAATTGCAAAGACAACAGGGCAATACAAACCTATCGAAAGGCCTATTCAACAAATAATAAGCTCTAATTTAAACAATGAAGTTAGTTTAAACCAGGGGAGAACGGCTTGGGATAACAATGATACTCAATCAAATTTAAATCTATATAACAATAATGTCATGGGAAATAATTTAGATTTCCATTCAGAGAAAAGAAGAGACACAATTGGCATAATTGAAACACAATTACAAGACAGCCAGTATTTCAGTGAATATAGTGGAGAAAATATTGGAAATTATTTTGATAAAATGAATGTTAATTTGAATAATTCACCGGGTTCAATTAAGGCCTTTGCAACCAATAACACTACTATTGACAAGAAAAATCTACTAGCTAAATATAGTGGAGCTGAAATAGATTACAGTTTGAACAATGCCACCACTGGTATTTATAGAAAGAAACCATTATTACAAGAGAACAATAGTCCTTCCCAAGAAAACAATATGACACTGGCACATGCAAAATCCCAGACAGCAAAGTCAGCCAGCAATATAGAAATAGATAATTCCCAAGTTTCAAATAAATTAGATAGGGATATCTTATTGGAAGGTTCAAATAAAGCAATGCTTAATAGTACTTATAATTTTAAAATATCAGAAGATAGAGGTATCACAAAAGATTATAACAAGACTACAAGTGCTAATGAAAAAAATGTTGTCAAAAATTGCCCTGACAATGAGTCTGGAAACTCAGATAATATACTTCAAAATAATCTAGATAAGGAAAATATTCAAAAGGGGATAGATGAAATCGATTCTAGTTATTTGGATAATAGCAAAACATCTACAAACTTACCGATTGAACAGAAGGGAGCAGCACTAAGAGACATACGTATTTCAAAGGTTTTGATTAAGAGAAAGCTTGGCGATGAGAAGTTCAATAGATGGGTACGTAAAGATATTTTTTTTGAAATTACAGTGTATTTTTACTAACATTTATTATATTAATTTATATTGATATGGAAAATAATTAAAATAGGTTGATAAAGTTGAACGTGTTTTGAAGGAATTAACTAATGAAGATAACTAATCTTCATTTATAATAACAATGCACCAAAAGCTCCAAAGACTAATGGAAATACGAAATGCATTTGGTTAGCACCGTTATGAGAAGTATAAACCGATTGGGAGCTACTGGTTGAGGAATTCTTAGAGATAGATGCTGAAGATGATTGTATATTAGATGTCATATATGATGTCTCAATTGTAGATTTTGAAGAAATGGTAGTACTCGAAGAATTATGCTTAGAAGATCCAAGAGCAGAAGAAATAGAATGGTCAGATTCAAATATAGTTGAAGTTGGGTAGTATAACGAGCTACTTGGAGAAGATTCTGATGTCGTGGTGCTTGATTGGGTATTTGTCAAAGAATCTACAGTAGCAGCAGTCAAAAAAAGTTCTGGCAAATAAAAGGTTGTTACTGAACCTTCACTCAGTAATGTCGAATACCAAGGGAATTTGGTAATAAATGTATTGAATTCTGTAAACGGAAAAGTGGCTGCTATGTCAGATTGCAAATTCAGATCTTCTGGCTCAGTGGCAAGATGATAATAGTAATTGGCAAGGCCTTGAGGCAATTGCATATCGTTATCCTGCATATATGATGTGTAATCCGCCATTCTTGTATTGAAATCATTAATAAATGCATATACAAATCCTACATCTTCAGCAGCAGCTTGGCTTCTAATAGACAAATCGGTCACTGTGTTCGCCTTTGCCTTAACAATGGCATTCATTGTGACATCGCTACTCAATGCAACTGGTAAAATACTGGCAAGTATAGGAATGGAATTAATTAACTTCATTTTGATATTGAAAATAGTGGGCTTATTATGCTTGAAACTGTTGCTTTTTATGTCATCTATTTGATGATAGATAAATAAATTACAATTGGCAATCGATAATATTTTAATTTCCAAAGATCTTATGGCTCCCTTTTATATAATATTTGTTTTGCTGTTTTAGAGAAAGGAAGACATTTCCATCGAGATAAACTAATTACATTAATATTGGATTAATTTGAGGTACATCTATATTGCCATCATGGCGGCTTATTCATATAAATGATCTAGTTATATTTCCTATTTGGGTTTTCAATAGGAAGAAAGCTCGGTCGTAATTGAAATATTGGCATTCAGAAACCGTCGTAGAAGCAACAGTTGAAACAAAAAATATCAAGTATATTACTTTCCTTCAAATGGTAAAACCTCATAAGAATAAGTATTCATCCAATTCAAAATAATATGGTTGTTAATATAAATCAATATGCTTAGTGTTATAATGATGTTGTTCTATTTTTATGGGGAGGGGAGGTTAATTAAAATTTGTGTAAAACACCAAATTAGGAAATAATTTTGGAACATTGTCTATCAGGTTTCAAATCATCAAAGCAATAAAAAATAAGGTTTTAAGATAGTTAATTGGTATACCCAAATAGGTATGGTAACTACAAAGTAGAACTTCAGAAATAATATAGGTCTCCCATTTTAAAGAAATTGAAAAATATGATCTTAAACAAAAAAGGAAAAAAATAATTAATTATAACCTTCAAGATTATAGATATCAATTGCATGTACGATTACCATTTTAATTATACTCAACTACTAAATCATCTGAATTTTGTATATACGGTTAACGTGTTAAATATATCTCAATTCAATATTACTAGATTATGGTTTACGAATTCACTTTCAATGTTCATTAGGTCATTCTATTATCGATAACCTTCTAATTACTTAGGGTCTTGATCCAATTGAAATATAATCTCGTATATGGATCTACTATTTTCAAGCATTATCAACAGTATGCTACTAATAATAATAAAGACGTGAAATATGCCAATATACATCTAATTAATATAATTAAAATAGGTTAGTTAAAAAGTTGAATGATATTGGACTTCAAAAACAAATATCATCATAGAATCAATACGTTCGATACGATTAGATAATAGGAATCATTATTTCTTATCGTTACTGTGTCACTTCTAAATTAAGAGTCGATGGATACAAATACAACAATGTACGGTAATCTTTCAGGTTTTCATTCATTCACTAATAAGTAAGTTTTTCTACTTAGATTCCTTGTCCCGTGATATTTTCTGAGTCTCGAAAAAAAAAATTAATTAAGAATGAATTGGCTTTGAATTCGAAGCTTTACTCAAGACAATTGATTAATGTTAATTCCACTAGGAACAATTGTAGCTGGCCTTTCTGAGTTCCGTTCTTTCAATATTGCTCAAATTAGTAATGTAAAAGTTCTTTTTCGTTTAATATTGAAATTCCTTTGCCTCAGATTTAGGATATTCATCGCATATTGAAGTTAAATATTTTAAATGTTTAAAAGAAATCGAAATATTTAGATCATTACAGTGTGGTGGTCAAATCATTGAGATAGATTTAACAACTTCTTCAAAATTGCTAATATCAACAAACTATTATCAAGGTTACTTTTTAGGATAGGTTACTATATTCCAAAAAGAAATTGCAATGGGTTTTGCTAATACGTATTTTGAATATGAAACTAAGATTATTGCATGGTTGGGTACACTTCCATATGTACATCAATTCATCCATGATCCAATAAGTGGTAGAATAACATTTTTCCTGATCGTTGTTGGTACCATGGCATTCATCAATGAATTGTACATTACCATTGAAATGAGTTTCTTGCAAAAGGAAACATATGAAGAATTAGAGAAAGGTCATATTGATGAGAGTTTAAAATTACACAGGATGATTGTTCAAGATGACTTTCATAGCAAAGAATATATGGATGACAAAAGTGGTATTATCATTGAGGAATTTGAGGAAAGAGAAAAGTTTTTTGCCAAGCCAGTGCATGTTGCTCATGTTTATGTCATATGTGATGTTCTTCAGAATAACGAAAACGTATTGACAAAACCATTCAAGTTCCATTTAGAATTTTCACCAGAAGAATTCGAGAATGAGAAGAGACAAGAATTTGGCTGTAATCTTCGTGTGCTAAGAACCAAACTTTATCATTTATTTAAAGATACGGAGCTATATCATGAATTGAACGAGGGCAATAAGTATGATTTCACAGTTTCTCAAAGCATTAACATTTACAATACTGTTGATGATTTGTTGCCAACTTCCATCGATGATATTCAATTATGTTTCTTAAAGATCCAAACAGGTGATCAAATAAAATGTGAATTTTTACTTGAAAATTAATAAGTTAATATTTGAGATAGATATACTATAATAGATTCACAACAAGCATTTTTTAAGATAAACTTTGAGCATGTTGAATATGTATTTGGGTCATGATATTTACAAAATGATTTTTTTTATTCTACTTAATTAAAATAAAAAAAACATATTATATGCTACTTTCTATACTAGGTACACCAATATAACTCTGATGCAATTCATTTTCACACCAAATCCATAACTTCAGTAACTGTATTAATTTTGCTTCGTATTGTATTTCTGAAATATTGTAATCTCTTGATTTAATATCAGAGTATTGATTTCTGATCAACTCTGACGTCTTGCCCCAATGTTCAGTACTTTCAATTTCTGAATTTAAGTAACTCGAAGGTTTATCAACATTTTTAGATAGCTTTTCAGTTGTGATTTGAAACTTTGAGCTTTCTTTTGACCTTACGCTTAACATTTCGTGATGTTTTGATAATTCACTATTTAGTATCGATGAATCCTTAGAGACTAATAAATCTGGGAATCTTAATAGAGTTTCATCTCTTTTCACAATCGAAGGATGTATATGCTTTAACAATCTTCGATTTACGATATCAGCTAATTTTGATCTCAATGATAAGGAATAATAATCGTTTAAAACTTTTGGGAGTTTCATATTATTCGACTTTGTTTCATTCATTGGAAATAAAAGAAGGGTCATCACGAGTTCTAAATCTTTCATGTATTCTTCATTTGATGAAGCCTTTAAAGCTAATTTATTTTGAGCATATTCAATTAAATCTAGGATGAAATCCTTGTTGTTACTTTCAGTTGAATCTGTTTGGTTATTTTTCAACTTATTATTATGATTTCTTATCATTTCGATTAGATTCAAAAGCAATAGCTTGAAATGAAGGTCATCCTCAGAATTTTTATTCTTTTCGTCTATTGTAATGAAACTTTTAGTAGAATTTGCAACATTCTTGGGCTCCAACACTTCGATACCAAATAATTCATTAATTTTTTCAATTGCCAATGATATTTCACCTAACTTTATCAATTTCTTAATCCTCGAACGTTCTTTAATCTTATATAATTCAGTGAAGTCTTTAATATCTTTATTGTTTTTAATGTAACCTAGCTCTTTTGCCATTCTTATCGAAGATTCTTCATAAGCCATGCAAATAAAATAGTTCAACAAAAGCTTTGGAACAGAAGGTTCACTAAAGGTAGACTTTGTTGAAAGACCATTCTCATAGATGTAATGTGAGTTAATGTTTGAATTGTTCAAGTAATTGTACTTTAACGAACATTTATTAACAATTTCATCCCACTCATCTTTAGTGTAGGATTGCTTATAGTAGTTTCTTGTATCTGAATTTTTTAAAGTAGGTGCCATTTTGCAACCTTTAGCCAATAGAATGATAAAGGAACAGGTCAGTACAATCACTCACACTCTTACTTCCACTTCTACTCCCACTTACCAAAATAAACAACAATCCGGTTTTGGCAATAGAGTAACAACTTGATAATATCGATTAAAATAACTTCGAAATCCTTTAACTTTCTTAAACTTTAAGTACTAAAAAGCTGAAATTTAAGATATAGTTGCCAAAAACAAGCAGAGTTTGTCTATAAACTCACCGAATTTAAGGGTAAAAACAAGATAAAAATAAAGAAAGATCACTATTTCCAATACAAGAGAACCGAACAAAACAGAAATAGTAATGAAATGTTAATTAATAACCCTTCCTTCAACTGAGAGGGGTAGGGCCGATAGAGAGAGAGGGAGATAGTTAAAAAATCTAAATATATACCAAACCTATGGTCTAAAGAACCTACAACGTTACTGACTTGACTTAAAACAAGACAATTCAAGACATTTCCAACACGAAAGAACATGAACTAACTAACCTCTAACATTTTCCCAGAAACAGCAAATTCTATACGATATGATTCTTTGGTATCCATTCAATCTCGAAACCACGACAAACAAGAACTTATCAAGGGGGGGGGGTCTGAATCGAAGAACTAGTTAGGTCAAAAATGTATTGATTACATCTTCTATAAGCAAGGAGCAATCAAATTGCATTCAAATAAAAGGTTTCCCTTAACAGACAACAAGACAATAAACAACAAGACATTTTATTCTCTGTGAATAGTTGTTCGAATTCGAATTGGGGGAACTATAACAAGGACAAGGAATACAGCAATCCCAGCCTCTTCACTAGCTACCTGATTAATGCATAACAGATGATAACAATACAAACTGATCCGTAATCAACTGAATAAAATAGAAGAAAGCAAAGAAATTAAAGCTTAGTTTTTATTTTAAACTTTAAAAGTTGCCTCTGCTACTGCCGTTGCTGCTTTTGTTCTAAATTGAGAACTTGTCGAATCTAATCTAATCTAATCTAATGTGCTAGCTACGTTAGAACCATTTACGTTTCAATAAAGAAGAATATTAACACAACAACAACACTCTAGTTTACGTCTGTCTATCGGTTTCATGAGAATTAATTAGTATGAGCTGTAATTTTAGGAAAAAAAAATAACCAAAACCAATAACATCGACATAATAATAAAGGTCATGTTAGTGTAGGAACATTTTTTTTAATCGGATTATTGTTTTAATAATAGAATTGATAGGTAACTGCAGTTTATTCGATGCAATTTCCTATAAAACAATAGTACGGAAAATGAAATCCATCAAAAATTGTTGAAGAACAACAAGGACAAGAGCAAGAACAAAGAAAGACCAACAAGAAAAAGGAAATTTTTTTTCTTTCACTTTCCTACCTTTTCTTCCAAGTTTCTCTTAAGCTTCTTCGAACGTTATTTTTGAGAACGTCAGAGAGAGAGAAGAAATAAAATTTGATATGTTTTAAGAAAAGTAGACATTCTCTAATGGATGTAGGAGGCAATTCATTTAGATTAGAATTTTAATTGCAAAAATAGCAAAAAAAAATAAATTAATAATAATAATCGAAAAATATTAACGAAGCCTCCCCTCTCCCTCCTCTCTAAGGCCAGAGCAATAATGGGATTTCTAGAGAGTGAAATGATGATGATGATGGTGGTGGTGGTGGTGATGACGATACTCTGTAAGAGTGATTTCAATAGTTTTACGTGAAATCAAGTTCGATGTCAGAGGACAATTAAGCGGGTTGTTTTTAAATTATGTAGGTATGTGGGTGTAATGTGATATGACCCATTGTCAATATCGAATATTAGAAATAATTCCGGTCAAGATAGGTTATGTATGGTTTAATAACAAGGTTCTGGTCGAGTTTTGAGGTTCGACTATTGTTGCTATAATTAAGTATGCATTGGCTTAAGAGATACGCGAATACATACATACAGACAATAGTTATATGTGTATGTTCCGATAATTGTTTCTTGTTTCTTTCTAGCTTCTCCAAAAATACTAGTTCTATGGTTAGCAATGATGTCACACCTGTTAATTCAACGACATTGCTTACAGAGCAATAATTCTTTTTATTATTATTAGCCATAGTACGAATTGGAAATGATAATTATAGTTACCAGTTGCTATCAGCAAAGGAGAAGAGTGTTCTATGATACTGTTTATGTATGGTGGTACTCAATGTTGTGAATACTGAAAAACAGGAAGATACTAAACAGCAATATAGTGTTTGTAATATTAAGGGACGGAATGAATCTCGTAGTAAAGCTGATGCATAATCGATGCTAGGGACAATGTTAATCGCAAAATATCGAATCTTTTTTATATTTTGCAATAAACATATCAGAATTATACATAAATAGAAGTTTTAAATCATTTTCCAAGGAAGTTCTAAAAATTAAATAGAACCTAAAAATTCCTATTTTGCCATTCTAAAATAGGATATTTTTCCTACTATGAACTATTAATATTGGCTATTATCAGATTTATTGTTAGTAGTATAAGTATTTTGTGAGTTACAAGAAATCATATAAATATATAGATATAGATATCTCTGGTTATATTTATATAGATTTATTTTTAGTGTCACTCAATAATCTCGTGAAGGTAATTAGTGGTAAGACATAGATTTGTGGGGTGTGTGAGAAACAAGATAAGAATTAAACAATCCATTTAATAGAGTATTTCAGGGATATAGATAACGATTATTGTTTGGATTATAAAGAGAAGAATCAGAAACAGGCAAAAACACAGGTACAGAGATAGGAAAAAAGAAATTTAAACAACGGTAGCCAGTAAGAATACAATATAAGCAAGATAAAATAATCGTTTGACTAAAGCTAACGACATTTAGATATATTCAAATAAGGACAGTTAAATATTCGAATAATTTAGTTGTGTGTTCAAGGCTAGTTTTATTACAGAATGTCGATATCTCAGATAGCGTCATCAAATTTCAAGACAAACTCCAATGTACAACACTACATGACGACAGAAGGTAGTGGTAACAACAATGATAACGTTAATGGTTCAAACAACCACGGTGTACCAAATACCACAGGTGGTGGTGCCGGTGGAATTGGTGGAGGACAAGGCAAATATCTTATGAGCAATGAAGTTCCAAGAAACTTTGACAGCCGTGGACCAAGTTTAGATAGTGGTAGCACTGAACGTAGCCAACCTGGAGGTAATTACCAATTATGGGTTCCTGGTGGCGGTAAGAACGTACTACCAATAGTAGGACAAAGAAGAAGTTCATTGGACTCGCTGATGAAAGCAGCAGAGACTATTGAAAATAGAGAGATTCGTCAATTTGATCAAGCAAGTGACAAAGAATTGAATGAAATATATATCAATAAGATGGTATCGTTACTTGAGAATAATGATAGTATAGAACGTGAGATTAATAGTTGGCCATTGGTCAGTTTGATCAAGACATGTGCGACACCGTCGTCGGGCAGTGTTAATACGAAATTTTTCAACGACTCAGAGAAAGAATTATTCATTGATAGTATAGATTATGAACAAATCAAGAATTTATACAATTCAGTCAATGAAACGCGTCGAATTGTTGAAGATATAATACAATTAAAGAAAATCAAATCCAAAGCCAACGAATTGTATAGGCTACCAGGAGTTGAACATGTTCTACAAGGGGCCAATGCGACAAAGACAGTATTGCCCTCAATAGGGTCGTTAACACAAATTCATGAATATTCACCACGTACTGCAGCGGTTGCACCAGGCAGTAGCATACTTGGTGTCAATGCAGGTGCGGTAGGAGAGAGTCCACCACCTCCACCACCAGTTCCACCACCATTCATACGTTCCAGTATTACTGGCGGAGGTACTGGCAGTGGTACTGGGAGTGGTAGTGGTAACAACATTTATAAGTTGAATTCAGTTAAAAGAGTTGAAAAACCGTTATTGAGGTCACCATCGTCGTCCAGTAGGAGCAGAAGCAGCACTGGAGGAGCAGCGGCAGAAACTGTTGATAATCGAGTATCTCAAGAGTTACTGCTTGCGGAAAGTATTCGAAAGACAGAAAGCTATCAGATGTCGTGTGTTCATTGTAAAGAACAAGACACACCTGAATGGAGACGAGGTCCGTATGGGAACAGAACGTTATGCAATGCGTGTGGTCTATTCTATCGTAAACTAATTAAGAAATTTGGCAATAAACAAGCGAATTTATTGATGAGGTATCGTCGAGAAATATGTCCACAAGATCGTAGAGTTCCAAGCAATGTCAGTGACATTCCCAACGAAGTGATTGACAAGTTTGATCAAGATGAACAATTAGACGCAGATTACAACACAATTGTTTAGCTGTAACCGAAAGCCAAAATAAAAAAACAACAACAACAACAACACAGGAGAATAGTATCAGTGCTTGTACTAATACTTGTATTATTACTGTATTATTAATATTAATATTATATATAAGTCGATTAAGTTGAGCTTGAAGCAAAAGGTAAGGTAAGGTAAGGTAATATAAGCAAAGCGGACGGGTAGAATTTCAATGTAATGAAAAGGTAACAATTGAAAAAAAAAATGAAATAAAATAAAATAAAAGGCATGGAACCAAAGGAAGGCTCAAGAAATACAGGACAACTTGAGTGATGGGTGGATCTATGTTAATGTAAAAGGATGTTTATTTAATAAAATTGTATATTTTTTTTTTGTATGTAACAATAAGAGGATAGTGACAAAAGAGTATATTTTTATATTTATATTTATATTTATATATATTGTTGTGATTTATTTCTTGAGTAAGAGCCATCTATCGGAGAGTGTGTGGATAGATATAGGTAGAAGCAAAAGATATAGATATAGATATAGTTCTACACGTTACGATGGGGTTGCTTAGTATAATCAGGAAACAACAGATTCGAGATCAAGAGATAAGAGTGTTAGTGCTTGGATTAGATAATGCAGGGAAGTCTACCATAGTTTCCCAGCTGATGAGAGGTGGTGGTAACCCAAACCAAGAGGTAGATATATGTTGTGCCCCGACGATTGGATTTGAGATCAACAGTGTTAAAATAAATGGTAAACTGATCAATATATGGGATGTTGGTGGTCAGGATACGTTGAGACCATATTGGGATAACTACTTCATTGGTGGTGGAGGAGGAGGTCGCCAGATGTTAGTTTGGTGTGTAGACGTATCTGCGGTGGGCCGGGTAAGACTTCGGGAGAGCATCGATGAGCTGAAGAAGCTGGTGGATGCGATCACTAATGACGACAGTGCAGGTGATGAAAACGGTTGCAGGGTGCTTGTCGTAGGCAACAAGGTCGATTTGTGCGAGGACGATCCTGGGGTCGTTGAGCGTGAGTTGGAGCACACATTGTGTACCGAGATTGGCACCAGCTGTGGAGACGGACCAGCCCCAACAGCACCAGCAACAGCAACTGCAACACAACTGGAGATGAAAGTGGTCACTGTGAGTGGTATCACTGGATACGGAATATCCCGACTAGAAGCCGAGATAGCAGGGTAACACATACACATCCCATTTTCCCTTTTCGCTTTCCCCCAGGATACAGTCTACACCTCTACACCACGCCACACCACAGAAACTAGACACCCCACCCGACCGGAGTCATCTTCTTGTGAGTGTCTCGTTCTCGCACTCGTACTCGTTCTGGTTCCGTCTGTCCGTTGTTGGCTGCTCCTCTCCGTGGTGGTCGCCTCCTCTTTGGAGTCTCTCCCAAATGTGGAAGAGTGGTGACTATTCACCATTTCACCATTTCACCATTTCACCAGCACAGCACCTATTGTTTTCTGGCTCATATCCGAATGCTATCCCTCTAATTGGATCAACTCTCAACTGAACCGAACTTAACTTAACTGAACTCAACTTCCGAGCCCATTCCATCCCATCCCATCCCATCCCATTTCTCTCTTTCCTTCCCTATCCCTTATTCAATTCAATTCGATTCAATTCATTTCGATTCGAACAAGAACAAGAACAAGAACTGATTCGAAACATCTCGAAACTATATAAATGATAAGGTTATGGTCAGTTCATTGTCTTACTCTCCAGTTCATGGGACACCTGGTTTCCCAACTTAGGATCTAGTTCTTGTTCTATTTTATTTGCTTCCTGAACTGGTATATCTGTATTGCACCTTCAGTTGTTGAAATTGTGCAATTCAAGTATAGTCCAAAATGGTAAAAGTCTGTGTTTTAGGTGCCTCGGGTGGTATTGGCCAACCATTGTCCCTTCTGTTAAAGTTGAATCCATATGTTTCCGATCTAGCTCTGTATGATATCAGTGATATCACCGCTGGTGTAGCTAAAGATTTGTCTCATATCAACACTAACTCCGATTCCGAAGGTTATAACAAGGATGAAGATTTTAAAAACTTGTTGGAAGGTTCTGAATTGGTCATCGTCACTGCTGGTATTCCAAGAAAACCAGGTATGACAAGAGACGATTTGTTTAAGATCAATGCAAAGATTATTCAAAATTTGACTGTAAAGTATGCTAAATTTGCTCCAGTCCATTGTAAGCTGTTGATCATCTCTAACCCAGTCAACTCTTTGATCCCTGTAGTTATCGAGACTTTGAAGATTAACGGTAGATTGAACCCTTCACAGGTATTCGGTATTACAATGCTGGACATCATAAGATCGCAAACTTTCTTGAACGATTTATTGAACGATAAGAAATTGAGAAGTGGTTCGATCACTTCTAAACAGTTTGACAAGACATTGAATTTGAACAATATCAACGTCATTGGTGGCCATTCTGCGCCAACAATGGTGCCAATATTAACGAACAAGAATTTAATCCATCAACAAGACGAGATCGATGCTCTTTACAAGAAAATCAAGTTTGGTGGTGATGAAATAGTGAAGGCTAAGAACGGTAAAGGTTCAGCCACTTTATCCATGGCATATGCTGGGTATTTCTTTGCCAACGAGATCTTGAAGAAGATCAACTGTAAAGGCGTCAATTTAAACGATTGCACTCCTGTTAATTTGCCAAGTTTTGTATACTTACCAAACTTACCAAATGGTAAATTGTTGCAAGCGTTATTGAATGATTATTCTGGTATTCACGATTTGAATTTAGAATATTTCAGTGTTCCAGTAGTGATAAACCCACACACAGGTAACATCAAGTCGTTAGATATTTCGATATTACAAAATAGGAATGCGTTGAGTGAATCTGAATTGAAGGATATCAAAGCAGCATGTGTCAATTTAGCTAAGGATATCAAGACGGGCGAAGATTTTGTGAAGAAGAACTACAAGTTATGATTTATGACAGGCAATTCATGTCACTTTTTACTATTTTATGTCACTAATGTATATAACTTTATAATTTAGATTAGATTAGATTAGATTAGACTAAATGAAATTAAGTCAAGTATATAATGTACACAAGATGATACTTTCACTAATCCAATCATCCGAACCCAATCCAACTATTTATAACCCGCTAAACTCAATAACTCACCAGCTCTTAATTCATCCATCCATTAGTTCATTATGTGCTAAAAGAAAGAAGGTCCCTCCCTCTCCCCTTCCCCTTCACAGTTTAACGAGAAAACGGCAAATTTCAGAAAAAAAAAAAATTCAGAAAAATTCGTTTGACGAATAAACCAACCAATAAATAAACCCACTGCCCACTACACCTTCACCTTCACATAAGGCTTTGAATTTATTTAGTTTAGTTTAGTTCAAGTTGATATTTGATATTTGTTTTTTTGTTTTTGGTTTGATCTAAAGGTCAGACTTGTATATTTTATATTTTATATTTTATAATTCGTATTTGGTGTGTGGTTTGTATTCCTATTGAATATAACGTTCTCATTTCCTCGTATTATTATTCCCCCCACCACCCCCCTACAACTACTATATATCTAACAGTAACATCCCCCCCTCCCCCTCCTTCCAAAGTTGAAAAATTGTTTTAAAGTTATTACCCAACTCAAGCAAGGCGAATCTATCTCAAAGTTATAAGTTTCATCCAAGTGTGTTCCCGTGTATAACCTTTGTTTCGTTTGCTAAGTTAACTTAAGTTGAGTTCACATTTCACTTCACTTCACTTCATTTCATTTGGCCTTCCAGTTGCCATTTTGTTTTACTATTTTAAAATCTGTATTTTTGAAAATTGTTTAAACTGGAGCCTACTATCTGCCATCCTTTAACAGAAAATAACATACATTTTAACTTATACCTCTCTGTGTTGTGCTGTGCTGTGTTGTGTTGTGTTATTTTTTAGAGTTTTAGAGTTTTTAGTTATCAAAGTTTAGTTAAACTCTTTGTTTGAGCCTTTCCCCGTTCTCAGTTGTGATTTCACTCTCTACTATTTGGAAAGAAGAAAATACAAACACACAACTGTCATTTTGTGGATCTGTGTGTGTGTGTATATCGAAGTTGGATTTTTTTTAAAACAATTGATTAATCACCCATCATACTTTACTATCCCATCCGACTCACGAGAAACTGATAACTCATTTTTTATCATTATTCTGGGTTCCCATATATTCTGATCCCTATCCTAACCCTTTCAACTTTTTATCACTATTTATTACTTATCATTATAACTACTTGTACTATGAATGCATCCCAAGATAACGTGGCTATTGTAAATAAACAGGTCTATACTGGCCATCCTGTTGACTCAAAGGAAGACCTGATCGCCATCTCCTACCCAACTACAGAGGTAATAGGACATGGGTCATTCGGTGTCGTCTTCACAACAACTATAATAGAAACAAATGAATTGGTCGCTATTAAAAAAGTTTTGCAAGATAAAAGATTCAAAAATAGAGAATTGGAAATAATGAAATTATTGAAACATAAAAATATCATAGATTTAAAATACTATTTTTATGAAAAAGATTCTCATAATGAAATTTACTTAAATTTAATCATAGATTATATGCCTCAATCGTTATACCAAAGATTGAGACATTTCGTGCATCGAAGATCACCAATGCCAAGATTCGAAATCAAATGCTACATGTATCAGCTCTTCAAAGCATTGAACTATTTGCATGATAGTGCCAACGTTTGTCATAGAGATATCAAACCACAGAATTTACTAGTCAATCCAGATCTGTTGGAACTGAAACTATGTGATTTCGGTAGTGCAAAACAGTTAAATCCAAGCGAACCAAACGTTTCATATATCTGCTCAAGATATTATAGAGCTCCTGAATTAATCTTTGGTGCAACTAATTATACAAACCAAATTGACATCTGGTCAACTGGTTGTGTAATGGCAGAGTTATTATTAGGTCAACCAATGTTTCCCGGTGAAAGTGGTATCGATCAATTAGTAGAAATTATTAAAATTTTAGGTACTCCTACAAAACAAGAAATTTGTTCGATGAATTCTAATTATATGGAACACAAGTTCCCACAGATTAAACCAATCCCATTGTTTAACGTTTTCAAAAAGGAAGATGAACTAACTGTAAATCTATTATCTGACGTTCTAAAATATGATCCAATGGAAAGATTTAATTCATTACAATGTTTATGTCATAGTTATTTTGATGAATTAAGAGTAATTAGTCAAAATCAAAATTTCGACAACAGTAATAATCAATTAAACTTGGAACAACAGAATGTTGATGTTAATTTAATAATTAAGAATTTGAATTTGCTAGATTTCAATTTAAATGAAGAATTGGGTCATCTAAGTCATGATCAACTAGAAGCTGTAAAAGGAAAATTACTACCAAATATTTATGAAAGTTAATGCTAAAATACAATCCCCCCACTCATCCATTAATGTCTCAAAAAAATCATTCCCATCCCCACAAACACGCACATACTCCATATTAATCCAAATGTTCGAAATCTGTTAATATTACAATTTACCTTTTAATCTTTATTTTTTTTAATCATCATCTTTATATGTTTATTCGAACATCATGAATGTCACGTTATTATATGTCTATTATATCTAAGTTTTTTTTTCTTCTTCTTCTTCTTCTTTCTCTTCTTCTTCTTCTTCTTCTTCTTCTTAATATTATTTCTATTATTTTATTATTGTTGTTATTAAGTTTACTAATACCGGTATTCCTATGGTTTGAATGCTCGATTCCAAGAACTGATCTCAATTGATATTAACTTGTCCCATACATCTGAAATAAACGAGTACGGTCAAGCACGCTACAAAGAAACCGTCAAACAAAGCAATGAGAAAGAAGAACCATCCCAAGAAACAAATACTTCCAAATCAATAACACCAATGGATTGAACATGACTGTCATTGCTAGCTGGTTCGCCAGCAAAAAGGGAATACGACAGAAGAGGAAGAACGACCCTACTCAACCAATCAATGCAAATAATATAAAATATTTCAACCATCTATAATCAAAGTAAATAATCTCTATAGCATATTGAATCTAATTCACAACACTTTAAAAGTATCCTTATCTTTACCATTACCTTGGCCATTACCTTGACCATTACCTTGACCTTTACTGTCATCACCAATAACCGTTACATTACATTACGTAACGTAACGTTGCTGGTGATGTCCAAAGGGAAAAATCGAAATTAAAGATAAAAATTAAAAGGGGCACTTTTAAAGGAAAGGAAAGGAAAGTATCCCCAAGAGACAGACACATTTATAAAAAGGTAACTGAAGTTTTAATTAGTTTTAATCTATTATTTTACTCGTTTTTAGAATTTATTGATGTTGATGTTGAAATAGATTTTTATAAAGATTTAATTATAAATTGTAAACAAGGTTGTTGTTGTTTTTTTGGTTTAATATTACCGTTTGAGTTTGTACCTCTAAGGAATAATCAATCCAGTGTTAGATTTGTATGAATTAGCGCATTCTATACAGGGTTCGAAGTTCTAGGTTAGAAAGATAATTAAAAGTTGGTCGGTAAAAGATTTTTATTGGTTTCAGTTAACTTCTGTTTTTTTTTCTTCGTTTTATTTTAATTTAATTTTAGTCATATTGGGATTTCATTTCAATCATGGGTAATGTTCCTACAAAGTTAGAGGAACCTCAGAATCCTTCTTCTCGTTTGAAAAGTAGTTCTTTTAGTAACTCCGTAAGTGGAAATTCAGATATTACAGATTCTCCAGGCTCTGGTAACGGAAGGTCATCTTCCCAGACTAAACTGAATAATGCTAGATCGAAAAAGAAGAATGCGTCATTAAGCAATGGGCTATTAAAATCAACGACTATAAGTTCAAGGAAAAAGGACCAACTGGACAGAGAACAGTTTAAAGAAGACCATGCAGCTGAGTTGCTTGTAAAATACTACGAAAGTGTGGATGGTGGGTTTTTAGCACCCTTTGGTTGTTACTCGCTGGAAAAATTGAATTATAATCCAAAAATCGTCAAGAAATTAATTATAGAGAGAAAACTAGCTCCTTTTTATACTCCTTTACAAGATTTTAATGATAACTGGACGGATGAGGAATTGATTAAAATTATAGATGGCTTGCCTTTACATGCTTCGTTTAACGAGTCGTTAGAAGAATTCGAAGATATCCCAACTGGTGATTTGAAATCAAAAGATTTCGATTATCTAATTGATTCAAGCAGCCTAAGTAAAAGAGAACAGAAAAAACTACATTCAAAGATTTTTAAAGCAAGACTTCATAAGAAAAGAATCGCTTGGCAGGAAATGGAAAATACATATTTCCTAGAGAAAAAGCTCTCAAACAAAAATATTCTATCAAAATCAAAGGACTCTTCTGAAGATATGAATAATCACATTAGTAACAGCAGCAACGATATTTTAAATAATATCGATATAAGTTTACCAAATGATGATCTAAAGTTATCTCTTTATCAATCTGGTATTGAATGTCCTATTTGTTTCCTGTATTATCCAAAAAATTTAAATTATTCAAAATGTTGTCAACAACCAATCTGCACAGAATGTTTCGTACAGATTAAAAGAGCACTACCGCATTTCCCTCATGATGATAATGAACATAATAATGAAGATGATTCCGAAAAAGACCCACACTTGTTAATATCAGAGCCAGCTAATTGTCCTTACTGCGCTACTCCAAACTTCACAATTAGTTATTCCCCAATAGCTTCGCGAAAGACGGGTATAAATGGCGTCAAACAATTTTATTATAAACCTCCTAAAGCAAATGATGATGCCAATTTATCTAATAATACTGCAAAGCCAGTGTATCTGACGTCAGACACTATTCGCCCGGATTGGGAAGATAAATTGAACAAGGAAAGGTCACGTTTACAAAGAAGAGCCGCTAACGCTACAGCTATCCATGTCAGCAACCAATTGATATCCCCTGGCCGTTCAGAGAACAACGAAATTCCTTCGAATCTTAAGGAATTAGAGAATCAGATGATAGAGCAGGCTATAAAATTGAGTTTACAAGACCGTAAGCAAAATGAAAGTGGGTCAAGGAAGAAATCTAGTAAATAAATTTATTCTTAAGTTATATAGAAAAATAATAAAATTGATACGTCAATAATTGATAGTTTAGAACCAAATCATGTGAACCATGCGAGAAACAGAGAATGACAGAATTCCTTAAATACAATTCTGTCAGCACTATCGCTATTAAATATCGTAGCTTTTAGTTTTGTAGAGGTTAATTTTGAAGCATTATACTTAAAAGTTATAAGTAATATATCATTTTGTTTTATTCTTTTGAATTGGTAATGGTTTTGAGTTTCGATCAGTCTAGTATTGCTTATGAATGAAGATAGAGAATAATGAAGGGGTGTCTTAATAATATAAAACATATTTTATTTATTGACTCTAATTGACATGCTAGAGAGCTTAAATAGTAATTTGATTTAGCCATAAAAGTCTAGTGTAGTGATATATGTTTAATTCTGTTACATGCTTCAACCTTTTGTTTAATCACTATGTTGAAATTTTTATATACGAATATCTATAATGTCAGAATGCAGACGCTAAGATTGATATCTATCTTATAATTTCAATGAAACACTCCCTTGGTGGGCAATATCCCACTCTCAATCCTTGGTAAAAATTCCTGCTAGCATCATCAATAGTAAAAGAAAGATCTGTCTTTAGAGTTTAAATGTTGTTCATATATGGATCAGGGGAGATGTACATACAAGTATCAGATATATATGGAAGACTAAAAAATGATGATTTTATATTTAAAATAACGATGAAAAGATATGATATTAAAAGTAATGGCTTCCCACTAATACAAAATATACGTATAATATATTAAAAAGAAATAATTTATAAAAGTTATTTTTAGTTAACTTATTTCTTCTTTTCAGCTTCAGCTTCAGCCTTTTCTCTGGCTCTCTTTTCTCTGATACCCTTGTATCTCTTTTCAGATCTAGCCAATCTCAAAGTTCTGTAAGCAGAGACACCGTTGTCTTCAACAGCTCTGACTTCGACGTCAGAAGCTGGTTGAGCAATTGGGAAAGTAGCAGCAGCAGACAAGACTTGTTCAGCTTCTGGAGCCTTACCATTTCTTGGGAAAACAATGATCTTAGCTAAGTATTCCTTTAATCTTTGAACGTTAGCATCGAACATTTCTTGGTTTCTGTTTTGACGTCTGTGGTCGACAGCAATACCAATGGTTCTGGCGTAAGCAGCAGTCAAACCAGCGGCCTTAACTTCAGCTAAGGTGAAACCTCTACCAGCTCTAACCTTTCTGTTGTATTTAACAGTTGGAGCTCTGACAACTGGTCTCAATAAGTCCAATGGTCTTGGAGCAATCTTAGCGGCTTTAGCAGCTCTGGCGTTACGTCTAGAGACCTTCTTACCGGCTTGGTCGAAGTGAACTCTGACACGTTCTTGCCAGTGCTTTCTGAAGTGGTTCTTCAAAATTGGTAAGTTCTTGGAGATAGCTGTAAAAATATTATTATGAAAAATAAAAAATAAACGTTAGTAAAAAAGATCAAATACATTGTAATGGACTATAATACAGTACATGATATCTTATATCAATACTGATATAGCATTGACAACAAATGAAGTGAATAATGTCGTTAAACTGGTGATCTGTTAAACCTCTTGTATTGAATTCGAAGTTAAAAACTTTCTATCTGCTTCATCTTGGTACTTTTTTTTAATTAACTATCATCAAAGCTAGTAAATATTAATTAACAAAATCTAACTTCTAATATAGTGAATATTATTGAATTAATCATTGGAAAATGAACTAAAGATACTAATTCGGTACTTTGATTCCAGAGATTCGACCACATCTTTTTGTCATATCATAATTATTACTTCTAAATTGCTGTTATTCTTCTATTATACCATATATAACATACCCATTGTTACTTGATTCCTGGTTTGTTTTCGAAGGTATTAACTATTAAATATTGTAACAAGTACTTGACTTAACCACACTATTTTTATAAATGTTAATTCAAGTATATCTCTAATTCTGAATACCACTTTCGTGAGGATGAGGATGAGGATGAAGGTTGGATATTACTAGTTGATTGGAAGTACGTTACCAATGAGAGTTCACCAGAGCAAGAAGATGAAGCAAAATTCATCAAGATAGAATAGATAATTTGGACAAGCATTGCAAGCAATAATTGAATTCGATATTTTGGTGTAAGAGTACAGTATTAAGATAATATGATCTGAGAGTTACAATAGCATCACTGAGAGTGTATTGACACACTCTGTATCTACTGCCAGTTGGTTACTTTACAATACCACCAGCATCACCAACTGTTACTGTGCTGTGTATTATTCAGTACAGTTTTTGATGGCTCTACAATAACTGAAATTTTCATGAAAAATTTCAAACGGTTACAAAGAAGTTGCGTCTGAGTAGCCCATTCGCAATAAGGTGGGTGGGTGAAATGGACTTCATTTCAGACTAGATAGGAGCTTCTAGACGGAGCACCATAAAAAAAATCTCTGTCTAGAAGGAAAAGATGGGGTCTGTCTAGAAGAGAGAGAGAGAGAGACCGTTCCAACCAAGAAGAAGTTAGTGAACGCAAGTTAGCACGAATTTCATTCGCTTATTAACTTTACCACCATTGCCCCTAAACCTTGTGCTTCTCATGCTCTGCTGTTCCTAAACCGAACCATTTTGGAGTAACCAACAATTATCGTCTGAACGGTTGAAACGCAGAACATAGACGAAACAGAGAAACAATCTAGTTGTGTTTTGTAGTTTTCTTTTGTGAACAGATGTTGCGGATGTACGGATGCACTCCAAAATCGTCACTTCCAACTGCGGTCACGCGTGCATCCGTGCCGGTGCAGTCACGTATAGTATCATCCGTGCACCCTATCACATACAACCCGTGCATCCGAATAGGAATGAAATATAAAATATTTTTTATGTATTTTATTTTGTCAGTTCCCGGCTTTATATGTTTTTCTCTATACATTTTCATAAAAGCGGTCAGAGAGCGGCTCGTGTTTGTCGGACGATTTCTGAGCAAATCTGGTGTCGTCCATATCCTAAACCGAAAAGCCAATTTCAAAACTCCCAAGCGACTCAACTTTTTCCTTCCAGTTGAAACTTTTCAGTGTCTCCCGGTAGAGAGGCCACTTGAATTTTTCAATTGTTCTGCGATGAGCTGTAAAAATTTTTCATTTTGTAAGGACGAAGTTCTACAAGGATTCTCTGCTATCCACTCTTGAATCAATGCCAGAATATGGCATTCAAGCTAGATAGATACAAATCATACGCTAATACACAGAGATATTCTCTAGCATAGCTCTCATTATCATTATCATCACTATGATTAGTATTATGATTATTATGATTAGTATTATTATCACCAATAACCATAACCATAACCTTTCAGTTCAATACTATATCCATCCTAGCTTGCTTCCAAAGTAGCAGTGTTCTCACTAGCCATCATTACCATTACCATTACCATTACCAATAGCTTCTTGAACATTTCGCAAGTAATCGTAGCCTCAGAGAGAGTAACACACAACAATTCAGACAGTGTTAGGTTCTTACCCACAGCTGTAACTTTTGTTGAATTCACAATAGTTTTTTGTTCAATCCACTTTTATTCAATTCAGTTTTAGTCTCTCTCTAACACCAGTGCTGGTTGCCGGTAAGTGGTATTATGATGCTAATACTGATGCTAATGCTAGGTAGAGGGACAGACTAGGTGAGAGCTATCGATAGATGAATTAATGCCTAGTGACCATAAGGTTTAATGTAGATAATGGCCATAATGGTATATATTAATGGTATATTGACAATATAGATATATATATTCTTGTATTAGTTTTAAGAACACCGTAGAATAAGTAAGGATGTCTGCTGTCCCAAGTGTTCAAGTATGTTTAAAATCGAATTTAGTGTAATAGAGGTGATAAATGATTTTTGGATTGATTGTTGATATATATTAAAGACTAGTAAAGGAGAAAATACCAGAGCTCTAAGTCAAGTTGATGTTTTAAACCTGTCGTGATGTGTATATTTAATGAAATAAAGTGTATTGGAGTTGGGATTATATGTCCAAAATTTGGTCTATTTAAAGCCGTAGCCTCCCCATGATAACAATCCAACTCAGTCTTGAAAGCTATTTATTAGCAAAACCTGATGGATTATAGAGATTCTCGTCTGAGATAATGGGAAGTACATGGAATTTCGAATTCGTGGCAATAGTTAAATGATTTTAAGAATAATCGAGATAGCTTTGTGGGATAAGATACACATGACAAGATTTGATTTTGTAGTAACTGTACCATTCACTATACAAAAGAAATAGAATATTATGACCGCCAAGGTCTTGGAATTTTTTATTGGGTCCAAAAACCATGAAACCATCTGTTATTTAAATGTCATGGTGACAAAGATTACTAACAATAATTATTTTACTTCATGATTTTGCTATAGACTTTCGGTAAGAAGAAATCAGCTACTGCTGTTGCCCACGTCAAAGCCGGTAAGGGTTTGATTAAGGTTAACGGTTGTCCAATCACTTTAGTTGAACCAGAAATCTTGAGATTCAAGGTTTACGAACCATTGTTATTAGTTGGTTTGGACAAGTTCACTAACGTTGACATCAGAGTCAGAGTCACCGGTGGTGGTCACGTCTCTCAAGTTTACGCTATCAGACAAGCTATTGCTAAGGGTTTGGTTGCTTACCATCAAAAATACGTTGATGAACAATCCAAGAACGAATTGAAGAAAGCTTTCACCTCTTACGACAGAACCTTGTTGATTGCTGACTCCAGACAACCAGAACCAAAGAAATTCGGTGGTAAAGGTGCTCGTTCCAGATTCCAAAAATCTTACCGTTAAGGAAAGAATCTATATATTGTATTTCAAATTTTTATTTACAAATATTTGGTTTTATCATATATTATCTTTCTGTTTAAAAGGAATAGAAAAAATATAACATTTTATTCATATACACAAATTGTATAATCTAATAAACACGTAAAAAAATAAAACAATTGTTTTTTACTATTATAAATCTGATTTATTCCTTTATTTATGTAGTTGCTATAGTTTGAATCTTGCGTTAAAAAGGCATTTGATGACGGGGAGCGGATATGAAGTCGTCAGATAATAATCGTGCATAATGAAATCATTTTCAAAGATAGTGAAGTCATTCTTATTACGTCGATACTATAACATGTATTACTTTTACAAAACTATTATATAAGAGTATAGATTGATGGTTAATTGCTATTTGGATTGATGAAACTCCTTATAAATGATAATCAACCTGATGCTGATTATTCAATTTTGATTTTACTATAAATAAAAGCACTTTAATGTACTCAGTTGTTCAAGTAAGTAGATGGATCAATACCTTCTTCTGGGAATTCGGCAATTTTAACGTCAAAACGTTCTTGGATTTTACCCAAGACTTCTTCATCTTCTGGAGAAGAGACAAAAGAAATGGCCAAACCTTTGGTACCAAATCTACCAGCTCTACCAACACGATGTAAATATTGATCAGCTTCGGTGGTTAAATCGTAATTGATGGCTAAGTTGATACGTTCAATATCAATACCTCTACCAAAGACATCAGTAGATACACAGATACGCTTTTCAAATTCTTTGAAAGCCTTGTAACGAGCAATACGTTCAGCTTGTTTCATATGACCGTGAACAGTAATAGCTGGGAAATTAGATTCATTCAACAACTTGGTTAATTCATTTGCTCTCTTGGTGGATTTGACGAAAATGATAACTTGGTTAAATTCTAAGTCATCTAATAATTGGGCTAATTTACGGTTCTTTTCATTTTCTTGTAGTTTAGTGTAGTATTGTTGTAAACCATGTAAGGTCAACTTAGCTTCATCGTCAACGAAAATTTCCAATGGATTTTGTAAGAAACGTCTACAGATTGGTCTGATTTCTTCAGATAATGTAGCAGAAAACATCATCACTTGCTTGTCTCTTGGGGTAGCTCTGAAAATATCTTGGACATCTCTTCTCATATCTAATTCTTCTAATACTTTATCACATTCGTCAATGACGAAGTTCTTGACATGAGATAAGTCAATTAATTTATCTCTAACCAAAGCCTTTAAACGACCTGGGGTAGCGACAACAATGTGTGGAGCAGTTTCCTTGTTCTTCAACAATTCGGCATCCTTATTAATTGGAGTACCACCATAGAAGACAGCGGTCTTGACATCTGGCATATATTTTGAGAATCTTAAATATTCATTACGAATCTGATAAGCCAATTCTCTTGCATTACAAATAACAACAACAGAAACTTCACCTGGAACGGGGTCCAATTGTTGCAAAGTAGATAATACGAAGACGGCGGTCTTACCCAAACCAGATTTGGCTTGACATAAAACATCAGTACCATGGATAGATTGTGGGATAGTATGTTGTTGAACTTCAGAAGGATGTTCGAAACCACAATCGATAATGGCTCTTGCCAATTCAGGTTTCAACAAGAAATCTTTGAAACCAGTTGAATGAATACCAACATAAGAACCCTTCTTTTCGGCATCACCATTGGAGGCATCTTCAGCAGTAGTAGCATCTAATTCAGATGGTTCAGCTGCTTTGGAAGCATCAACTTGAATATCTTGTTCATTATCAGAATATTCTAATAAATCTTCTTCACCTTCGTGTGACATTGTTCGATTGTAGTTTGTTTGTTTGTTCGTTTTTTCTATGTAGCTAATTAAAGCAAATTACAAAATATTAACACCTTACTAAAATACCTTAAAGCACCCAGATTCAGGAACAAATAAAAAGATGTACTTAATCAATTAGTCAGTACCTGCTCACTATTATTATCATTATCATTACTAGTACTACTACTATCATTGTTCTTGTTATTATTTGTTTGTTGTCAGTTTTGGATATTTTCCATTTTTTCGAAATGGACATATTTCATATGTTCCGGGTAACTTTCCTATGGAGGTAATCTCATCAAGGAATGACAGACAACATATTTAATAACAGATGTGACAGTAATTGTGATCAGTTATTATTATAAGTATTGGCTAATGGGAAGTAAATATGTTCTTGTTGAATGTTAGGTATGATATATTAAACTGTTTGGATACTTTTTAAATATTATTTATTAAATGAGGGAGAGGGGGGGGGGGATATGGTATCTAAGTATATATAAGATAATGAAATGAAATTCTATGAAATTATGCCTTTGATTTTGTTAAATATCTCCATTAGTAGTTCCTTTGATGCTGTATTGTTTATATTTTGGTATAGTTGTGATTCATTGTCTTCAATTATGCCTATGACATTTTGTAATTGATTTAATGTATCGTCTTCAAAAATATTTGATGTGATTGTTGTGTTAATGAATTGATTATCGATATTTTGCTTATTTGAGATTGTAATAGTAGTGTCAATATTTGTATCATGATCACTGCTAGCGTCACTTCGGCTCCTTCTATCCAGGCTTTCTTCTTCCCTTATCTCATCTCCATTGACCGATGCATCGTCGGGATTTGAGATTTCTACATTAGGTTGTGAAAGTTGTTGTGAAGTAATTGGTATCCGCACTCTCTCAGTTGAGTCGTATAGCCTTAGTAAGATGTCTCTGATTTTATCAAAAGTAAAAGTGTTGCTGGTATTTAGTTCAATTCCTGTTACTTTGAAATTAGTAGCGTTGTCAAAAGTTGTTTGAGTTTCTAACGTAGTGCTCATCTGCTCATTATACAAAGCCACTATTTCATCTCGTGTGATAGATTGATTCCATGGGAATGAAATAAATTTCCCACTTGTAACCAGCTCATTACATTGCAATGGCTCCCAATTGTAATTGAGTTGAAATCCTTCAAAAAATACCATTGGTACATTTGCAGTTCCGTTATCTTCATGTAAAGATACGCAATTTGAATATATAGACTTGAAAGTTTCATTTAATTTATCTAACTTGAATTCTTTTTTCAACTTATCATCTTTAGATGTTTTTGATTTCTTCAAAGTATTTTCAGTGTTATCTGTATTGTCTACCGAAACAACGTTGATATTCTTACCATAGTAGTCTGCAAAGAGTACAACTAAAGGTGTGCCAATCAATTCTATTTCGAAATCTACTGGTGATATTTTTAAACAAGTAAATAAACTTGACATACTTTGTTCGTGAATGCATGACTTAACAATGAGGTAAAAAGGTTCATTACGTTGTTTTAGTCCATTTATAGTTTCTTTGTATAAAGGTAGGAAACAGTCCCACAACAATTCGAAGTTGTTAATTGAATTTTTTAAATTCGAAATTTGAATATTATGTTGACTATTTACCGACCCATATATGATAGAATGTTCATTTCTTTTAATGAAATTTTGTACCCATTTTTTCCCCAAAAAAATATCTTCAGTTAGAGAAAATATGAATTCCTTTAATTTACTAGTCTTCATTGTATTACCCAAAGCATGATTCATATTCCTGATATGATTTATTAATAACTCTTCTCTCTCTACGCTAAGTTTCATCTGTTGGGCATGTGACCTCAGAGAGTTAGCAGCAGAACCACCAGTAGTACTAACAATGGATCTACTGCCAACTTTCCGCCTTTTAGCATTAACATTGCCGTTGTCAACTGATCCAGAACTACAGTTTATATCACCTAGTTTATCAGTATTACCAGCATTTTTGTTTGTACTATTACTATTACTTTTTAATCTATCGTAAAGTGTAGATTTCGGTATTTGGAAAACCAAAGCAATCTGTCTAATTGAATGTTTCTTAGAATTTCGACCTTCTACATTTACTGAAGATTCAACTTGCATAAATTCTATTGCTTTTCTAATACGTTCTTCCTTATCAGTAGGCAAGGGATCAATAAAATCTTGAACCCAAGATGAGGAAGACTGCCGAACAATTTTACCATCTCTTCTCAAAGAGCCACCTGGTAACCCTTCTTTCCTATCACCATTCGAATCAAACACAGATAGCTTGAGTATCTGATCACTTGTAGGTGACTCCATATTGTACTCTTATACTCCATGCACTGTCAAAGTTATCAAATATTAATCAAAGAAAAGGGAACCTTTCTAGTATGTATATATATATATTATATCTCTACTATTCTCGATGACCTAAATAATTCTTAAGCCAATTCTCATAAAACATATAGATTGATAGTTCTTTTGTTTCCACCAAGTCAACGAACAAATAGTAGATATAGTCTTCGCAATGACAGTGGATGAGCATATATGTAACAGAAACCAACAAATTCAACACGATATCATTACTTCCAATGGTCTAAAGCTAAGCCAGAACGCTTAGCTATAAACTAATCACAATCAGATATATTGATCATTAATCACGACGTATACTTGAAATTTCACCAAATTTAAAGGGTTCATATTGATACCAGACCTTTAAACGGATTTGAAACTGAACAACTGTCTTGTAACGACGGTAATTAGTTCTCTTTGAGTGAAGGATATATATCTATAGATATACATATAGTTTTGGTTGGGTATATTCATGGATGTATGTAGTATTTGTGATTTAGTGATATTATTATAACTATGTAATCAAGTCTTTTTCATTTAAGGTAAGGAGGGAGACGAGTTGAATTTCGAGGAAATGCCTTTATTTAGTTTAATTTCTTGCTAATTAAGGTACTTAATTGTAATTCTTATTTTTGTAGTTTGGCTATTTAGCTTTCAGTTCTACTTTCTAATTATGTTGAAGTGGGGAGGTGGTGTGGGGTTCGTACTTTATTGGTTGTTTTTATTTTATGTGTTGTTCTATTTTGTGGATTTTAGCTAAAAGGAGCCAATGTTTTAAATGAGGTAAAACTAAATACATTATTTCCGCAACAACATATATATATATATATTTGTACAAAATTTAAACTAAAATAAAAAACAACAACAAATGATCTATACTTCTTCTATTTGATTAATTGATGCACACTACACAAATAAATAAATAAATTTACTTATGCTTTAACTATATTTATATATATATATTTTTTAATTACATACCACGGAATACATTCTTACTAGCCCTTCTACCATCATATCTTGGTCTAGATCTACCATTGTCTCTTTTAGAAGTCTCATCATCTGATTCATCATCGTCATCATTGTTTCTTCTTGCTGGTTTCTTGCTAGGTTTAGGTTGTTTTTTAGGTACAAATGTTAATTCTGCTTCACCACGATGATTACGATGCAAAATTGAACTATCATTCTTCTTTTCCTTTTCGATTAACTTTCTTTCACGAACTTGTTTGCTGAATGATGGAATCGATGCATTACCAGTTGCTGTTTCCTTTGTACTTATACTCATCTCAGTTAAGAAAGAATCTGATTGTTTCTTCTCCTTCATTCTTCTTTCAATTGTGGAACGGTTCTTCTGTATTAGCTTCTTGTCCTTCTCACTTAATTCAATCTCTTCCTCGTCTTCACTCTCACTCTCACTTTCACTTTCGCTATCACTGTATTTACCACTTCTACCTTCTCTCATAGCAATTCTTTCTTCATCAGATTCTTCAGCAGCAGTCAAGGCTCTAATTCTCTTGGCGGCACCTTCTTCAGTTTCTCTAGCAGACTTAACTGGGTTCAATTGTTTGTAATCATAATCTTCTTCATCAACTTGGAAATCTTCATCTTCAAACATTTCTTTGAAACGATCATCTGTAAGAACCTTTTCAGCGACTTTATCACCACGCTTTTCTGATAATCTATCAACAAGAGTTTTGTTAACTTTGATCTTAGGTTTTTGTACAGCACCTGCAGTTCTAATTCTGGACTCTCTTTCCTTTTCAATTCTTTTTCTGATTTCTCTTTCTCTTTCATCTTTATAAGCATTTGGATTTGTGATAAGAGAGACTTTATCGTATAATTCAGTGTTAATGAAGAAACCATGCATGTAAGGTCTTAATACCTTTGAACCAATTAAATGTTGGATATTCAATTTCTTAACATCATCTCTGGTAATAAATCTGTAATTGGAGTAGACTGAATCATTAGGTTTTTCTTCCAACTCTTCAGTAATAGAATCCAAGAATGAACACCATCGTGGAGATGGACCTAAATTTGGAATATAATATGTATGCATTGGAATACCTTCATTTGCGGTGAAGAACATACCAGTGCCTGGAACATGCTCGATATCGTTGATATCTACACTTGGTTCCATAGATGCATATGGCTTACCATCCAATCTATCCCATATTTTAGCAATCCTTTTATCAGATACTAAAATTTTATCTGATGAAGAAGAAACGTCATCTATCCAGGTCAATTTTTTAATGTCGAAACCATAACCGTGATCCTTTACTATAGAAGGTTCAGAGGTACGCAAATCGTATAAATAAGTATAACCATTAGAAGTACCACAAGCGAAATTCAAACCATCATTACGGAAACTTGTAGCTGTAACTTGGAAACTTGAACTATCTATTTGGTTTTCTAGATATAATTTTGAAACTCTTGAACGAGCTCTTGGATCCCAGAACTCTACAACGCTATCTTCTAACCCTACAGCCAGTAAACCATTAACTTGATTTATAGAAACATGATTGACACCGCTGTTTTCATCAATGTCTAGTTTGAATGGGTTCAAAAATCTACCTTGTTCTAAATTTAATCTATATAATTCATTACCACTAGCACCGACATACAAATCACAGTTAATGTCATTATAAGCTAAACTTCTACCAAATTTAGGAATTCTTGTTGCATAATGCAAACCACCTTTATTTTGAAATTGAATACTTCTATCATTTTGTAAATGAACTGATTTAGTCCAATCATCAGATAATATAAGGAAATCAATATTTTCAGCATCGGTATGCCTATCAAATTTCATTGATAAATTTGTGAAATCATAAACATGGATTTGTGGTTTATAAGTACCAGTAGCCATTGCAAATTGACCATCTTTAGTAACTTTAATTTTATTTGAAGCTTCACTAAATTCAAAATCCTGAACTAATTCAACACGATTTTGGTATTCCAAATCGTTCTTCAAAGATCTTTTACGTTTTTTAGCAATCCAGTCAGGCAAAGATCTAGATACATTAGTACCTGATACCTGATATACTGAAACACCACTAGCAGAAGTTGATTTTAAAACCATTTTCTATCACTGCAACCGCTGTTACTGTTATGAGGCTATTGTTATATTTCAGTAAAATTCAATAACGAACAAGATAATACAACTGATACTAATAATATATAACACTCTAATACTGAATATTGTTGTTTTAATCTATCTTATTAACTATCAAATTTGAACTTAGATTAGATTTGATGTGATGAGATGAGATGAGATGAGATGAGCTTTGAAATTTTTCACTTTTCGAAAATTTGACTTTTTTTTCTCCTTCACGAAAAGCAATTTGATGGGCAAACAGAAGTCACGTGATCATGATTATAATCTGCGTGAAAAAGCGTAGCAGTCTCGAATTAACAGATGACTGGGATGATGTCAACATTAAAAGAAACACTACATCAGATATATATCCTATAAATCAATCAAAAACTAACTACTTTATTAACATCTCTACAGGTTTTTTTGTTTTTTAGATTAACTTCCTGTTTGATTTGTTTCTGTTCGATTTGGTTCCACATCAGAGTTATTTCCCCTACATCTAAGCTCTTGACATCAAGAATAAGAAATGACGTTCCCCCATCTTAATAAAGGGCTCTAAAAAGACACTCTGGTTTTCCACACGATTCAGACTAATCTACTTTTCTTTCAATACTTGAGAGTCAAGCTTGATAAATCAAAGGATAAATTAAAATTGTGTCAAACGTATCCACAGTTCCTTTGCATTTGTTTTATTTTGTTACATGCAAAAGACACTCACCTCATTATTTCTTATTCTAATATACTACTACTACTCCCAAAATTAATTGAGGTGATTGCAGATACTTTAAGAGACATATACAAATATGATTTAATACAAGCTATTTACTTAACACTTCGAATGAAACAAATCCAACATATTGCCGTTGTTGTTGGTTCATTTCTTTTGTTGAACTAGTCCGATATCATATTAATTTATTATGTAGTAATCCATTGGTTTCTCTATCTACCATATCAACAATATGGCTTGGCATGTCTTAGACGTTATTGAAACTTGCGATGACTTGGTTACTGATAGGGTGATTTTAGTTTTTTCAATGTAATGTAAAGATAGTAAACTTAAATTAAATGGATGTCCTCAAGAAGAGTCAGTTTAAATCTTGGTAAACTTTCCCCAATTACCAAGTCGTTAACTAGAATTGTGTGTGTTGTTTTTTCTATTTTACTTGTTACTTTTTATTATCCAGGGAAAGGTCATCATTAAATTGTATGTGTCTGATCCTTTTAACCACTTAAATTTTTAAAAGGTAAAGTAAACAAACAAACACACGTCCAATAGTTACTTGCTATATATAAAGAGATATACATTTGCATTCGTAGTCGTAAATTTGCAAAGTTAAAAGCGCAAGATAGGAGTTAAAAGTTTGTTATTACTTAAATTTGGACTATTTTCATAAGTTATCTAAAGAATTTATTCGTTTTTACCTTTATCTTTATCTTTATTTTGATTTCGAATTTTAAATTTGATTTTATTACAGTAACTTCATATGTCTAGTAAAGATTGGTAGAGCATTATTAATCATCGATGTTCAAAATGACTTTATTCCACCAAAGGGTGCCTTGGCAGTACCTGAGGGTGACCAGGTTGTTGATCCTATCATTGATTTAATGTTTTCTGAAAAATGGGATTCGATAGTATTAACAAGAGACTGGCATTGTAAAGATCATGTATCCTTTGCTAAAAATCATAATTTACCTAATTTTGCACCTTTTGTCTATTGTTCCCCTGTAGTTAATGATGAAAGGAAAATAGAGTCAACTTTATGGCCTGTCCATTGTATTGAAGACACTGAAGGTGCTGATATTGCTCCTTCTTTACAAGCTGTTTTAAGGAAGCATCCAGAAATCGTTTTAGTGAATAAGGGCTATTTAAAAGATAGAGAATATTATTCCGCATTCTGTGATATTTGGGATGATCATAATACTGAATTACATGAAATTTTACAACAAGATGGGATCGATGAAGTAGTGGTTGTTGGATTAGCATTGGATTATTGTGTAAAAAACTCTGCAATTTCTGCTGCTAAATTAGGATATAAAACGACTATTTTAAAAAAATATACTCGTGCAATTGATAATCATAAAGACTCATTAAGAAGATTAGCCAAAGAATTCGAGTATTATGGAGTAATCCTTGATGAAAGCTAAAACATACACAGATAGTTACAATAATGTATTAGATTCAAGTGGCTGGAGCAAAAGGCATTTATGGTATTAAATGTCATTCCGTTAATATACACATAATGGAATATTTATGATACTTACATAACCATCACGTTTTATGTAGTTAATTTTAGACCAATTTAAATTGTTGCTTAATGTAAGCATGTCATTTATTATGGATTGCCAGAGTTAAAAAGTTAATAATGAGTCAATTTACATAATATAGGTATCGTTGTTTAAAAGTTATAATTAACTAATTGAGTTAAATAATTAAAATATATCATAAAGACATTATCAATTCAACTTTTTACTGCCGGAGGCCAAATTTGATTTAATAATCACCCAGTCTCATATGAGTTCCTGTAATGTCTGAGATGCTAGATACCATATTCAGTTTTAGTAATTACGGCGGCTTGCAAATACAAGTGACTCTAATGACATGAAAAGTTTTATCAAAAATCTTGGCATATAAGTAGAAGCCAAATATTCGCATTTGTAATTTAGAATATTTAGTGTTTATTTTCCATTACTGTTATTTACAATTGTAGCGATTCACACTTTGGAGTTGAAGAAAGTTTTAGATGCTACTATTTAAAATTGGGGCCAAATTATAATTGTATATATATTTGAAGTTATCCTCTAACGTTTATATTTCGAGTCATCGCAACTGCCAGTGATGAAAAACAACTTTCGAAGTTTCATTTGTCATCAATCTTTACATCACAGTCTCTTTTCTGTACGAATTATAGATAAGAGATAATAATAATATTATAATATTGTAAATATTGTTTTTAAACCATGGTTTCTATAATGATATTAGGTGAATTAACTTTGTTTGTGTCAGAATTATGAGGTAACACGTGATATAAACGTATTACGACATTATTCATATAGGATAAAGAAATGTTACTTTACACGAAAGTATTACTGACGCTGAAAACTTTTCCAACACTGTATATAAGAAATGATGAGATCTTAATTGATACTTATCATATGTACTTGCTGACATTGGGCATGTGACTTTTTCTTATAAAGCCATATTATCATGTCTCACGAGTGTCTGTCCGAACCGAAAACTCTTCAAGGTATCTTGAAGTATAAAAGAACATTATGTATAGTAATATAATAAATAACTATGTATCAGAATAAAGAAATGATCCAGTTATCTAGTAGAAAAGTGACCACAATGAGCCAAAATAATACTACAAACCAGTATGGTAGCGCCGCGGTAAACGATCAGAGTGAATAATCATCTTATTCTGATTGCATTGAGATCTTGGAAGAACAGATCCACCAGATCGAACCTAGAAAAAGGAAGATCTGGTTAGACACTAATGTCGAAACTAAAATTAAAATTAAACAAACTAGAGAATTGATGGGTGAGATCAAAGAAATCAGACGACTCATCAAGGATACTAAAAATGAATAATCTCAACATTCAAATAATAATAATATAATTGAAATAACAACTAATATTAATAACAACAAAATAAACACACAAACTGAAAAGTTAAATAATAACAAAGAAATTAACAACAAAATTAAAAATGTAACAGCAGTAAAAGTTGAAAGACTTAAAAATGCTGTCTACAATCAAAATACTAAAATTAAAATTTACAAACAAGCATCAGATAATGATGTCATTCATTTTATAAAGGAAAACGAAAAGTCTAGCTTTACAATATTTGAAGAACAAAATGAAGTCAATCTACTTCCAAAAAAGGATTATTTTAGCTTTTACTATGAAATATAAAGGAAAAGCCAAGCCATTACAAAGTTTTATTTTGACTATAATACAGCCAAAACTAACTTTAATCTATCCATAACCGAAGATCTACATATTTAGATGTAAATATTTAAACAATTCATAAGAATATGGAGATTTTCTGATGTTACTATATTAAAGAAAAATATAGAATTATCAATGGATAAAGATTATATCATAAAGGATGTGATCTATCAAAGCATTGTCAGCCGTTTGAAGAAAGCTGTCAATAAAGAAAACATTGCCAACGTTATATCTGATATGATAAAAACTAGGTACATGAATTCATATCTGACCTTACTCAACATTCATTTGCGGAAAAGTTCATGATCGATGATTTCTGATCAAATATTGACAAGGTGGATACTGATTTGATTTCAAAAATAACAATTGAAACCAAACTATAGACGATAGTATGTTACCAACTATTACCAATTCACCGTTAAATATAGTCTCAAAATATTCTTTGAAAATTATGCTAAGAAGTTTCTTACCATTTGAAACTCCAGCACTAATCTGGTGACCAGCCACAAGTAAGATTTAATCACCTGGAGTTAATACCATCACATTATGCAAAGACGAAAGCAGTTTTGATGAGGTTTTATATATTCCGAAGATAAATACAATAGTCTCAACTAGTAATTATGCTTTGACAAATTTTACAATCCATCCTAGAAAGTAGGATGAAGTCAATAATGAAACTATAATTGCTAAGTTTTGAGCACGTGAGAGAAAAATGGGAGACTATGATGACACAGATTTTGACGAGAGTGAGATAGAGGATGCAATTCCATCATTTGATGATTCAGCTTAGGGAAATAACATTGGCCGTACATGAGATAATAGACTAATGACACAATCCTTAACTAATGATTTTACTGAAGATGAAAATTTCTCTAGAAGACAGTGTAATAGTAAATCCACTGTATATAGATAAATCACATTTGATACAAATATTATATTAAAATGAAGATCTAGACGATAAACCATCAAATGAATCTGATGGAATTACAGACTTGGAAGACTTTGATAATCACATAAGTGAAGGACAAAATATATTAGTCGAGTCTGCACGAAAAGCAAAAATTACCACTTGAGTGTGAGAGTGAAAATGAAATGACTAATGACAATAATGATAACATACTATCTACTATAAATGACAACAAAACAACATCAATAGTACAAAACTACTTATCAGATATTAAATAACAAACATACAAACTATTGAATAGCAACCATATTCCACAAGCTTATTCATCCACAGAAGCGATTGTAATATTGGATAGAGAAGAAAAATAGATATACACAATGAATAGTGAAGGAGAACTTCACAACGTGAATATAATATATCCTAATAATATTCAATAATATTGGTACAACAAATACAGATACCATCTTAGTTACAAGCAATATAAATGATCAAACATCAAATGAGATCGATGAAGGTGAGGAGACTGAGAAATTAGTTAGAAAGAATGAAGCGATAGACGTGATAAAGGAGGTAAATGAGGTGGATACTCAAAAACGTTAAGACAATTCGGATTTTGAGGAATTGAATTCTCAAACTAAAATCGAAGAGTTTAAAAAGAATAACTCTATTAAATGAAACCATCATTTCTGAAGAAAATATGATCTATTACTACCTTTTATTGACAGAAATCATCCAAATCATCCAAATCATCTTGACGAGATGAAATGAACATCGGTTGTAAAATTAAACGCAAAAGTTATTATGGACAGGAAAAAGGATATCTTCACTAAACCTTTAAATTCAACTGTGATGTATAAGAAACGGAATAAAAATAAAATAATTTCGAAAACTACAAAATAAATTACAAAATAACATAACAAATTATCGAAACCACTATTACTAAAAATACGACATTATAAGAAAAGGTTAAATATATGGAGACTCAGGAAACGGAGTTAAATAACTTAATCTCGATGAAAGCATTTGATCATTAGATCAGACTTCCACACTTGACTGTTTCTTGGGGACAAAATTGTTTCTAACAATACCATCTTCACTGTCAAATGAGACGGACGTATAAGTCTCGTATCGTTTGCAGGGGGGACTTACATTCTCTTAACAACTTTGGAGATGTAGAAAGATCTAATTTTAACATGGATTCCTTGAAGCTACCATTGACTATTGATAATAATAGAGGTTTGAGAATACCACCTATTGGATATTAATCATGGAAATTACTTTAATCCATCAGAAAGACAATAGGATGGTTACATCATTAAAGGAACACATATACATTTAGAAAATCCAAAGCGACCTAATAAAAAATACATTCAAGAAGAAAATAAAAGATGTCGTGTAGAACTGAGATATACCAACCTCTAGGTTGGGAGAACTGAAATTTAGATACCTGTATTACAAAGAAACAATAACTAAAAATCAGCATTCATCAGGAAAGTAAAATACATGGAGGCTTATGATAAAGAGTTAAATAACTTATTCTCAATGAAGGTTTTTGGTCCTAAGATCAGGATTCCAAATTCGGATGTTTCTAGAGGAAAAATTTGTGCCCATTAACACCATTTTAAATGTCAAACGAGACGGGACTTATAAGTCTCGTATTGTTTGAAGGGGGCGTTATAATCTCCTAACAGTTGTGGAGATATAGAAACATATATTATGAAGATGGATTCCTTTAAGCTACTATTAACAATTACTACATATGTAGATGATTGTGTGACTGCAACCAGATCTGACAAAAATTGATTGCAGGATATTACTGCAAAATTGGAAAGGAGACTTAGCAAAATTATAGGCACCATGAAAAATGATATCTCAAATATGGACATCTTAGGAATGAATGTAAATTACAATTAGAGACAAGGACTAATGGAACTCGGTATATATTCGTATATTAATAAACCAAAAGAACAATATCCAGAAATAATAATAAAAGAAGACAAAAAGGACAAAGTACCATACAGATTTGAATATAGAATTGACCCTAGAAATGACACTCTAGATGTCACAAAAATGAATATACAAATAAAGTAAAATACTTTCAAGAAATAGCAGGCAAAGTAAATTATTTAAAAACAAGATGAGAATCTAGAAATTACGATTATTAGAGATACATCCTTGGTATCAGAATTTGATTCGAACTCAAGACTAGGTGGATTAGCTGGTATGGGAAATATTTCTTATATGAAATCTCAAAGAAATCCAGTCTGGTACATGAATCTTCGTCTGAGTCTGAATTAGATGCCATGAACACATGATAAATATTAGATCTCTTATTACAGTTAAAAATACAGAAATTGACGAGAAATAGAACTATAAAAACGAATCTAATTACTGACTTCAAAAACCGAAATTGATTGGTCACATCAAGATTACTATAGACTAAAAAACAAGTTTTTAAGTATACGACTTGAAAGACTGTAGAAAAGAGTTTTGGATAAGGATTGGAAAGTACTCAAAATTAAAGACAAGAATAATGTCGCCGATGTACTAACAAAACCTACCACAGTAAAAGAATTTGAAAATATTAAAGTCGGTTATGAACAACACTATGTCTCATAAGACACTACTTCCATTGACAGAGAATTGGTAAGTAGATTACTCTCAGGTCACTCAGATTACTAGAACTGCTGGTACTCTGCTCATGAAGTCAAGTTAAAATGTCTTTACGGGGGCATGCTGACATTGGGCATGTGACTTTTTCTTATAAAGCCATATTATCATGTCTCACGAGTGTCTGTCCGAACCGAAAACTCTTCAAGGTATCTTGAAGTATAAAAGAACATTATGTATAGTAATATAATAAATAACTATGTATCAGAATAAAGAAATGATCCAGTTATCTAGTAGAAAAGTGACCACAATGAGCCAAAATAATACTACAAACCAGTAGTACTATATTCCCATGTGTATATTTTATACTTTAATACACCGGATCAATATCATCTAATTAAAAATGTCCTTGCAAACAACTAAACAATCAACTACTATTAATGATTCTGTAAAGAATCCACAACCCTCTGATTCTCTACAGTTTGAACCAATAAGATCTCTTTAAGAAGGGCATGGAAAATTGCCTTTCGGGAATTCAATCTCTTTTTCAAATTTCTGGGTCCCAAAAATTAAAAGAGTTAGTAATAAAGTAAAATGACATAAATCGGTATTGTTTTTAAGGCAGAGTAAAGGATTTTACAATGGAAGATCTTCCTTTTTCTCTCATTTGGAGAATATATATGACCAGATTTCTTGAAATACTCAATAATGGGCATATGGCGTAGTTGGTAGCGCGCTTGCCTTGCAAGCAAGAGGTCACTGGTTCGATTCCTGTTATGTCCAATTATTATTTTTATATTTTTGAATTTAAATTCATTTAATAGATCAGAGAAGATAAAGGTAACATGGGAATAGTTAAATTAAACAATGGCTAATTTATTATGCCTCAATTGGCTGTATTATTTTTTATCTATTATGTACCAAATACTAATTGAAATACTACATGTTTGCATAAAAGACAACCTATGAATGATGTTCAAAATTATAGTTCCTAGAAAGGTGTTAGCATCAAAAATATCAATAGCACCAAAAAGATGGTATCATTTTGAATTGCTAAATTTGAAGATTGGTCATATCAAACAAGTGGAATTACATCCAGATTCTGATAAATTATACATATCTCAGGTAGAAGTAGGTAGTGATATTGATAAACCTTCTGTAAAACAGATATGTAGTGGTTTGCGTGAATACAAAAGTAAAAGCGATTTATTTGACCAAGCTGTTGTAGTACTGGACAATATAAAGAAATGTAAATTAAGAGGTGAAATAAGTGAAGCCATGCTTCTTTGTGGAGAAAATACTTCTAAAAATGTAGTTCAGCTATGTAAACCTGAAAAATTTAATGCGTCTTTTATAGGCAAGAATGTGGTCTTAGGTAATAAAATTCCAATTAGGCCGCCTACAGATAGAAAGATCAAACCAAAAGAGTGGGAAGACATTAGCTCTAGGTTATCAATTGGAGATAATAATGTTGTCACATATCGTGATGAGGAGACGAATGAAGTCAAACAGTTGTTCATCATTGGTGAAAATGATGAATTTATTCCCATAGTTGTTGATAGTTTACCGAAGGGTAGTGTTGTAAGATGAGACCATTTCCCTGACCATAGAATTCGACTTTATACAAAAGACAACAACAGCAAAATTTATTATCATGTATATAATTAACCTTTCCCATTTACAGACCTGTACTTTCCTATTTTATAGTTACTAACTATTTATTTATAGATTACTTTCATCTACCTACGAGCAAAAATTCAATTCATCTGCTTCTTGTTCTAATTTATTATGTTCAGCAGGATTTGGCGCAGCTTCATAAACTGCCATTAAAGGCACGGAATTATCAGGTTGTAATTTACCAGTTGGCTCGCCTCTAATTTCCAAATAATATAACCTTGAAAGTTCATCTTCATCACCAGACCAATTATCTTGTAAGAATAAAGTCAATGAACTACAGTTTTGAAAATTTATACGAGGGAAGTAATGCTCTACAAAAGTTGACTCATCTTCATTAATATCATCTGAACCGGCTTGAACCCCTACATTTTGAGGCTGTTCAATAGATAAATCAGGTTTTGCACTATTTAGAGTATCAAAATCTAAATTTTTTTTAAAATTGTTAAATATTTTAATTGTTTTTGGAGAATTGAGATTATTTGAACTATCATCAACATTTGTCCTTAAAATAATTGAAAACACCCTACAAGTTGCGGTAAAAGGTATATGTACAATAACTTGACAATCTGCATCACTTTGAGCATAACTAGAACAATTAAATCTATTATCTCTATCTTTTAAAAAGCCTTTATAAATTTCATTACAACCATTTCCTACAACATTGAAACAACGTATTTTCGTAGTATCAATGAATTGGTACAACGATTGACCAGGATTTGTTGGAATTGGTGCAGTATGATTATGACCATCATGATGCTCATCTTCACAATGATGATAGTTATGATTATGTGACATCTCCCTTATAAATCTAGTGCTAGTAGTTTAAAAATTTAAAGCGTATTATACTATACTCTTTTGCTCGCTTCCCTTTAAAACTTCAAAAATCTTGAATAGAGAAAAAAAAAGTTAAACCAATACAGAAACCCAGGAATTAATCAATCAACCAACCGTTCCCAAGTTACTGACCACCAATTTATATCACATCTATATGAACAAACCAGAAAGATAACTCTTCTTACAATCACCTCATCTCATCTCATCTCATCTCATCTCATCTCATCTCATCTCATCCTCACTGTAGTCTAATTAAAGGCTTCTCTGATTCAAATTTCAATTTCGAACCTTTGAAAAATTCCAGAATATTACCCGGACACTTCAAAATTTTCTTGAAGTATTCATTTCCAAAAAGTTCACTTGAAAAAATGACAAGAACAACATAAGCTACAATGGGATTTTAATATAAAAAGTGTATATTTCTACAATACATGTTGTTTCTTTCAAGGATTTGACAAACCAGTGTGTGCTAATTTCTATATATATATACCTCCATTATTGTCTTCTGCTCTATTATTTTTTTTTTTTTTTTTTTGCATTGCATATCGTGTAATATATAATATATATTGATTGTAATAAGTTCGACCATATAAAAGAATATGTCAGATCCACGTACTAGAAGGGGGCGTCATTTGTTGACTTCTGAGAAGCTATCGTCAGCCATTCAGGTTTCTAATATTCCTGTGGATTGGACTCAAGAAAATGTTACGTCTGTAATTGCAGGTTCAGGTCCCGTTGTAGATATAACTGCCAAATTAGATCCTCGTACTGGGAAATTAAGTGCAATTGTACTTGATTATAGAACTAGTAAAGATTGTAAACGTGCTTTTGAACTTCTAGGTAGAATTGAAAATTTCTCTTGTAGTATATCGAGAATAATACCTTCAAATTATGCTGATAGAAAAGATATTGAAAAAAAAAAAGATATTCAATTAGATAGAGAAAATTATCCATGGGATGCCGGATTAGAATTACCATTTGAGATGGTAACAGAAATACCGATTTCAAGAAGACCACAAGCACAATTGTCTACATCGACAAAAAATAATTTAAATGCAAATAATGTAACTATCCCTGATATATTGAGCAAAGCATCGCAACATCTGCCACAGCTAAAACCAGAAAGTTTAACAGTATCAGATCCAGTCTCTTTCAATTTGAGTAAGATACCACCTTTACAACTAATTGAAATCATTTCAAATTTGAAAATATTATCAAATCAAGATGGTAACAGGAGAGGTCAACTTGAAAATTTCCTGAAGACAAATCTGGATATATCAATCGCAGTTACTCAAGCATTATTAGAGATGGGTTTTATAAATTACAACGTAGTTACACAAGTAATGAGGAAGCACTTGCAAACTACTGGTGCTTCAAACTATAATAATAACTTCAATGACTTCAACAGTGGTATGCCTACAAATGGTAACATACCAATGATGGGTTCTACAATGCAGCCAATGACGATGCCATCAAATCAATATATACCTATAATGCAAGCCCAATCACAACCACAAATGTCACAGCCGTTGCCAATGCCGCAACAGCAACAGCAACAACAATCACAGCAACCACCACCACCACTACTACCACCACCACAACAACAATCAATACAACAGCAAGGACAACAAAATAATATGGCATACGGGTTTCCACCACCAATGCCATTTATGCCACCAATGCCAATGGTTCCACAAGGCCAACAGCCTATGATGAAAACAACACCTCCACCAGTATCAATGAATCCAATGCCAGTATCATCAACATCGTCTTCATCAGCACCAGCAGCAGGTCCTCCATTACCAACACCTACCACAGGTGGAACCATCAATTACGCTAAATTGAATACACTGCCACAAGAACAACAAGTTATGATTAAACAAGTGCTAGCACTGACTCCTGATCAATTGCAATCATTACCAGAGGACCAAAAATCGATGGTCAACAATTTAAGAAAAGAATATTTCCTATAGAAAATAAATCATATCATTACCATGCATATCAATTTCTATGTACATACCAACCAATCCATTGGTATCTGAAATTATGTCTTGTATATATGCACATACATAGATATATATTACCAAATCACGTTAAGGAAAATAGCAATAAATGTACATACCAATTTGAAACTAAGTTTTGTATATAAGAACCCTTCTCTTATCTAGATACCCATGGATAACTGGATAGCTAGCTAGCTAGCTAGATAGATAGATCAAGCCAAGCTCTCACGATCTAACTAATATTGTAGTCGGTAACAACAGAGAATGAACAAGTATTTCAAGAGCCCCTCAAATACGTCCAATTAAAACAAATAAAATTGTGTCAAATTATATAGGAACTCTCTTATTCTTTGTAACAACTCGACTTGATATTGCAATTATTGATGTCGAAATTGTTGCTGATATTGACGATGGATACTTAAATCGTAACGATCTTGTATATTTTTATTTCCTAATTGCGTATTATATCAATTTTTCACTGTTTGATATTTTCACATGGTTAATAAACATGTCTATAAATCCAAGAAAAGCATAATGACAAACCTCACATATTTTGAGGATTTGGTTCGAATGCATAAGATCCAACAATTGGAAAAAAACATTATTGATATATAAATGACAGTAATATATAAATATATAGATATATCTAAATAACTAACTTGATTGAATCATTTTTCATTCTACTCTTTCCATATCGCAGGTTTGTTTTTAATGGTGTCTTACGAATCAGAGTAAGATTTTATTCGGAGTTCTGACTACTATTTAAAATACATATTATATAATATAAAAGACTCAATTAGAATAGAACCTTAATTTTTATTTAGACATCAGGATTAAGGTCAACTTTTTAAGGAAAGAGAAGAGGTATATTGTAGTAAACTAAATAAAGGATTCTTGATGAGTGTTAATTATAGTGAAACTATTTGTAGTTTTCAAGACACGGCCATTAATAATATTGGTACTGGCAAGAAATATCAAACTATGGCACATACCCGTTCTTCAAATATAAGATTTGTACCAGCTGTCACTCATGATATGGTACGTTCTTTATTCGATCCAACTATAAAGAAATCATTTTTAGAATGTTGCATCACTTTGAGTATATTTGCTAATTTTGGATTATGTTATTTATTCAATTTAAAGTTTGGTCAAAGTTTGACAAAAGTATTTTATTTATTTCAATACATTTTATGGAGACTTTCTTATAATTTAGGTATTGGTATTTTATTGCATTATCAATCAAAAAATGAATCATTGACTAGTTTTGCAAAATTGAATAAATTGTTTGATAAAAAATCAACTTCAAAATTAGCTAAATTCTGTCAATTCGAGATTTCAACAAAGATGGCAAATGATTATAATATGCATAATTATCCTGAGGAATTCAACATTTGGTTGTTATTCCGACAATTCGTTGATTTAATCTTGATGCAGGATTTTACTACTTATATTCTATTCGTATATTGCTCTTTACCTTCAGAAGGTATAGATTTTAAAAATTGGCGAATACTAGTTGGTACTTCCATGATTTTATTCAATATCTGGGTTAAGGTTGATGCTCATAGAGTGGTCAAAGATTATGCTTGGTATTGGGGAGATTTCTTCTTTTTACAAGACTCAGAATTAACCTTTGATGGTGTCTTTAATATTTCCCCTCATCCAATGTATTCTATTGGATATTTAGGTTATTATGGGATTTCATTAATTTGTGGAGATTATAAAGTTTTATTAATTTCTATATGGGGCCATATATTACAATTCTTATTCTTAAAATACGTTGAAAACCCTCATATTGAAGAAATATATGGCAGTGAGTCAGATACAAACCAGCTATCTAACAGTTATATCGATGACTTGATAGTTAAAGAAAACTATGATTATTCAAGACCTTTGATAAGTACTGGATTAAGATGGAAGCATTATGATCTATTAAGATTTTCTGACCACTTTACAATTTTGTCTATCTTAGCTGTTGTATTGATTGCAATTAAGACAAAACCTACAGAAAAGGCTTTATTTATTATCACAATTACCGCCAAGATATTTTCTGCTTCTTTCACTTCTTACATCCTGTTCAAACAGTCAAAGGATAAATGGTTTACAAAAATATTCTTAAAAAATGGATATACTCAGATTTACTGTTACCAGCAATGGCAATTCATTTATAATTATAGTTTTGTATTACCAACTACTCTGTTAATTTTACAAACAACCTCCAAAATTTATAATCTATACCCAAACATTGAATATACCCAAATTATATTTGGAGGAATTTTATGCGCCATTCAAATGTGGTGTAACTCAGAAATTAGAGCTGCAATCTCTGACTTCGGCTGGTTTTACGGAGATTTCTTCTTAATTAATTACATATCCGAAAGAAGACTGACGTCACAGGGAATCTATAGATATTTGAATAATCCTGAGGCAATATTAGGTACCGCAGGAATATGGGGAACCGCTTTGATGACAAATTTCTGTTATGAAAATATCATATTAGCAATCATTTGGACATCTACAAATTTTATATTTGTGAAATTCATAGAGAAACCACATGTTTCTAAAATCTATGGAAATGAAACAAGAATTAGCGGCGTTGGAAAAACATTACAAGGATTAAAGCCTTTGCGAATGATATATGATATCTTTGATGATATCGGTTCCCTATTTCTTCGCAATTTAATCGCTAGTAACAAACATGCATTGAACCATTCTGCAGCTTCTCCTTTACATCTCGAATTTTCTATCCAAGAAGCATTAGAGAATGCCAATGCAAAACTTGCCCCAAACTGTAAGTTCAATCTAGAACCAAAGCCAAATGATGAGTACGTTTTACCAGAGTCTATAAAAATTAGTTGGCAGTTACCAATTGAACTATATAATAATAGAGATTGGATCGGTTTATATAACGTACTTGATACCAGAACAAATAGATACAGGACAAAAGTCTCATCGTCTGGCCATTGGTGCGGGACATCTAGAGAGGGATATAAATCGGATAAACAAAACACAATGGCTATAAAGGAATTTCACAAGAACTCAAAAGTAGTTAAAGGTGTTGTTGTTTTTGACTACAATTTGTTAATATTTGAGCCCGGTATTTATGAGGTCAGATATCACAGTAACGGTGGACACAACGTTATTATGAGTTCTCAACCATTTCAAATAAAGTTTCCAAAATTCGAAATAACTGATCAAGAAATATTACATAGCAATTTAGTTAATTTTTTGACGAAAGTTAACTCAATTAATGATGGAAAATTTGTTGAAAATGGTTCGAAATATTTCAATACAAGAACTTTCTCTTGTTTATTAAAGAAATCCACAGGTATTGATATATCAATCGAATTTATTAAAAAGGTTAGCGGTGATCTGAAAATTATTTCTCACAGATTATGTGAAATCAAAAAAATATTAGATAGCTTAGATTGACATAATCTAGAAGTTTCAAAACTTGCCCTCTAAGATATAATTTTAAAAAGAGGTATATATAGTAGCATATCCTGTTTATCTTTTATCTTCAATTCTACATGCACATATGCTCAAGTATTATCTCATGTTTTCAAGGAATGAACTCAATATGTAATCTTTATTATTCATTATTCTAATAGTTAAGAAATAAAATTCATTAAAATGGGTATACTCTATACAAAATATAATACGAACGATAAAATAATAAACGTAAAGTTGGAACTTAATATAGAACCACCACCAGTATATTCTGACATGGTGTAACTACTAGAGGAAAAATGATTAATATCCGAGGTTACTGATTCAGTACCGATTGAAGTTCTTGATACAACATCACTTGGAGCTGACAATGAAGTGGTACTTAAATCACTATTTGAAGTAACCGATATATGGTTCTCTTCCGTTGGATTTGTAAATGTAACTGATGGTACAAGTTTAGAACTTATAACTTCTGTAGTTATTGTCAATATTTCTTGAGAATAAGTTAGTGTTGATTCTGTAATTGTAATTTCTTGAGTTTTAATGGTATAACCTGTCACCGTCTTAGATTTCCCACTAATAATGTCAGAATTTGTTTTGGTAATCACATATGTATATTCACTTTGGATCGGTATTTGAGTAGTTGATAAAAATGTAGTTGTAGTTGTTTCAAGAGATAATGTTGAAAGCAATAACGATCTTGTCGAAGTTTCTATATCTATGGAAATACTTCCTTCACCAACAGATGTTTTAGTTTCTGAGGTGGTAATCACAACCTCAGACCCTTCAATTACAGTTACAGTTTCAGATTTAGTAATAGGAATACTTGTTGTATAAGTACTCTTTTGAGATGGGACTAAAGTGGTAATTGGAGATGTAATCACAGTAGTTACGGTGATGTTATCTGTTGTAATATAAATAATAGAAGGTGTTAATGTTGTAGTAACAACTTCTGTAATAGTTGAATTTCCAATAATACATGATAAATCATTAGTTTTGTTGTCAACAATTGTAGAAGTTTTAGTAATATTTGTCATGTCAGTAATATCCTCTGTGATAATTTCATTAATAGTGTGTGTCACATTTATGATGTTAGTATAGTTTAAAGTTTCTGTCACATCAATAATATGGAGAGTATCAATGATGGATGTGTAATTATATATACCGGTAGTAGTCAAAATGTTGCTTATTTCTACAGTATTAGTAACGACTTCATATTCAGTAGTGTCAAATACGTCAGTTTTGTTATAGGTATGTGTTACATTATGAGTATTTGTAAAGGCAACTGTATTGGTAACATCAATGGTGAAAAATTCATTTTTAGTCTCTGTTGTGTGAAGTGTTTCTGTTATCAATCGTGTTTCTGTAGTATCAATAGTTCTTGTTACATTCTGTGTTGCATTTAAAGTCATAAACTTAGTAAATTCAACGGTATCTGTGATTTCAGTAGTTTCTGCTACTTCTATAGTTGCAGTAGTTGCAGTTGTTAATGTTGTATCCAATGTATGTGTTTCTTCAATTGTTTCAGTTAATGGAATAACATTGGTGATGTTAACAGTATATGTTTCGCCCTGTACTTCAGTAACATCAAATGTTTTTGTTTCCTCTATTATATTTGTTATATTTACAGTATTGGTAATGACCAAAGAAGTAGTTGATTTAATTGTATTGAAAAGATCAACGTATGCAAACTCTTCAATAATACTCAAAACATTATGTGTACTTGTCAAAGAACTTGTAGAAGTTGTTGGAATAGTATTTGTTATCTCTACGGTAGTTTGAACCTCATGTGTATGTGTGACATCTACAATGTTGGTGGTCAATAATGTGCTAGTTAGGTTTACCAGATGTATTTGGTCAATAATTGATGTCAATTCCATTGTTTCTGTCACTTCATGGGTCTCAGTGACATCTTTTACTTCTGTTTTATTAAATGTATATGTAACATCAATAGTATTTGTAACCTGAATGGTATCTGAAGTATTAATTGTTTTAGTAACTTCGTTGGTCTTGGTAATGTTATAGGTATTAGTTAATTCATGAGTTTCTGTAATATCAGTAGTCTTAGAAACATCAATGGTTTGAGTGACATTGTAAGTAGACGTGACATCGACAGTATGCGTAGAATCAATGGTCTCAGTTTTTTCATACACTCTAGTAGTGTTGATAGTATTGGTAGTTAGAATGCTATGGGTAGAATCAATTGTATGTGTTAAATCAATTTCTTCTGTAGTTAAGATAGTTGAAGTTGCAGTTATAGTACTTTTAATGCTATCAGTCTTCGTAATTTCAACAGTCTCAGTAACAATCTCAGTTACAGATACGTTGGTAGTTACTTCAACTACATCTGTAATAGGTTTTCCGATACTATTAGTTTTAGTGATAGTATTAATCTGTTGAGTTGTTAGTGTTTTAGTTATATCAATCGTTTCTGTTGATTTAATGGTTTCGGTTACATTTACGGTCAAGGAAGTATTGGCAGTTGAAGTCACAATAACAGTACTTGTCTCCTTAATGGTGTTTGTAACGTTAACTGTTCCAATTTCACTATGAGTTATAGTGGTAGCAACTGTTTCATAGGCAGTAGAAACGTGTATACTTGTAGTAACCGAAGTGGATGGGAGTATAGATGTGCTCGTAACAACAGTTGTACCAGTGACTGTGTTGAAAATTGTTGATATAACATCTTTAGTGCTTAAAACATTAGAAGTAACTAGCTGAGTGTCAGTGACTGTTTTTGTAATCTGTTGGGTGGAAGTTACAACAGAAGAGCCTATTTCTGTTACCGTTTCAGTGATAGCATGTGTTGAAGTGACAATGTTAGTTTGTTGATGCGTCACTGTTTCTGTTTCCTGAACAGTTTCAGTTACGACATTACTAACTTCAATAGTATTTGTAATCGTGGCATATACAGGTTGGGTAGAAGCAACCAAAGATGTAGTATGTTCTGTAACTGTGACAATGGTACTGACTTCTAAGGTTTCCGTTGTAGTTTGTACCAATTGTTGTGTTGAATATAATGTAGCCGTGAGGTAACTGGTTTCAGTAACTACAATAGAAACCTGTTGGGTATTAGTTACATCAACATTATTAGTTACGTCAACAGTATTAGTAACGTCAATGCTATTTGTTACTGTTGCAGTACTATATTGGGTGTTTGTAATAGTTACATATGCAGTACATCCTGCATTAGTAGTTACGGGAGTATTGGAATTACATATCCCAGATGTAGTCACTATAGTTCTACGAAGCGTCGTCGTTGGTATCTCCGCACTTACCACAATCGATTTAAGTAACAGGAACCATAGAAAAAATACCAGATTTTTCAACATTTCGTTATATTATGTATATTGAATAGATATTATCTCTAGATTCAGTTTCTTTTTTAACCTTGAGTGTGTGACGATTATTGTATGTTCTGATTTTGAATATAATATTAATTGAATATAATATTAATTGAATATAACGACATAAAATGAGATAGCTCTAAAATTTCAAACTATAAAATTATAATTATTTAACCGTCTTTATATATTAAAATCTCAAAAGTAATCTTTTAATTCGTCCTCATTCTAGAAGATAGTTACATCTTGTCTTGAAATGGAAATAATTACGTTTTAGCTAAGCGTTTGTTCGATCAGCTCTTTCTCAATCCAGTAAATCAAATTGAATCCCAAACCCACATACATAGCACTTCTTGATTTACTAAATTATAAAACCTATTGATACCCACCCGGATCATTCCATTGAACAATAACCGCTGACCACTGACACTGAATCACAGCCTTTTGCAAATATAATCAGATCCGAAAAAAAAAAGAATCAAAACTTGACTAGAAACAAAAAAGAAAGAAAGCTAGATTCTGAAACATTCAATGGTTCTTGTTATAACAACCAAAAGCAGCTTAATGATCCAAGACAGAGCTGACATCATTGTCTCTTTGTCGGTTAATATTGGAAGTTTTGCCGCTTTTTATGGACAAATTTTCAATTCTTTGTTTTAAATAAGTTCTACGGAATGTTCTTAAAGAGCTGCGCTAGATTCTGAGTAAAAGTGATTAACAGTTTTAAGTTGTGTAATTACCGAATCGGGTAATTACATGAAGTACATCAACATGTGTTGATTTGCTACAACAACGAGATTTGGCATTTTGGGACATTGAAATGTTAGAAGTTCAGAAACAAAGGAAGGTACATTATTATTTATCGATTACTAGTTCTCCCCTCGGGGGAGGTATTATAGTTTTTTAGTATAGTTACATGACATTTTACTCAAGATGTATGTACTTGCCAGTTTCTTTAAGTTTCAGAAGTTTTTTCTTTACATTCTATCGCCAAAGAAATAGTTGAAGCAAAAGCAAATAACAGACTTAAAAGAATTGTAAATGCTGTTGGAATCAAAATGAGTAACATATTGGATATTTGTCACAGGTTTGCACATTACTGAGTATATTTGAAAAGTTTTCTGTTTAATTTGTTTTATCCTATTAGCTTTGATAAAAATGTGGTCAAATTCTCTCTAATTCACAGATTTATTATACTCTAAATTTCTCTACAATGCATATAGAGTAGAAACTTAGTACCATTCTTTGGAGGAGGAACGGAATAAGCGGGTCGGTTAATACCGCTGGTATCTATTCTTCAATATATTTCAGATAGAAATCCTGCTGTTGTGTCTATCAATTTTCTTCTTGACAATGCCAATAGGTTTGAGCTTTATTGAGGTATTGGATATTATTAAAAAGTGGATGTTATTACAATCGTGTTTGTTCTAACAGTATCTTACAATTTGATAAGATATTTCCATTTACAAAATTTTAATATTTTAATTAGATTAAACTCAGTTGATACTCAAGCCGGAGAAAATACCCCTAGAGAGAGAGATTTTTTTCTTCTATTTCTTGTGATTAAATGTGTGGTATCATTTATTATACAATAATCGTAGCATTTCAGATCAAAATGACCTTTTTTATTACAAGTTTTCAAGCTTCTTATTTAAAAATAAAAAATTTTAGTCTTTTAAGTTTTGGTATCTCGTAGAACCTGAAACATTATAAATTTGAAATTTATAGCTTCATAATAGACCACTTATCATTACGATAAAAACTAATAGTATAGCATAGATGTTCATTCATCGAATGAATAAAGACACATGCCCCCTAATAGTAATTCGTAATTGATTTTTATCTTTATTTTCTTCTTTTGATCTACATGCACCATTCAAAGTGTAATCAATGATGTTCACATAAAATTCATTCTTCAAAAGTATGTCTCATTGAGCTCGGTTCATGTCAATTTTTTACCAAATTAGGTAAACATCATAACATGAAACTGAATCAACAAGTTAGAAAAGTACCTCTGATTTTAAGCGGATTGTTAACCTAATAATAAATCAATTCCTTCCATTATAGTATATCTTAAACACTTCTAAACTTTATCGATGACCATTCTTCTTAAAGGGCTCAATTTCACTTTTGAATGATATGATCCAAAATACGTACATAATGATCGTTTCTACAATTTAGTTTGGAAAATTGAAGGGTGGCAAAATAAAAAGATTAAAATTTGAAATTAACCAATAATTTAAACATCGATGATGGTTACTATTATTGATAAATAAAGGTTTAAGTCAACAATTCAGAAAGGGATAATATCTCTGTAAGAAAGTGTTTTAAGGTTTCCAGTGTTGTGATTTTTTTCCCTTTGGTTTTTCGATTGGATTAAGAAATTTGGAGATTTAAAGGATTTTAAGTTGAATTTTTAGACAAAACTGTAAATCTGTTAATTGGAAGAAATTATGTCAAGTGTAGCAACTGCTTCGGTAAATGCTCATGAAGGTGGTATTAAACCATACTTTGAACAAAAAATACAAGAAACTGAATTGAAAATTCATGAAAAGACTGAGAATTTACGCCGTTTAGAAGCTCAAAGAAATGCTTTAAATGATAAGGTTCGTTTTATTAAAGATGAACTACGATTATTACAAGAGCCTGGTTCATACGTCGGTGAAGTGATAAAAGTAGTATCTGATAAGAGAGTTTTAGTCAAGGTTCAACCGGAAGGTAAATACATTGTGGATGTTGCAAAAGATATTAATGTTAAGGATTTAAAACCATCACAAAGGGTATGTTTAAAGAGTGATACTTATATGTTACATAAAGTTTTGGAAAACAAAGCAGACCCGTTAGTTTCATTGATGATGGTTGAAAAAGTACCAGATTCTACTTACGATATGGTTGGTGGTTTAACAAAACAAATTAAAGAGATTAAAGAAGTTATAGAATTGCCTGTCAAGCATCCAGAATTGTTCGAAAGTTTAGGTATTGCACAACCAAAGGGTGTTATCTTATATGGTCCACCAGGTACAGGTAAGACCCTTCTAGCAAGAGCTGTTGCGCACCATACCGATTGTAAATTTATTAGAGTTAGTGGTGCTGAACTAGTCCAAAAATATATCGGTGAAGGTTCCAGAATGGTGCGTGAATTGTTCGTAATGGCAAGAGAACATGCGCCATCCATTATATTCATGGATGAAATCGATTCTATAGGTTCTAGTCGTGTTGAAGGAGGATCCGGTGGTGGTGATTCAGAAGTCCAAAGAACCATGTTAGAACTATTAAATCAACTGGACGGTTTTGAGACGTCAAAGAACATTAAAATTATTATGGCAACAAACAGATTAGACATTTTAGACCCTGCTTTATTAAGACCAGGTAGAATAGACAGAAAAATTGAATTCCCACCACCAACCGTAGCAGCAAGAACAGAAATTCTAAGAATTCACTCCAGAAAGATGAATCTAACCCGTGGTATTAATTTAAGGAAGGTAGCAGAAAAAATGAACGGCTGTTCAGGTGCAGATGTAAAAGGTGTTTGTACTGAAGCCGGTATGTATGCATTAAGAGAAAGAAGAATACACGTCACACAAGAAGATTTCGAATTGGCGGTAAGCAAAGTAATGAACAAGGGTAGCGAGACTGCTATTTCAGTGGCAAAGCTGTTCAAATAGGTTGTCATCACATATATATTTTACATACAGTCCCCACATTACATACATAAAATAAACTTGTCATTAATCAGTTTACAATTAATCAGGGCCTCCCCTGGCAAGCTGAACCATGGGTAAGATATGATACTGTGATAATGCTAAGAAGTATCTTGTACTAGCGAAGTATCCAAGTTTGGGATCAGCTGAGTTCAGCGTTTACGGTTTGACTTGGTTTGACTTGGTTTGGGTTGGCTCCCCCCCATCAGTTGTGAATCTATATGTTCTTCGTCTACAACGACTCAAACCGTCCATTTTGTAAATTCAAAATGACTATCGTCTTATTCTACGGCTGTTTCTTTGTGTTTTATTAGGAAACATTCACTAGTAAAACGTAAAATATGAAATTTTGTTTAAAGGCTCTTTCTCTCTCTGTTCTGAGCTTAAAGTTAACAAAGAATGCGAAATGAATGAAGGATAATCAGAGTTTAAAACTTGTTAAACTCAATTAGAACTTCTTATTTTACGTTTTATAAGGTTAGATATACGTTTAGAGTTCAAGTATTGAATTTAATATTAATATATACTATTTATAAGGTTTAACTTTTGTTGGGGAGGTTCCTTTATCCAAAGAAATAAATCGTTATTAGTAACATTAAATATATATATATATATATATATATATATTTTAGGAATTTTGTTACAATACGTATTTAATATATATATTTTATTTTTTTTGAAAATTGGATTGTGTGTTATATATTGAGTTCAACAACAATTCAAAGGGTACCTATCACCAATAATATACATTTTATTAATATTAATACTAATATTAATTTTTTTTTCTATATTTTTGGTTCGAAATAGATATATATATATACTTCATATTTTGATAGAGTTGATTGTATTTTTGATTTTGGAAGAATCCGTCTGATGTCTGCAGAAAAGAAACCACACACTTTACAGCCGCAAGAGAGGCAACAGTCAATTGATGAGCAAAATGGATATTCTCATGCAAATAATTATCATGTAAATCACAATAAATATCAGCAAAGACAGAACTACAACAAGCAAAATTACCATCGAAATGTTAGGTATAATAATAACGGAAATAATAACAACAATAATAACAATGGTAATGGTAAATACAATAATTACAACCAAAACTCACAATATGGCAGGTACAATAATGGTTTAATGAATAGAGGCTATAATAATGGTTATAAGAATCATAGGGGTGGCATGCAACCTATTGTTCATATGCAATGGCCAGGTTATGCAATGGCTCAACCAATGTATTATATGCCACAAGAAATGAATATTCAACATTCTCCTGCTGCTATTGATTTGCCTTCAACTACTTCTTCCACCACCTCTTCATCAAAGTCAGGGAATTATAGCCCTGCTGGTAAAAGAATTGAAATCACAACAAAAAATGGAGAGCAATTGGATTTAAAGGCAATCCATACTAAATATCTAGCAGACTCTAACCAAGAACAATCATCAAAGGAAAATACTCCAGGTGAAGAGGAACCGAAAAGTGACGAACAACCTGAGTCAGAGGAAAATTCTGAAGAATCTCTATCTGAAGCTGAAAAGACACGAAAACTGTTCTTGGAACAGATTAAACTTCGTAAAGCTGCTCTTGAGAAAAAGAAAAATGAATCTGACCTACAAAGTGATACTAATGAAGAAATTAGTACAAACGTAGAAGTTCCAGAGGATGAAAACTCTAATGATACTATTCCCCCAGTAGAACATGAAACCCAATACTTGAAAGATAATGAGAAAGAGGTTAATGATAATGAAAAAGCAACCCAAGAAAATCCTTTAGATAATGCAAACGAAGTTAATAAGGAACTGGATTCTACTGATGTTGAAACAAAGGATGATAAAAGTAATGATTGTAGTACCGATGTTCATGATAATAACTCAATGACTGTAAGTAACTTATTAGAAATATTGCAAAGGGCTAAGCCAATTGAAGATATTTATTCATTCGAGTATCCAAAAGGGTTTGAAAAACCAGATTCAAAGTATTCAAGGTCTAATATTAAATATACCTATGGTCCAACCTTTTTATTACAATTTAAAGATAAAATTAAGGTTAAGCCAGATACTAAATGGATAGATGAAGCACTATCGAAAATTGTAATTCCACCTGGTATGACTAGAATTGATAGAGTGAGAGATGGAAAATTTGGTATGGGCAGTCGTCTAAGCAGTAATCGTGATTTCAGTAAGACAGGTTCTATGAGAAACATGGATGGAAGATCGAATTCAAGAAATAACTCAAAGAGGAAGTCTAAAAGAGGTGGTATGGAAGACAGAAGGTCTACAAGGGCCTACACATCCAGAAAAGAGAGGGAAAGAATGGCAGAAGGTAGATTAGAAGAAGAAAAATTCACAGAGGGAAAGAAGGAAGAAGTAGCACCGCTAGTCCCAAGCGCAAATAGATGGGTTCCTAAATCAAGAATGAAGAAGACGGAAAAGAAACTAGCTCCAGATGGTGTAACAGAATTAATTGATGAAGAAGAAGCCAAAAGAAAGATGAAATCATTGTTGAATAAGTTAACTTTAGAAAAGTTCGATACAATTTCTAGTGAAGTATTAGCCCTAGCGAATCAATCTAAGTGGGAGTCAAATGGTGAAACATTGATAATCGTTATCGAAGAATTATTCCATAAAGCATGCGACGAACCTCATTGGACAGTAATGTATGCCCAATTGTGCGGTAAGATAGTTAAGGAATTAGATCCAGAAATCAAAGACGAAAATAATCCAACTAAGACTGGTCCAAAATTGGTATTACACTATTTAGTTGCTAGATGTCATACAGAATTTGAGAAGGGATGGTCTGATAAACTACCGACAAACCCAGATGGTTCTCCATTAGAAATTGAAATGATGTCTGAAGAATATTACCAAGCGGCTGCCGCCAAGAGAAGAGGTTTGGGTTTAGTCCGTTTTATTGGTTTCTTGTATAGATTGAACTTATTGACAGGTAAGATGATGTTTGAATGTTTCCGTAGGTTAATGAAGGATTTGAATGATAACCCAACAGAAGAGACATTAGAATCTGTTATTGAACTGTTGAGTACTGTAGGTGAACAATTTGAGACTGATAGTTTCAGCGCAGGCCAAGCAACGTTAGAAGGCTCTGCGTTATTAGACAGTTTATTTGGTATTATCCAAAAAATTATCGATAGCGGTAAGATATCTAGTAGAATTAAATTTAAACTGATTGATTTGAAGGAATTGAGGGAAGACAAGAATTGGACTGGCGTCAAGAAAGATGAAGGACCAAAGACTATCTCTCAAATTCATGAGGAAGACGAAAGACAACGTAAATTAAAAGAATTGAAAAACAGTTCTAGAGGAGGATCAAGAAGAATGAATAGTAACTTCCATAGTAATAATAATAGTCATAATAATAGCGGAGTAGGTGGTGGCAGGATGTTATCCAGAAGAGAACAACCTGCGGTCTCCAAGGATAATTTTATCACCACTCGATCCACATCATCTAGAATGAACCAAAAGGTTTCTTATAAAGAAGAAACTGTCCCAGAACCACAGCCTACTGTGGTATCAAACATGTTTAATGCATTAATGAACCACGATGATGATGACGATTAATAAATTAGATTATAAATTGCGTATATATGTTCCCCCCCACACCACCACTTTCAAACCAAAAATATAAAAAAATAAATATAAAGTCTTTTTAAAACTACCCTGAATTCCATTTCTTGTGTTATAGTAGTTGTAACAAGCTTTGCTAGATTTATCAATTCTGCTTTGACACTAGCGATTGGATAGAGTATAAGTTGTATATAATAGTAATCCTTGAAAGATATATATGTTCTGGTGGTACCTTTTCATTACCCGTTCGAACCCTGCAAGATGCGTTCCAGCTGTATTCATTTTCCAATTTGTGAGAGGGTAACGAATTGATAACTATTTCCTTATTATCACGTGAGCATATTTACCTTGACATCCAACACAGAAACACACAAAATATTCCCTCAGGAAATTCTCTGTCAGCGTATTTTCACCCCCTTCTCCTCTCCCCCACCCCACCCCACCCCACCAAACGCCACAGTTTAAGAGAAACAGACCTACACACAGACCAAGAATTACACTAAAGATAGCACAAGATCACGCGATTTAAATTCAAGAAGCGGAAAAAAACAACACTTCCTGAAAACTCCTATTTCCGAGAGTTTTCTCCAAAACAACAGTCGTACAAACACCAACGGAATAACGTGACTCCACAGTTTTCTTCCCTTTCTTTTCCTCTCAAGAAACACAGAATTTAAAAAACAAAAACTAACGGTGTCATATCACGTTGTCCGCTCCCCATCTATAACAATGACTCCCCTAATTTGTGTTTGTTTTCGGAAGACAAATCAAACTTCACCAAATTTTAGAGGTCCAAAGAAATCGGAATAGTTTTGACCTTTTTGACCTTTTTGATTAATTGTTTTAGTTTTAGTTTTAGTTTCAATCTAATCTTATCTAGCCAGTCTAATCACAATCACAATCACAATCACAATCACATTCGGCAACCTCAATTTCTGTCAGTTCATTCATTCATTACTATTCAATTCTATTCCATTCCATTCAATTCAACAATATCCACTAGCCTCTCTAAATCTTGCAACCTTCTAAGTCAGTTAGAACACAAACAATAGATCATGTCACATTTTATGGGATTCCACTAACTAAATTTATCATAATCCAACCTTAAACTGTGTGCTCATATGCAAGAAGCATTGATTGTTACAATTATTCTTGTTGTGTTTTCATGTTTCTTTGACTCATAAGATAATTACGATGATGATTATGATTCTAATTACAGCTTTTAACACTTGCGACAATAACCACAGCTCTTGGGCTCTCTAGCAGAGGTTTGTAGATTGATCGATAAGACTCTTACTTGTTGCTATCACCATATAGTTTTCTTGGAAAAACTGGGAATTAGAAATTTTCAGTGAAAATAAAAAAAAAGAATCTAGCAGGAAAAATAGCCAATTATCATTTCTTGCCCCTGTATATAAACTCACCTTCCATCTCATGATCAGATCTTTGAAAAAAAATGTACTTCCTTAATGAATTTCATTTTTCTTTGCTTTCTAATTCTAAACTACAATAATATTAATTCAAGCAAGGAAATCAACATTGATTGATTGAAAAATACAAGAATATAAAAGAGGCTCAATCACTGAACTTCACCATTTATAGACTACTTCTTTTGCTTAAACAAAAAACTAAATTACTCATTTCATTATTCTTTAAACTAAAATGCCTTCTCATTTCGATACTATCCAATTACATGCAGGTCAAGAAGACGCAAGCACCAATGCTAATAATCCAAATGCTGTTCCAATTTATGCTACAACATCATATGTATTCAATGATTCCAAGCACGGTGCTCAATTGTTTGGTTTAGAGACTCCTGGTTACATTTATTCCCGTATTATGAATCCAACTGTTGATGTCTTTGAAAAAAGAATCGCTGCTTTAGAAGGTGGTATCGCTGCTTTAGCTGTATCTTCTGGTCAAGCTGCTCAAACTTTGGCCATTACTGGTTTAGCTCATGCTGGTGATAATATCGTTTCAACAAGTTACTTATATGGTGGTACTTATAACCAGTTTAAAGTCGCATTTAAAAGATTAGGTATTAATGTAAAATTTGTTGAAGGTGACGATCCAAAAGATTTTGAGAAATTGTTTGATGAAAAGACAAAAGCTGTTTATTTGGAAACCATAGGTAATCCAAAATATAATGTTCCAGATTTTGAAAAAATTACTGAAGTTGCTCATAAGCATGGTATCCCTGTCGTAGTCGACAACACTTTCGGTGCCGGTGGTTATTTCTGTCAACCAATTAAGTACGGTTGTGACATTGTAACACACTCTGCTACAAAATGGATTGGTGGCCATGGTACCACTGTTGCTGGTGCAATTATTGATTCTGGTAAATTCCCATGGAAGGATTATCCTGAAAGATTCCCACAATTCTCAAAACCTTCTGAAGGTTATCATGGTTTAGTATTTAATGATGCCTTTGGTCCAGCTGCTTTCATTGGCCATGTTAGAACTGAATTGCTAAGAGATTTAGGACCATGTTTGGATGCATTCTCTGCTTTCTTATTGCTACAAGGTGTTGAAACATTATCTCTAAGAGGTGAAAGACATGGTGAGAATACTTTAAAGTTAGCTAAATGGTTGGAAAAGTCTCCTTATGTTTCCTGGGTCTCTTACCCTGGTTTACCTTCTCATTCTCATCATGAAAATGCAAAGAAATATTTGTCTAATGGTTTCGGTGGTGTTTTATCATTCGGTGTCAAGGATCTACCAAATGCCAGCGATGAAAAGGATCCATTCAAGGCTTCTGGTGCTCAAGTTGTCGATAATTTGAAATTAGCTTTAAATTTGGCTAATGTTGGTGATTCTAAGACTTTAGTTATTGCTCCATACTTCACAACCCATCAACAGTTGAATGAAGAAGAAAAATTAGCCTCTGGTGTCACTAAAGACTTAATTCGTGTCTCAGTTGGTACTGAATACATTGATGATATAATTGCAGACTTCCAACAATCCTTTGAAAAAGTCTTTGCAGGTCAAAAACCATGATAAAATAACTTGAATATATGAATGTAATTTTTATGAAATAGTTAGTATCTACTTAACTGAAATGAAAGTGTTAAATAGTTGTGCTTTATTTTTATATGTATTATTATTATTACCATTGTTATCTTGTAAATTTTTGATAAATTGGTATTCCAATTAACTAATGACTGTCTTTATAAAATTATATAATTATTATACATATATATACGTATGATCACTATTAACTTGCAATTCCTAATTATTGGAATTAATCATTTTTGGTATTATTTGTTGGTAGTGCTTTATTTAAGTAACCACCTTTTTCACATAAGTTGTAAAAAATACTATTCTTATTTTCTAACAGGGTGTCAGGAGAATCGAATTCCCTGACTTCACCCTTGTCAAGAACTAAAATCTTGTCATATCCCAGAACTGTGTCGATCCTATGAGCAATAGTTAAAATGGTTCTATCAGAAAACTCATTTCTAATGGTTTCTTGAATAATCTTATCTGTTTCCATATCAACAGAGGCGGTTGCTTCATCTAATACCAAAATCTTAGAATGATTTAATAATGCTCTTGACAAACATAACAACTGTCTTTGACCAACAGATAAATTAGAACCATTTTCATTAATTTTAATTTCAAGTAGGTTATTATCTTTGGCTGAAACATTGGTTTCTTCAGATTCAGAATTATCATCCCTATTAGAAATAATTCTTTCCAAATGTGGCTTTAAGTGAGATGCTTCAATTGCCTTCCAAAGCTCTTCGTCTGAATGTTGATCAAACGGATCCAGATTAGTTCTAATAGTTCCTTCAAATGCTTGTGCATCTTGTGGGATAATTGCTAGATTGCTTCTTAGATCAGACAAACCTAAAGTTGAAATATCGACTCCATCAATAACAATTTTACCGTCGGTGGCTTCTAAAATTCTAAATAAGGCCAAAGTTAATGTCGATTTACCAGCACCAGTTCTTCCTACAATACCTATCTTTTCCCTAGGTTCGATTTCCAAGTTAATTTTATTCAATACAGGATCTAGATTTTTTCTATATTTGGTGGAATAATCGATAAACTTAATTGAACCATGTGCAGGCCAAGACTTTTCAGGTTTTGTTTCTTCAATTTCATGAGGTGGTTCTGGTGGTAATTCACAGTATTCTAATATCCTTTCCACTGAAACAATATTGGTTTCAATTTGCACTGACATCCTAACAATCCACATTAAGGAATTGGTGACTTGTAACGAATAACTCATTAACAAACCAACCATACCTGCAGTTAGTTGTTTGCTAGTACCGATTGTAGACAATGAAAGTAAACCTGTTGCCAAAACAATCAGAGCACCGATAGCTTGTAAACGAACAGATAACCATCTATTTGTAGATCTAAAGTTGAAGAGACAATCTATATTAAATTGAACGCTTTCAAAATTGAAGTAACTAAATCTTTTGGCGTGATTATAAGCATTTATAACAAGGTAACCGGCCAATGTTTCACTTATTAAGGACATAATTGGTGAATAGGTAATACTTGTCAATCTCTTTAGTTCTCTACTTGTTACAATATAGTAGGCTTGGTAATAAAAGTAAATAACAATTAAGAATATGTTGAAAACAAAAAACCAAGGCATATTATAACCCACTAAAATAACAGTAACAATATAACCTAACAGTGATCTAAAAAAATGAGAAAAGATAAACTGAAGTCCACTATCAACTGAATCTAAATCACCAGAAAATCTATTAATAATACGACCAATAGGTGTGGTCTCAAAGAAACTCATAGGACTATAGACGACAGATAATGCCATATTATCGTGAAGCTTTTTAGACCCTCTAATTGAACAGAAAATTAACATAACTATACTTCTTAAATTGTTGAAAGCTGCTGAAATTATACCAATCAAGGCATACACTCCGACAAACATCCATAAATTCTCATTAGAACCAGATTTTTGGTTGGATTCAGACCAGTGTTTTAGCCAGAAGTTCTCTGCCAGATCAAAAATTCTACTCAATAACATGAAAATGAAAAATAATGCTACACCTGAAACACCACACGCCTTAATATATGCAATATATACTGCAGTCTTGACACGACCTTCAGCAGTCGTCTCCTCCTTTTGGGCAGTTTTATTGTCACTCTTATTTATATCAAAAATAGGACGTGGTTTCAACGTTGCCATTGAAGCTTTTCTGGAACTAATTTCTAATGCTTTTCTTTGTTCCTTACCAGTATATGCAACTGTAGACTCTGCTAGATTGTCGTCGTCATTTTCAATTAAATTGTCATCAATTGGTACCACATCAGAAGTTTCTTCTGAAGTTTTACGTTCCTCACTTACTTCTTCTTTGCTGTTATTATCTCTGTCGTTATCGAATTCGTTGATTAAAGCTTTCAATTTGGAATCTTCGCTTGAGTTCATGACGTCATCATATGCACCTTCTTCTATAATTTCACAATTTTCTAATGCATAGATCTTTTGAGAGTGCTTTAAAACAGAAATTGCATTAGTTGTTAATATAATTGTCTTGCTTTTCAAAAGACCAGTTTGTTCATCTAAGACTTTTTCAATGATATTTTTACTAACTTCAGCATCAACTGCAGACAATATATCATCTAATAAATAGATATCTGATCTGGAATAGACGGCTCTGGCTAATGATAATCTAGCCTTTTGCCCACCTGATAATGAAATACCTTTTTCACCTACAATCGTTTCATCTCCATCCGGTAACATTTTCAAATCTTCAGTTAACTGACAAGCTTCGATTGTCAGATTGTAATAATGTTCGTCATATTTATGCCCAAACAAAATGTTTTCCTTAACAGAACTGTTCATAATCCATGCTTGTTGAGGACAATAGGCAATACTATTACCTCTAATAATAAGTTTTGGTGGAATTGATTCCTGTGCACCACTTATACATGGTAATTGTCCTAAAACAGCTCTTAATAAAGTTGTTTTACCAGAACCAACTCTTCCAACAATGCAGGTCAAACTCCCTTCTTTAACCTCAAAATGATTGACATTCTTGAAGGCAACCTGTGTATTATCAATAGTAGATTCTTCATCTCCATTTTCAGATGATACTAAGTTTTTCTTTCCCTTCCATAAAAATGTAGCATTATCAATTTCCACAGCACAAGAATGACCATCATTTTTTGGATCTGATTGTTCAATGAATGATCTATCTAATTCTTCAGTGGCTAAGAAATTCTTCAATCTTCCTAAGGAAACACTAACTTCGATTATGTTTGTAATAGTTGATGGGACTGAGTAAATTGCATCATTTAAGATGTTAAACAATGCTAAAGCTGGAAATACAATGTCTGGAGTTAATGCCATACCACTAGTTAAAGCAAAAATGATAAAGGATGAGCAAGTAACCATGATAGGAACACAATTCCAGGCAAAGAAGATACAATTACTGACAATACCTATTTTCTTGAAACTTTCAAGTTCTAAATCGTTACGAACATGATCCAATCTTTTTAACATTGGCTTTTCCCACGAATAAAGTTTGATAGACTTTATAGAATTCAGAATTTCTGTCAAAGTTCTAATTCTAATATCTTTGTATTTCATTTGTTCTTTGTTGAGTGACTTGACCTTTTTTGACAAATAAGCGTTAATAGGGATCATAATAGCCATTGTGACTATACCACCGATGACTGCTTCACCTAGTAACCAATATAAGGAGGTCAATACGATGACAATTTGAATAGGAGCACCGATGATTACTTGAGAGTTTTCAAAAAACCTTTGTAAACGCAATACATCGACAGATACGAAATTAATAATATCACCAGTTGAATACGATTCACGAGACGCTAGTGATAACCTCAAAGATTTTTGATAGATCAAAGCAGCAACCGAACCTCTAATACCTAGACCAACTTCGAAAATTTTAATATAGAATTGATTGTTTAAGAAAGTTGATAGGAAATTTGTCAGAAATAAACAAATTACGATGAAGAAACTATTTAGAAGCGGATATTTTTGTTCACCATCTATATTGAAACTATCGATAAATAATCTCAAGAATTGAGGTTCTATTACTGCTAACAGATCTTTTGTAGTTTCGAATACTATAGCAATGAACATAGAAGAACCAAAAGTTTTCAATAATGCCATTAATAATGAATTTTTACCATTCCATCTTTGAGTTTCCCAATTAGCGTTTAACCTTGAACTGACTTCACGGATATTTAAATCAATTGGAGGTAAAGGTAAATTATGAGGGTCTTTTACTTTTTTGTTACGGTAGGTTTCAGTGATCAACTTATTCATCCAAGTGAAAGATATATCCGCCAGAACATTAGATCTGATATAAATTTGATTTTCTTTATAATATTGAATAAGTTCAGCTGAAGGATTGTAAAAGGATATATCATAAGTAAAGATCAAAGCAGTATTGAATAATAAAACCCATTCCAGAAAATGAGCGTAATCATTATCAATTAATACCACTTTATTGTTATCTGGATGAAATAATCTTTGTATAATTTGAGTGCTTAAATTAAAGAATAAGAACATCGAGTAGAAAATTTGACCACCAATAGATGCAGTACTTCTAAAGAATTCTAAGAATTGGGTTGGTACTGAAATTAGAACTGTAAATAGAAAATTGATCAGGTATGAATAACCAATAATTTTTGAAGTATTTTCCATTGAACGATTCCATAGAAACAATAAACCCAACCAAATAAGCGATTGGAAAATCACAGTGGATATATGAATATAGTGAGCAAGTGACATGGAACTCCATTTTGAAATGTACTTAAAATTAGGTGGTATTCTAGTTTCCCTTAATAACAAAATGATCTGAATAAGACCAATAAATGCGAAAAAACAAGCAATCGAAATACTGGTCAATGAAATAAAACATGGAGTCAAAGCATTTGTTTTATTATCAAAATAAGGATTGTAGCCATAAGGGCATCCAGTTGAATTACTATTCAACATTATTGTAGTTTTTACTACTTTTATTCTTCTCCCCTCAAAAAAACAGCAGTACAGACACAGACACAACTCACTCCCTCTAGCCAACTAACTCTTTATATCTCTCCAATTAGTAAATAAAATGAAAATTAAACATTTAACTTAAACCTTAAAGGTTATCAAAACTTAAATAAACTAAAATACAATTTATCCTCATCGTTATATATATGAGTAGTATGAGCGTCTTTTTGAAACTTTTTTTCTTCTCTTCATTAGATTAACTAAAAAGGTTTATTTCAAAGGGTGCAATGATGAATTTTTTCAAAAAATTCAAAATTTCGAAATAGGTTATCTCGGTCGTAACTTCCTGATTTCTCTGGCAGTTTCTTTGGATCGTACCAGTTACCTAAAACGGGAATGTAATTTCGAATTCGAAAAATTATATTTAATCAGGGGCAGGGTAACAAGTTTAAATTGGTCTCTAAGGAAAGAGAGAGAGAGACATAGCAGAGAGTACAGTGATTAGATTAGATTAAATTAGTAATGCCAAAAAGGCAATGTGTTTATGCCATATAAGGTTTTTTGCAATAATTGGCTGTTTGTTGTTGTTGCCTTTTAGATTCAGCTCGAACTTATCATTCATACTCTTGGATTAGATATTTATGTATTTGTTTTACTTGGGCTGTAAGGAAAGGAGGAGGGAGATGCTTGTGTTATGAGAAATACTGGAATTATAAATAATATATCGTTATAGAAATTAATATGAATATGTTCTTATTATCTCTAATTAATTACAACTAATATAGAATTATGTATTCAAATATAAAAGTTACACTTCGACATGATAAATTTGGTGGGACGTGGGAATAAAGAAAAAAAAAACATGCAATGCAACTTGCAATCTCTTGAAAAGTAGCTCTTTTTGGAATCAATCCAAGATACTTTTAACCAACTTCTCTTCTTCTTCTATTTTTTTTTCTAGAGACTCTTCTTCTTCTTTTAGTTTAAGTTGTTCTTGTTGGAGCTTGGCCAATTCCAATGACGCCGATTCTAAAACATGCGACTCAACTTTTTCCTTCTTTGTTAATTTGGTAATCTGTTCAATCAAAGCATTACATATCTCTGTCAATTTTAGTATCTTAGCGTCTGTTTGTTTCTTATATTCGACAAATTCTCCCGACCAATATCTACTACTATCTGACATCTTAATACCAATAACTGCTGTGTCTATAATACACGAATGTTTCTAGAATGTTCTTGTTTAGAAATCAGAAATATACATCAAGAGCACTAGAAACTCTTTATTACCTCTTTATACATTATTACTTGAATAATAGCATTCTTAAATACAAAATATTTTATTTTATATCACTTTTGAGTCTTTACACAGAATCAATAATGGAATACATCAAGGGGACATTATTAGGGTACTACATATATATATATGTATATATACCGAAAGGTCACTACTTTTCATTATGACAGTCCGCATAAGAAGAAATGCTGAAGGGAGCTTCATGAAGTTATCTTTTATCTTGGTGTTTCTAGCAGCAGCTTGAACAACAACTCTATGAATACTTGCATTAAATTATCACCTCCTTCCTCCGGGAAGAACAACGAAGAATATTAAAAATTAGAGTGACTTAAGACTACCACCCATCCATTTCTATATGTATTTATAAAAGTATTTTACTGAAGTTTTGTAAATTAGAATTGAATTGCAATTAGTTAACATCCTTTGACATTTCAAGTTGATCTTGTTTAAACAGCTCTGAAGAACTGGACTTTTTTCGTAAGTTAGATGATGTGACTGTGATTATGTGTTATCATGATGGAGTATAATTCTAGATTACATTTGGTTGTTTGTCATCAATATACGGCTCATGTAGTTTCTCAACATCTCCCACCTTATCTTTTAAGGAGTCTAGACTTTTTTTAACAGTCGCAAAAAAAGAAGCGCAAGTGGTTTAGTGGTAAAATCCAACGTTGCCATCGTTGGGCCCCCGGTTCGATTCCGGGCTTGCGCAGTTTCTTTTTTACTTTTTATCCATCTTCTCCTCTCCCTTTCTTCATAAACTGATCAATATTTTAACCAAGAAACCCAAGAAGTAAATGCTAACTGAAATTTTTTTTCTATAAAGCAATCTCTGCTCAAATGCTTTACTAAGTTAAATTTTAAAAAATAACATATAGACAAAAGTAGGACACATCTGGAATTTATTTCTTGGCTTTGCTATTTTACAACCAAAAAAAAAAAATTATCCACTCAATAGCATAATATACGTGGATGGATATTGAAACATATCGAAGTAATCAAATTAATCAAATTATTCAAGTATCTCTCACTCATAATCTCAGCTTTTATATTAAAGTTCTATCCAAACCAATATTATAGTAAAGGATAAGTATTACTATATAGTAGGCTAATTTAACTTCATTATTGTCACTACTGCCACTTAAAGTGATATAATACTGTGATTCAGTGATCTATACATTCATTTAATATTATCATTTCATTTAGTCATTAGCTATCATCTTCACAGTAATATATTTATAATCAACTGTAACATGATGGTTTCTTATAAACTATTATCGTTGATTACATTGTTATTTGTTGCTCAATGTACCACAGGTTTACTCAAACAAGATGATTATGTAGTAAGACCTGATCTGTTGCCTGGTATATCCTCTATTAAGGATAAAGCATTAATTCCTAAAATGTATGCAGGTCATATACCATTGAACCTACAAAAGACTACCGATGAGAACGAAAATACAGATGAATCTGATTCAAATTCAAATACAAATTATTTTTTTTGGAAGTTTCAACATCAGTCCGTTGAATCCCCAAATTTAATTTTTTGGTTAAATGGTGGTCCTGGTTGTTCTTCAATGGATGGTGCTCTGGTTGAAACTGGTCCATTTAGAGTTGATAAGAACGGTAAACTATACCCAAACGAAGGATCTTGGCATAGCAGAGGTGATTTAGTCTATATCGATCAACCAATTGGCACCGGACTTTCTACTTCTGCAGCCATTCCAAATCTATTGGATGACTTGAAGGAGGTTTCTGATAATTTCATCTTATTTTTGGAAAATTATTTCACAATTTTCCCAAATGATTTAGATAAGGATATAATTATTGCTGGTGAAAGTTATGCCGGTCAATATATTCCATTTTTTGCAAAGGCAATCAAAGAATATAACCAAAAAATTTCAGATAATAAGAAAAAAATCAATTTGAGAATGTTACTAATTGGTAACGGCTGGATCGATCCTATCACTCAGTCTCTTTCTTATTTGCCTTTTGCTATTGAAAAAAATTTGGTTGGCAAAGATACTCCAGACTTTGAAACTTTATTGAAAGCTCATGAAAAATGCCAAAATAAAATTAACTCAATCAGTGAAGACGATAATTCATTTAGTCACGAAGAATGTGAATCCATTATCAACATGTTAGTATCGGTTACAAAGGATAACTCCCCTAATGTTAAATCAAATGAAGTTTGTATTAATATCTATGATTTTAATTTAAGAGATTCTTTCCCAGCATGTGGTGCAAATTGGCCAATTGATGTTTCTCATGTTGCAAAGTTTTTTTCAACTCCGGGTGTAATTGAAGCTCTAAATTTAAATGCTGAAGAAGTCCCAAGATGGAAGGAATGTAATTACGATGTTTTGAATCATTTAACTAATCCTGTATCAAAGCCATCTGTAAGATTATTACCCGAACTTTTGGAATCTGGAATTGAAATTATTTTATTCAATGGTGAAAATGATTTAGTTTGTAACAATAAGGGTATTACTGATATGATTTCCAAATTAACCTGGAATGGTGCTACCGGATTCTCTGACAAAGTTCAAAAATATGAATGGTTATTTAGAGATTTAACCAAAGATACTGAGGAACCAGCAGGGACCGTTACCTTTGATAGAAATTTGACATTTATCAGTGTATACAATGCTTCTCACATGGTTGCATACGACAAAAGTATTGTAGCCAGAGGTATTTTAGATATCTATCTAGACAATGTCATGCTGGTTGAAAAAGAAACCGATTCTCCCGATGTTTTGATTAGTACTAATGAACCAACATTTAGTGATATCGAAGAAGAAGAGTTAGATGGTGAAAAGGAAGACGAAAAAGATGGGGTCACTGAGGGCGATGGAGAAAAAAGTGATACTGACGAAGGAAAAGACACCGATAAGGGGAAGGATGAAAAGAACGATGATGATGACGATGATGACGATGACAGTGACGATGATAGTGACGATGACGATGACGATGACGATGACGATGACGATGACGATGACGATGATGATGACAGTGACGATGACGATGACGATGATGATGACAGTGACGATAACGAGAAGGATGATAAATCTGAAAGTGAAACCAAAACACATCCTAAAGCTAAGATAGCTCTGTTACTATTATTATTCATTTCTGTATTTGGTATAACAGGTTCTCAAGCTCTACGTCAACGTAATTTCCAGTTCAGAAGAGCACCACTTACCTCAAATTCTTTTTCATCTTCCAGTTCTCCTAATGACCCTAGTAATTGGGATAGTAATGATGATTTTGATTTTGATATTGAAAACGATCCATTACCAAGTACGAACAATAAACATAAAGCAGCAAAGAAGAAAAAAGACTATGTTAGCATCCCATCAGATATTGATGAGTCATTCGAATTAGCCGAAATTTAGATTTCAATTACACATTTAATATACTTCTATAAAATTTAACATATAAATAAGATAAACAAATAAGGACAATTAGAGAATTGATTTTTTATGACATCGTTAATATTATTTCATATAAACCTCTAAAGCAAGATTATAAGTACTTCACAACAAAGAACAAAGAATTTAATAAGATCTTGCTAAGGAATCTTTTTTTAAATATAATTGCTACATTTCAAGATGTAATATGGAATTTTTGTACTATCATATCTCCATTCTAGTGGAGAAATAAAATGGACTCTTGATAATATTTTAAAAGAGAGTCAAACATGTATACGGTTCAAATTGTATTCGATAAAAATCAGCTCAAGTTTGTATATTAGTAAAGTGAAAATAAGAATAAATTTGGAATTAATTCTTGTATAGTCAATAATATTTTTGTTAATTTCATTGTCGTAAGGGAATCTATTCCTGAACATATCGAGATCGCTAAGTGCAATTTAGAGAGTATAAGAGGACTTGGTATAAAATAGAAGATGAATACCATATTGTTCAGATGTAAAAGTAATATCTGATTGATTCATTTTGGTGATTGATACAAGATGTTTTTAATATAATATTTATATTTATTTCTCCGTAGTGTCTTATAAATGTAACTAAATAAATATATATTAATATTTTAGATAAACAATATTTTAGATGTACCAAAATGTCATGCCTTTTTATATGTTTAGATCCAATCTCATAATCTTAATATTATTTATTTATGATAATAAATTATGATGCCTTTGCACTTCACTTCTTATGATATGATTTGGCAATTACTTAGAAGGTCGAGTATGACATTTGCGATCGAACAATTGCAACGTGTCATAACCTTTACTGTCATAACCTTTACTGCCATAACCTTTATTGCCATAACCTTGAAACCCATTAGTGTGAACCATACATTTTAGGTTACAACACATATTTACTTCTACAATTAATAAGAAGCTAACAATTGCAAGGTAATAAAAACACATAATAATAATTTTAGAACTATATTAAAAATTTCCCCAGAATATCTGATAAATCTGGAACATTTGTAACACATATAAAAAGCAATTATTAAGAATAGTTTATAAAGTTGAGATTTGAAACGCCAAACTATCCGTAATATGAGAAACAGACAGGTACGTCACTTTATGTACGAAGAGAATGAGCATTTCCTAAGAACAACTTAAATATTTTCTTACCCGTACGTGATTCACTTCACGTAATTCTAGCATATAAAAAGAATAGAGAACTTTTGAAAATGTATTGTTTTGACCGGTTATTATATAATAGTGAATAAGTATTATATTAGTTAAAGAAGTAATATGTGTACTATATTCTAATATATTAGTATAAGCTAAAGGTAGATATACTGATCAATATATTAAGTTGTATATTGTAATAATAATTAAGTCTGTCCCTCTTAGTTTGGGAACTTATTC